GTTTTCATATTCATAATGATTACCTTATACTCGCGAAGATATCCTCCAAGAAGTAGTAAAAGGTTGACTGGTATTTGTATCTTGAGCGACATGTCCTGACTTGTTCCAGGTTGTAGTTGACGTGGGAGTTCGATCACTCAGCGTCATTGGCAGTTGTACTCCAGAGCTTACACAGACTATTCCGTATTTTTAGTGGATACAGTTTTTTTATCAAATTAATGAGCATCTCATCCTCAAGTGATGAGGAAACTATAGAAAATAATGGCAACGATCTGCAGTTCATCGCAGATGAAATTGCCATTGCTCCCATTATTTTGCAAAAGTCACAAGTTCTAAAAATAAAAATGAGAAATGACGATGCCTTGAAGAAGATGTTGAAAAAATACGATTCGACATTCGGTAAACCATTAGATACTAAAGGCTTATTAAAAAAATCAACAACATGAAATCAAGATTAAAGAAAAAAAACAGATCTAAAAAAACTGGTAATAAAACAATTAAATTGTTAGATTGGGAAAGAAAGTTGCTGAAAGCTATGGAAGGTGACTGTAATTCTACAATTGGGAAATTAGAGGTGCCATTCAGGTTGGTAGTGTTCAAGAAGAAGGAAGTGAACTATTAAACACACATTTAAAGTAGGTTTCCCTTTTCGGTTGATATACTCATCTCCATGGCGATTTGGTTTCAGGATTCCTATATGTGTACAATAAATTACACTAATTGCTGTCGGAAATTTATACATGCTTTGCCTTATCCGCTTGGCCTCCATCAGTTCATGGTTGGTAGTTCGAAACTTGATCAATTCGTTCGACTGTGCAACTATGCTGTTCACAACTCTATCCACAGTCCGAGATACCGTTGCTTGACTAATACCAAGTTCCTGACCAATACCTTGTTGATATCCAGGGTCACCGAGATAGCGTAGACATATCTTCATTTTATGAATACATGAAAGTGCTCCTCCTCGAGTTTCCTCAGTCTCAACTAAAAATCTGTCCGCAAGCCATTGTACATTTGCTTCGTCGAACCGATATAATTTTTTGTCACGACCAAGTGAAGGTAAATGAGGTTTGTACGTTTTAACATCCCTAACAACCACAATTTGCGCCATCGTAAAAAACCTATATAATGTGCTATACTACAACTATTTAAAACTGTAATGACTCATACGCGTGATCAACACGTGATCAGAGCTCGATCCCGGCTTCCTTCCAGTACAGCCGTATAGCGTACGACATATGTCGTTTCTGTGGCTTTGCGGTGGTCAACAGTACAGACAGAGATGGAAATAATGGCTGATTGTTCTCCGCCGCTAGAACCAATGAAATCAAAGACGCGCCTCGACCGGCAGACTCATAGGCGTCGGTAACGCATTGGAACGTGTTTCGTTGAGCGATCGCATATTGTGTGTTTTTATAAGAATTGTTGTGTGATTGTTATTGTTGTGGTTTCTGTGGTTACTGTTTTGGTTATACTTAACCATGGAGAGTACAAATGGCACGAGTGGAAGTACTGGAAGCCAGGGAACAAGTAGACGGCTTCGTGAAGCACTGAAGAGGGACGCGAAAGAAATCGTGCTCAACGTGTTCAATTATCTGAACAGAACTATGTCGCAGGGAGATGCACTAGCGCGTTGTGAAAGTATGACAGGCGTTCCAGAGTGGACCATTCGCAGGGTGATGCATGAAAAGAAGAAAACTGGAGCTACTACTGATCCAAAGTTTAATTTGAAGGGACAAAAGGCCGTTAAATTGGATCACGATAGCAAAATGGCGTTAAGGCGAACCGTACATTCATTTTTCTTTAGGAATGAGATACCAACCCTCAAGGCTGTACATGCAGCGATCAAGGAAAATGAAATTATACCCCAAATGAGCGTCGAGGTAATGAGGAAATCCCTGCACGAAATTAATTTTCGTTACGAAACGCGTAATCGGAAGTTAGTATTGATAGAGAGACCTGAAATAGTCGCCTGGCGTCGAAAATACCTACGCGAAATGATTGAATATAGGCGACAAAGCAGAAAAATCTATTATTTGGACGAGACATGGGAAAATGCAGGTCACACAGTTAGAAAAACCTGGATAGACAAAAACGTAGTGAGTAACCGACAAGCAAACATTGAAGGTTTGTCAACAGGTCTTCGTGGACCGTCAGGGAAAGGTCAAAGATTGATCGTAACTCATATTGGTAGCGACAGTGGCTTTTTAGAAGAGTGTGACTTGATTTTCGTCTCTAAGAAAGGAGGTGATTACCATGACGAAATGAATGCCAGCTGCTTCTAGAGCTGGTTTCAAGGGGTGCTTCAGCGAGTTGAGCCCAACTCTGTGATCGTCATGGATAATGCTTCCTACCATAGTCGTCGAGCTGAACGTGTACCGACTATGGGATCTCGAAAAAGTGGCATGCAGCAATGGTTGCGCGAAAAAGGAATCCCGTTTGACGATTCATGTGTGAAAGCAGAATTGTATGAAAAAATTAAACAGCACAAACCTGCGAACATTAGTTACGTGACTGATGAGATGGCCCGTCAATGTGGTGTCACTGTGCTGCAGTTACCGCCCTACCACTGTGAACTGAACCCAATACAGCTCATCTGGGCTCAAGTGAAGGGTTATATTGCGCGCCATAACACCACGTTCAAATTACCAGACGTTAAGGTTTTACTTGAGACTTCCATACAGCTAGTAACGCCCGAAGCTTGGCAGAATGCTATCCGTCATGTTGTGAAGGAAGAAACAAAAATGTGGCAGCTTGACCACCACATCGACACCATCATAGAGCTAGTTATAGTCAATTTCAACGAGAAAAGCGATAGCGATAGTTTATTACTGTCAGATGTAAGTGGAAGCGACGATGAATAAAGGTAATTCCCAAATTTTGACTTACAATATGTTTCAAACCACTATTTATTAAGCATGTGACAAATCTAGTTCATCCATGTTAAACATTCATACCCCGCCTATGAACAGCCGACTACTGGTAGTTAAGTGATGTTCACGTGAACATCGATAAGTCATTACAGTTTTAGATAGTTATAGTATAGTGCTCTGCTAGTTTATTCCGCGCTTGCTACAACTTAGTATGAAATAAATGTCAGCTTGTTGAAAGGTGACATTTTATATAAAAACCTACATAATCTCAAAAAAACCTACATGTTTCAAAACAATCGATATAATGCCAGTTTTTAAGTTACAAAATGCAGATGACGTCAAGGTAGGCCATGAAAGTTTTGAGCAACAAATTCAGACCAAACAGAAGGAGAAAGTAAAGGATTTGTTTGTCGCCAAAATTATGTAGTCAGTAGCCAGGATGCAAATTCGTACTAGTCATACATGTCGATAAGGCTTAAGCCGCCTGTTTGAAACTTGTTGACATTTCACATTAAATTCGTACTTTTGTATGATAACATACAAAGGAGCATGGGTTCCATACAATTCTAGTGTTCTAGCCAGTTACCGCAAATGGTGGTTTTTGTGGATTGCAAAAAGCGGTTTGAATTCAACAAGAGCAGATCTTTTCTATCGACAAGAGTGTTGAATATTATAGTCATCGGCACTGTGAAAGGACTTGTACCTCAACACTGGGCTTTTACCTGAACAATTGTGAGGTAATTCTGATTTATTCCACTTCACTTCTTGTGAACTAACAACAACGTCGAAAAATGCGCAATATTGGAGAGAACAAAATTTCTTGATGGATGCCGAAAAAGGCTAACCGCAACTTTAATCTAACTAAACAAAAATTCACCTTAATCTAATTTAATTTTGAATATAGAAGCTTTCAGGGATGGTACTTTCACGTTAGATGTAGGAATTTGAGGATTTAAGTGCCACGAGAGGCTACAGTACGCAAACACTGTGATTATCAAATTAATTAAAATACTTCCAAATCTTTTTATTGAATATCTACATATAGTGACAACGGAGTAAAAGCAGAAATTTCTATATTGTGATCAACCAGATATTTGCTTTTAGCCAAGAATCTGCTCGGATGACCACAAATATTCACAAAAACCGAGTAGAATTCATGCAATTTCCTACGTCAGATAGTGTTTTAAGTTTTGTATATAAAAACATAGTAGGCTACGCAGATCGAACGTCAGTACTGAATCTTAACCTCATTCTTTAGTAAACTTAAATTCGAAGTTTCACAACAATACGTGCAGTGTTCTCACTACAGTGAATTTTTAAGTGTCACCAAGTCATTAGAAAAATGGAACTCAACCGAGAACATTTTCGCGCCATAATTTATTACAACCTTCAGAGACAATTATCGCAACAAGAATGATTTGCTGAGTTACTATTTTCGGCAACGAAGCGTCACATCAGTCGACAATTTCCCGTTGGTATGGAGAATTCAAACGTGGACGGGTGAGTCTTAGCGATAATTCCAGGGTGGGTGCACCACAAACGGCAGTCACCCAGGAAAACGTCGATGCTATGCGCAAACTCATCATTGAAGATAGACATGTGACATATCGCGAGATTGAGGCGTCCTTGAAGATCTAAAAGACCTCAATTCAAAAAATTTTACATGAAGAATTAGGAGTAAGAAAATTAGTTTCTCGTTGGATACCCCACCTGTTGACTGAAGAGCAGAAAGCAGCCAGGGTTAATTGGTGTCAAAAAACGCTTGACCGTTTCAATTCCGGAAACTAAAAAAATGTGTACAGCATTGTTAGTGGTGATGAATCGTGGATTTACTGTTATGAACCAGAAAATAAACGGCAGTCGGGTGTTTTTGTCTTCCAAGGTGACGAAAAGCCAACAAAAGTCATCCGTTCGCGAAGTGTTTCGTAAAAGATGGTCGCGACATTTCTGTCAAACGCGGGTCATATTGCAACAATTCCTCTTAATGAGCAAAGAACTGTTACGGCGGATTGGTATACCACCATTGGTTTGCCAAAAGTCATCACCGAGCTTCGAAAAATCAACCCCGTAAGAAGAATCAAGCAAGCTCGCACACAGCCCAAAAAACAAGGCAGTATTTAACGGAAGAAAACGTGGAATTATTGGACCATCCTCCATATAGTCCCGATCTAAGTCCTAACAATTTCTTTACTTTCCCGAAAATTAAAAACAGACTGCGTGGTCAAAGGTTCCAATCACCAGAAGAAGCAGTTGACGCATTCAAAAATACCGTTTTGGGTCTGCCAGCAAACGAGTGGAATAAGTGCTTCGAAAATTGGTTCGAGCGCATGCAGATGTGTATTAACCTTCGTGGAGAATACTTCGAAAAACAATAAAGCCATTCAAAACTACCTACCGTGTTGTTTTATTTCCATATGCAAAACTTAAAAGACATCCCTCGTATTCCGACATTGTTGCTGTCTGATGGAGAGAATGTTTCGTATTATTACAAAATCAAGAATTACGCAGAATTGTGCATATGATGCACCGTTAATAAATATTTACTTTCGTTCCTTTGCTTTAAGTTATCCCTGTTTATTAACAATAACTGACCGAATCACATCGAAACACAGATAGTATTTCTACCTTGATCCACTTGAGTACACGCAGGACGAATAGCTACTTGAATATCCTTTCCTGTCTGACTTTGCTAGGCAATGGTAGTAAAATTAAAAGTAGAACATTTTGGCTACGACAATGCAGAGTAACCTCCTGGCTCCTTCCAGTCTATCCTATTAGTTACAAGTTAGGTGCACTTGGTTTCACAGATGATGCTAGGGAGTTGATGAAGTCTTACTTATCCGATCGTAGACAATTTGTTAGCTATACTGGCTTCCAATATGAGACCTACTTGGCACCTTCTGGAGTTCCTCAGGGGTCCAACCTGGGACCATTACTGTTTTTGATATTTATTAATGACCTCTGTAACTCAGTTGAATGTGAACGCCTATGCTTTGCTGACGACCTAAAAATTTATTCGCAGATAAATACTCCTGATGATTGTATCAAGCTACAACACCAATTAAATTTTGTGCTGTCTTGGTGTGTAGAAAACAAGTTGGAGCTTAATGTGAGGAAGTGTAAAATAGTCAGCTATACCAGGAAAATTAATGTTTGCGAATATCCGTACTCTTTTGATGGGTCTGTGCTAGAAAGATGCTCTGATGTACGTGATTTAGGTATAATATATGATCAAAAGTTAACTTATAGTCAGTATATAAATAAAAAAGCATCAGAAGCATTGGCGGCTTATGGTTTCATAGTAAGGAATTGCAGGAATTTTCATAACATAAAGTCTATTAAGCTATTATATTATGCTTATGTTAGATCCAAAGTCGAATATTGTAGTATTATTTGGAGCCCTTACTATGAATGCTATAGCACAGCTATTGAAAGAGTACAACGGAAGTTTATGAAGTTTGTTCTGTTTAGGATTGATGGGACATATCCAGAGAGAGGTACAAGTAATGAGGACTATGTAGTCGCTTAGACATGTTGACTTTGAAAAAACGTAGGTACTGTGCCCCAATAATATTTGGCTACAAAATGATCAACAATTTAATTGATTGCCCCTTGATCCTGGAACAGATGAAGTTTCGTACTCCAACTTTTGCATCTCGCATAAAATATTCGGGCTTCCTGGAGCTAGGACAAACATTCTTCTCAAGTCACCCTTATATGTAATGTGCTCTAACTTAAACAGAATTGGATGTTACTGTGATATATTTACGACAAATGTTAATTACCTGCTAAAGGCAGCTAAGGCTTATTCGGACCAATAGCTCATGTTACAAATTTATACCTGTGTTGCATTTGTTGTTTTCTTTTCGCTTTTTTTTTGCTTTTGTATTATGATTATAAATTGTCCTATAAATGGGAAACTGTTGGACAATAAAGCTATTATTATTATTATTATTATTATTATTATTAATTTATTGTTTTTGACGTAATATCAGAGAAGGCCCCTCGTTGTTGTGAACGAGGCTTGAAACATCCGAGTGTTAAGAAAGTGTGTTACCGATCAATCGTGGGATCCTTCTGTGAACACTATGTTTGCACTGCGTCGCGTATGGACAGAAACTTGGAAGTAATTTATTCTGTTGGGACGATGCAATGCGACGTATCCAGAAATCTGGAAGCAACAGCACACACGGTGCTCGACGGTCTGCAAACAATAAACCGGGAGCAGCAGCAATAAATTAACGCCAATAATCTGTTTATAATAATTCTCTAACAGTTTACAATATGGAAGGCATCGCCGCGTTCTGTATTTACGTCACTCCCGGTTCGTCTGCCAGTCTGTCACCCACTTTTCCTATCACTGTTTACAGTTGGTTAGTCTTGGTTGGCGGGGTACAACTTGTACCTTCTGATGTGCCCATGCTAATTCTACAGATAAACGTTGTTGGACTAACAACACAGACGCACAGGGTTGTATCTTGGCAATGTTATATCAGAGACGAAAGACGGAAGGATTAGAAGAGCAATTTTATAAAGCCGTCATGGATTCACCGTGGCTAAAGCAGGCTTAACATTCCCCAAGTTTGTCTGGCCAATCAAACCACATGTGTTTAAAATTCTTCTTTATTATACAGGGTGTTCCTTAATGATAAGCGAATATTTAAGAGTGTGAATCTACATGAAAAACTAATGTTAGTTTGCTTTATAAACTATGGTCCGAAAATGTTTCCTTACAAAAACTCGGGGTGTTTTAGGAAAAAAATGGGAAATAATTAATATTTTCAGAACCGCTTCAGGTATTTCACTGATATTTAGTACGTAGTGAAAGTTAATAAAGTTGCATATTTTTCCATTCAAAAATAATTTTTAGCTTTAACAGTGGCGTGCGTACGGGTATTGACTTCGTACGCCAATGGTTTTTTGCCAAATAAAAATTATTTATAAATTCCCCGATCAATTTGAAACAAACTATCTCTCTTTAATTGTATTCCTTCGATGAGCCATTTTTGCGTAAAAGAATAAAAACCGTTCTATTGCCCGAGAAAATTAATGTAATAATTGAAGAACGCAATTTAGCAATACATATCTAGTTGCTGTGGAATATGTCACTGGCTTTTGACATCTGACAAGTCTCTGTTATTCAAATCTGTCCGCTGTGACATCTTTTTCATTATTTAGTTTTTACAATCTTGTTAATAATGGTGAATTATTCAAATGCAGAAATGGCGGAAATGCATTACGTATATGGCCTTGCCGACGGTAATGGTGAGCAAGCCAGACGGATTTATCATCAGAGATATCCCGATCGTGCTTTGCCAGATAGCCGAACCTTTTCTAATATTCATCGTCGTCTTATTGAAACTGGTTCTGTCCGAAAAGTAACATCTGAAGGTAGACCTCTAAGTGTGAGAACAGCTGAAATTGAGGAAGCAGTGCCGCACGAAGTCGAAGAACATCCTGAAACGAGTACGAGGAAGATCGCTAGACACTTAAATATTTGCCATCAAATTATTTGGAGAATTTTAGCGGGTTTTTTGTTATATCCTTACAATATTTTAAGAGTACAGGCATTACTTTCCATTGACTTTCCAAGGCGCGTGACCTTTTGTCAGTGGTATCTTCAAAAAATTACACAAAATCCGTAATTTGAATCAATGATTCTGTTCACGGACGAAGCTAATTTTTCTCGAAATGCCATTCAGAATTTCCACAACAATCATTTGTGGACAGAAGAAAATCCCTATGCCGCAACCGAAACCCATATCCAACACCAATTTTCGGTTAACGTATGGGCAGGAATTATTGGCAACCACTTTATTGGCCCATTCTTCTTGCCGGGACGACTTGACGGACAGACTTACCTCAATTTTCTTCAACAACAGTCGCCTTTGCTGCTTGATGTTGTTCTGTTAGTAATAAGAAACAATATGTGGTGCATGCATGATGGTGCACCAGCACATTTCAGTGTAGGGGTTCGTAATTATTTACAAACTGTTTACCCAAATCGTTGGATTGGCCGCGGTGGGCCCCAAGAATGGTCACCAAGCTCCCCAGACCTCAACAGTTTAGATTTCTTTTTCTGGGGCTATCTTAAGACACTAGTGTACACAAGTCCTATTAACACTGGAGAGTAATTAAGAGAAAGAATAGTTGCAGCTTGTGATAGAATAAAAAACACTCCCGGGATATTTCAACGAGTGCGCAATTCCATGAGAAGGAGGGCGGAAGCATGCATACTAAGTGAAGGCGGCTATTTTCAACAATTCTTGTAATCGTTTCGTTGGTTTTAATCTTATGTTTATGTTATCAGTTGTTGTTGTTCATTACCCCTAATGTATTTAATTTTCCAATTAAATTAATAATAATTTTGCAAGTTAGACAATAGAACGGTCTTTATTTTTTTACTCAAGAATGGCGCATCGAAAGAAAACAATTCAAGAGAGATCATTTGTTTTAAATTGAACGGGAAATTCAAAAATTATTTTTATTTGGCGTACTATTTTTTTTCTTAAAAAATATCGAAGTCAATACCCGTATGCACTCCACTGTTAAAGCTAAAAATTATTTTTGCATTGAAAAATATGCAATTTTATTAACTTTCACTACGTACTAAATATCAGTGAAATATCTGAAGCGGTTCTGAAAATATTCATTAATCTCCATTTTTTTCCTCAAACTTCAACACCCCGAGTTTTTGCAAGGAAAAATTTTTGGACCATAGTTTATAAAGCAAACTAACATTAATTTTGCATGTAGATTCACACCCTTAAATAATCGCATATCATTATATATATTGTATACATTTCATACATATGGAAGCTATATTGAAATATAGTACATTTAAATGGACTTTTCAGTCCTACATTCAGTGTATTAACTTAGTTGATCGTGAATTTGTTGTTGGATGAAAATTATAAGGAAATAAAAAGGTAAAATCTGAAAACAGCGTGAACACTTTATTGATAGTAATAACAATTAATAATCAAAAATAAGCAGAGGTAAATCATAGCAAATGTTCAGAATGTTGTCCGTTATTTTATAGGCAAAGCCTGACTCTTCTCTGTACATTGTTCACTGCTCGATTTATTTCTCTTGTTCTCAGTCTTCCAAACTCGGTTGCTATATTCAATATGAGGTGTGGTCTGATATACGAAAGAAATGAAATCTGAGAATTTCAAAGTCTACCCAGAAACTACTACTTTTCTGGAACAATTAAGGTTTGGCAGCGTCAATGTGTCAGTATTATACATTTTTGAAATCAGAATTAAAAACTGTATTATTTACGCAAAAATTCAATATAGCATCCATAAGAAAAAATAAAGTGAAAAAGGAGAAAGAGTGGCAATGTTAATATCTAATAATCTAATTATTTCACGGCCTACCTACCCCTGCTTTTTTGAAATAATTAAGGTTTGGCAACACCAATATATGACGTAGTATAGATATTTGAAATCACAATTAAAAGCATCTGTGCATACATTCCATATGGCGTTTATAAGAAAAAATAAAGTTAAAGCTGGAAGACAAGAAACGAAACGTTATATTGTAGCGGAGAAACAATGTTAACATCCAATTCATTTTTAAATCCCACTATAAATAAAGTCAGGGAAAAATTGAGAGGATTTGGGAAAATTCTGAATTTTCCGCCTCTCTCCGGAAGTTCTTTGAATTTCTAAGCGGCATTTTGTTGATTATCTAAATACGCGACATAACTACTATATAAAGGACGTATCTCTCACAGTTTCCAAGATTCCAATGGTGAGGGTCGAATTTGGAACACCCTGTATATAAAGTTTGCTTCGCTTTTGGTTTCTATCAAATTGTCACCTCAAATATCTAAATGTAAAACATCAGGCTTGTCATACTTTAACAGTAAAACGGGTACTAGGCACTGGATGAGTATTTTTAAGATGTCAAATCGACAATATCCAGCTGAAAGACCGAGAAAATCTTTTGAGGATATTGCAGGCATTTGTTTTCTATGGATACCTTTGCCTGCCAAATTGGTCATTTCACTATTTCTAGTCAGTTTTCCGGCAGACTGCCTATACGTCTTCTGGGGACATTATACAAGGACAATTTATGTACGTAGCTCTTAAAAGCATAAGATCCGCCTCTGTTTCGTCTTAGGTTCTGGTTAATATCAGATTAGCAGGCATCCATGTAGGTGCCGATAAGGTAAGATAAAATTAGATTGCGCTTGTTTTCCAACATGATGCTTCAGTTTACCTCCATGGTGCTGCTGCACTGCTGTCAATATGTTTGTAGCAGGTGATAAATCACTTTTACATGCACTGTTTTCGTAATTTACTGGTCTACCCCCTTGAAACGATGTTGCAGGTGAGCACCCTGCAGGTCCTTATCTAGCTTTTTATGAGGCCATGTGGCAGATATAAGCAACACGTTAGCGGTGAATTATGACAACAGCCCTTTTTGTTCTTTTATCTCCTTGAACATTTTTATAAGGCTGAGTCTAAGCTTAGAGTCAAATATACAAGGTCTGTAAGTTAAGTGATGAGACCGGCAACGTAGCGTTCGATCTGGCAACACTGGATGAGCCGGGCTTGGAGGGGACCCTGGAGAATATGTGATGTGCCTTCAGTACAAGTTTGAACTCGCTCGAGTCATGTTGTCCGTAGCGATTTTTTCTATTGTGTTCTACAAAAGAGTGACATCATTTTCAAGTAATAATAATAGCTAATACAAAAGCAAAAAAAGCGAAAAGAAAACAACAAATGCAACACAGGTATACATTTGTAACATGAGCTATTGGTCCGAATAAGAATTAGCTGCCTTTAGCAGGTAATTAACATTTGTCGTAAATATATCACAGTAACATCCAATTCTGTTTAAGTTAAAGCACATTACATATAACGGTGACTTGAGACGAATGTTTGTCCAAGCTCTAGGAAGCCCGAATATTTTATGATTGCGAGATGCAAACGTTGGAGTACGGAACTTGATCTGTTCCAGGATCATGGGGCAATCAATTAAATTGTTGATCATTTTGTAGCCAAATATTATTGAGGCACAGTATCTACGTTTTTTCAAAGTCAACATGTCTAAGCGATTACATAGTTCCTCATTACTTGTACCTCTCTCTGGATATGTCCCATCAATCCTAAACAGAACAAACTTCATAAACTTCCGTTGTACTCTTTCAATAGCTGTGCTATAGCATTCATAGTAAGGGCTCCAAATAATACTACAATATTCGACTTTGGATCTAACATAAGCATAATATAATAGCTTAATAGACTTTATGTTATGAAAATTCCTGCAATTCCTTACTATGAAACCATAAGCCGCCAATGCTTCTGATGCTTTTTTATTTATATGCTGACTAAAAGTTAACTGTTGATCATAGATTATACCTAAATCACGTACATCAGAGCATCTTTCTAGCACAGACCCATCAATAGAGTACGGATATTCGCAAACATTAATTTTCCTGGTATAGCTGACTATTTTACACTTCCTCACATTAAGCTCCAACTTGTTTTCTACACACCAAGACAGCACAAAATTTAATTGGTGTTGTAGCTTGATCAATCATCAGGAGTATTTATCTGCGAATAAATTTTTAGGTCGTCAGCAAAGCATAGCCGTTCACATTCAACGGAGTCACAGAGGTCATTAATAAATATTAAAAACAGTAATGGTCCCAGGTTGGACCCCTGAGGAACTCCAGAGGGTGCCAAGTAGGTCTCAGATTGGAAGCCATTATAGCTAACAAATTGTCTACGATCATATTTCATCAACTTCCTAGCATCTTCTGTGAAACCAAGTGCACCTAACTTATTTAATAAAGTTTTGGGGTTAATTTTATCGAAGGCCTTCGAAAAGTCGGTATAAATAACGTCAACTTGCTCATTACTATCAATTGCTTCCGAGAGGTACTGCGTTATTATAAATAGACTTGTGGTTGTTGAGCGATAAGCGACAAATCCGTGTTGATGCAATGACAGCTGACGCTGGACGGCAGTGTAAATGCTACTGTACAAGACTATTTCAAAGACTTTCGAGAACATGCATAATATAGAGATTGCCCTGTAATTCTCAATATTTGACTTATCCCCACACTTAAACACTGGGCAGACCTTAGCGATCTTCCAAATATCTGGAAATCTTTTTGTTATAAGACAAATATTAAAAATCCTAGTTAGAACATCAACAAACACTTCCACACAATCTTTGACTATAAAGGACGGGATGCCATCTAGACTAGATGTCATCTTATCCTTTAGTGATTTAATGGCCTTCCTGACTTTTCCTCAATTGGATGAAAATGGACAAATAAATTACTATGATTTAGTGAGGCATTATTATGGGGCTTGTGAGTGACATAGACGCTGCTGAAAAACTCACTGAATGCGTTTACTATATCCTGAGGCTGACCTATAGAATTATTTTGAAATTTCATTATCCCTGGGATTCGTGATGTGTTGTTTTTGGAGTGAACGTATGACCAAAAAGCAATGGCCTGCTATAAGGTTTTGCTTCAGATTTAGTCACAGTGCAACAGAAAATTTGTCAGAAGCATTGGTTTTTCGGTGGTTTAAGGCATTTTCAGAAAGGAGATAGTCGACTGAAGATGAATCACGAACCGAAGGCCTTCATCTTCAAGAACCGATGAAAATATCGACAGAATCCGGGATCTTGTGCGTTCAGATCGTCGGTTGATAATCAGAATGATCGGGAAAGAATTAAATTTGATCCACACCACCGTTCATCAGATCAAGAACAACTGAGTGTCGCATCACGATAATGCACTGTCAGTAAACGAGCTTTTGGCCAGTAAAAACATTATTGTGGATCCTCAGGCTCCGTATTCGCCTGACTTGAGGCCTTGTGACTTTTTTCTCTTCCCGAAGTTGGGACAGAAGTTATTTTGAAGGTGAAAATATAATTTTGTAATTATATTTGAATAAAAAAAAATTAAATAATCGTTGTCATCACTTAATTTACAGACCTAGTACAATATGACTTAACTGGATATGACGTAAGGATATCTTTTGAATAGTACAAATTTCTGGGCAATGAGTATCTAGTATTCTGGTTTTGGCCTATGCTTTATACACTTCCATTGGGACTTTAACCATTTATTAGGAATGCTATAGATTCTTTAGATTGAGATAGCCTCAATGAAGAAGCTTTATAGTCCTTCTTACTATTTAAGCCGAGCTATTATTGCAAAAACAAAAACAAATGATTCTTACTTTTCGGAATGGTTGAGAAAACATGAGACTGAAGAAAATTCTCGAAAATATTTATATTTAGTTTATACACGGAGCCTGGAATTCTTACAACGGCACGAAAAAATTAAACGTTCATTTTTAATGTGTTTTACGTTTTATTTTTGTATCTTTTCCACATATAAATCTCAATAGATACCTTAGAATTCGAACGCAAATTTTGATAATTAAAAATGCTATGATAACTATAACTAACAGTACTGCAATCACTGTTGCTAGAACATCCAACAACAAAAGTTGGTAAAGTGGTATATCTGCAGCTGGGCTCTTCAAATGCTTGGCTCCTTTATTTCTTAGACAGTATTCTGTCCACCAAACTGCCTTTTCTACTCCAGGTTTTTCCACATCCTTTGATAAATTAGCCAACTCAATTGTGTTCTTCTTAAACCTGAAATAAAGCACCAAACAAGGTTATTGGAGAATAAAGTAAGACCCTTTTTTCTGCAGTCTCGAAAACAGATGCTTCATATTTGTGGAAACAATGGAAAATCGGCTCTGATTGAACATTTTTAATGATCTCGTAGCTTTGATATCCACCATCTAAAGAGATGCAAACTTGGCAATACAAAAAAACATTTAGGAAATAATACTCTTTTCTTAGAATATACCAAACGTATACAATACTCTCTGGAAGTTTAAACGCGAAACAACAGTGCTTTTCAGAAGGGTCCCTCCTTTTCAACGGGTTAATTTAGGGAACGGAAATTCGGGATGATGAAATTGATACATAAATACTATGTTTTAAGGTATAAATAACAATTGGTAATTCCAAGATGGTGTCTGGATAATATCTTGTAATATTTTTTTTTGACGATTTTTTTTTGGAAGGATATATTTGAGAAGAATTTGACATACTTTAACAATTTTTTAACGGAATGTTCCACGTTGTATTACATATTCGGAAAGACTCTTCCAATAGAAGAAGATCGATACTCGTATAACATATATTATAACATATTATAGCGTTGCTGAGGTATGTACAAAAACGTTCAACTTTCACTGCCTACTAGATGGCGTACCAAATTAGGGTGAATATTACGACCAAAAAAATAGGGAAGATAACTACAACATACCAAAAAATGACCCAAGTAAAAGTTTCATTGTTTTTGAGATAATAATTTTTTTGTTTCTCTGTTTTTAATCTATATTTTGTTACTGTGTCTAGAAATAGCAGGATATCTGTTTGTTTTTTTTTTTTGCAAAATATTCTCAGATGGTTGGTCTACCACTTGAAATATTATTTTCGACAAATACAAGTAGGTAAACTTGACAAACTAATTTCTTCTTCGTAATTTTTATTTTAGAAAATTATTTTACTTAACTTTGGAATTCAGCAATGAAATAAAAATGTATTAGACTGCTACTGCAAAGTACTGTGATAAATTACCTGCTTAATCAGCAACAAAAGTTGGGTCAAACGAGGAAATTTTTCGAAAAAGGCAAAAAAATATCTCAAAACCGTGAAACTTTTATTAGGGTCATTCTTTGGTATGTTGTAGATCTGCATTTCGCCTATCTCCCCCATTTACCGGACACCCTGTATACCTTTGACCAAAAGGTTAAATTGTGACAGAAAATCTGATTTCAAAATCATTCTTTCATAATCACTACGATAAATGGAAGCTATTTCATTAACATGCTTGGCTATAGACATGTGCATCACCACCAAATCTTATTTTTAACTAATAAATTACAACTGCATGTATGATCAAGAGAGAGCGACATAGTATGTTTCCTTTATTGTTAAATGTAGGTGAGACACATGTGATTTTATAGTGCAAAATTGCTATGATATTACCACAAGATGACCTAAATAGTTGTTTGTATCCTTCGACCTAATAACAATAAATGTCTCGTCAACCTAATATTGACTTCTAAATTACTTTTATTCCCCACTTTCTGAAAAAGTCAAACCCTTGGAAGTAAATAAGTAGTAAGTAAATATAACCTTTTTTAAATTAAAATGTTTGTTGTGCACCACCCATCATTCTATTGGAAACAATATTTCCCATCATCTTGAATTTTCTAATGCGACATTTACGCTAAGTTGGTGCATCAATTCCATTACACTGAATTTCAGATTTTTGATCCGTCAAAAAGAAAAGGGGTGACCTGTATATCATTTTTGAATCTATCAAAAAATGAGATATCACTTATGCATTTGATGACCGTAGTTTATACTTACTTGGGGTTATTTATTACTTCTAAAATCGTCATTTTCAGAGCTGCCTTCGTCATGTTTCTATTATCCAATGACAAGCCTATGCCCTTCTCGTTCAGAATTTTTGCGTTTCTTTTTTGTTCAGGCATGAATGGAATGGCTACCATTGGTACATGATTGACAACTGCTTCTTCTAATGACTGAAGTCCGCACTGAGTCATGAAGAGTTTAACATTTGGATGACCTGAAAAAGTAAAGGGTGCCTCAATTTTTTCTTTTAGATTGTTTTTTGATAAATCACTAAGTACACAGTATAGCAATAGCATATCAGGCAGATATTTTCCTTGACTTTATGTCAAAACTTTTCCTGATCATTTTGCATAATGTAACTAAATTTCGGTGTTTCCTCCTCCAAAGCACGAGTGTTTGTCGGATTGTTGATTCAACTCTTTAACTTCAGATAAATCCATAGAAAATCCAATGGTGTCACATGATGTGGGAAGCCAATTTTGGTCATCAAAGCGAGACGTAAACGAATTTTTTTTTGGGCTGTAGGTTGACATGTGTCGTGGTCCCTGTTGAAACGACACCTTATCAACGTCACTGTTTTCCAGTTTGGTCAGTAAGAAGCCCACAAATATTGCATTGGAGGAAAATCCAACGAAATCAGCTGCATTTTTACAAAATAGAATTTCGACAAAAGGGTGCGTATGTTCCCGTGAAGCCGAGGGGTCTATTTGCCTTATGTGCTGTTCCTTCTATCCGGTGTACTTTGTGATTGAATAAAGAAATAACAATTTAAAAAAATGGCGGAACCAGGTCGAACCAGATTGGTCAATTCAAACGGCTTGACTAACAGATTCAGCGTAAGGGAGTGAGTGGGCATTCAGATCACAGTTCTCTTTGTACTCACGAATAGTGCACAGATGGAGGAAACTATCTTTACTTTGGGGGGTATACCTGAGAGGGGGGTTTTAAATCGTGCTTGAGGCGGTATTCGTCAGGATCTCGTTTTCAGCAAGGGGCTATTAATTGAATTCCTGATCAAGTTGAGCAGATATTTGATCCTGCGGTAGCGGCACAAGGTGCCATAGCAACAGAAGAGCATGGGTTACTCTCAAGGCCATCCCAGGCTTTTCCGATCGGACTCCCAGGTTAAGTACCCGCTCGAGTATCATGTAAAGAACTTATAAAACGTCAAAAAAACCTATAAGATGTCAACTTGCAGACTAGGTAGCTTTTAGGGCGCAAACAGTCATTCCACGTTTGCTCACTAGGATCGTTGTGAACGTCCATCTATGGAGGAATCACTCAACTAAACTGCAACGCATTATTGTTTGCATATTTTTGTGAGGCTGGGTGATCCGTGTCTGTAGTTTTTATCTCTGAGAAGAAAGTTGGTTGAATAGCAAGATCGCATCTGGATGATTATGTGTATTGGTCTGCATGTGTATAAAATCAGTGATATTTACTGTGTGAGAAAATCATCACTGAATATGCTGAATATGTTGTGCTTTCTGAATAGAGGTTATGATCAAAGTTATAAATAACGAAAAGCTGAGGAGAATTACAGGCAATCATCACTGCGCCCGCGTTGTGTGAAATCACTGTTAGCATGTGCTTTGATAGTGTACAGTGAATGGAATTATTTCTGATCTCTCTCATTGTTGAAATTCAGCAAATTTGTATATGTAATTTCCAGAATGCATAAGAAAAAGTGGTGTATTTGAGACAAGAATCCAATGGAATTATCATCAACACATACAACTTACAGCTTAGACCTCCACTAATGCCATCTCAGAAGCAGATTTTACATCACATCAGAGCAAAAGATTGATAACAAGCCTCATGACATTTAGGCAACACGTACAACTAAGAGCTAAGTTAACATCTTGTAGAAAAACCTACATAATGTAAAAAAAACAGCATAATGTCAAAAAAATATTATATTATTATAATGTCACTTTTCAAGATACGTGATACCCGTGCCGGAATCATTATTTAAAATTAGTACACTTCATTGAGTAGTGACATTTGATCCAGTACGCAGATTGGATGATAGTTTGTACTTTAACGCCCAGTCGATCATATTATGCATATTATATAATTTAGTAATCCATACTTGTCCATGTTATGAATTGAAAGGGAGTTTTTCATTATAAAAGTGAAAATAATTATGTTTCCTTCATATGCAAACAAAACCCTTGGATGAGTGAAGGGTTGCCTTCAGCAGCTCTCTACCCATCACAGGCTAGTGTATCGGCGCGAAGGTTCGCATGTTCAGCTTCCTGCCTCGGAAGTAACTTCGAGCCATGGATGTTGTGTTTGTTTATATGTGTATGAACACACCTGATAGGTGCAAGATGAAATAAGTACATCGCATCGTTGGAGCTGGTTTACGTAATGAATTTAATCAGTTCTCTGATATCAGTAGATAAGGAGTAGATGGTAAAACGAGGTCGGCAAAAATGGTCAAAAGTGGCCCTGTTGCCACACTTCTCTTCCTTATCACTATTGATCAGACTAAGCTTTCTGTCTGATTTCAATCAAAATAAAGATTATTCTAAGTTCATTTGTAACAATGATATGCCTTGTCGTACCTAACAATACGATTTTTTTTTGTTCAATGTTGATGAATGCGCACATTACAATCAATTCAATTAAAACGGAATATTGGCTTACGCAATTTTACAATAAGTCGTAATAATAAGCATAGAACAAAGAAATATAAAAATACAGAAAACAAAGTTGAAAAATCTTCCTTTTTTTGAGTGGAACAGAGGTACGAGTTCTTATTATGAAATATATTGAATAAATTGTTACGTATTCAACTTTTTTTTCATTCTTATAGAATTTGTCACCTAACAAATCCTGTTGTGGTATCCATTTCATGATCTTTACATTTTTTGGTAAATTCTCGATAGCACTGCCCTCGTATTTCCACAAAACCTTGTAGGGCAACTCAGCGAATGTTTCAAGAAGTGCTCTTTTGATATTATCATTCAGTAAATAGGCTTTTACGTTGGTGCCTAAGCTGAAGTATATCACCCCTTCTTTGGCATTATCCATATATTGTTCCAGTTCCTAAAATTTAAAATCTCATTGTTGGAAAATGGAGTTAGGTAGACTAGGTTGATACAAATTGCGTACATATACAAATTATTCACTTCGGGCCTGATGAAGCCAACCAGCAGAAATAAGTATCGCTCGGGTTACCTATCCTATTTTCTGCTCGAATCCACTTTCCTTCTTTTTGCGGATTTTGCCCATTATTTTACTATTTTTGTTATATATATATATATATATATATATATATATATATATATATACAGGGTGACTTCGAAGTTGAGTCATTTATTTTAACAGTGAGTAGATCTGATCAAAAGAAATGTTTTTTTCCTTTACCATTTTTCTGGTAAAATTAAAGTAACAAAGTTATAGCCCTTTGGAAGTTTGAGTACCGCCCTGTCTCAATAATAATATCATGTACTCGTGTTTGGCAACAACGGATATAATCCACCTTATCGGTTCATCGCATGGGAAACAAAAAAGCGAAAGAATTTGGAACGACGTTTTTATTTCATTCAGTTCAGTTATACATACATTCAGTGTCAGTCGCGTGTGAATAGTGTCTGTTGCGTGGCTCAAACGAAATAAAACATGGCACATGTTTATGCGGATCGGTTTCCCAATCGAGTGCAACCAACCCCTCGTGCCTTTGTTAATGCAGTACAACGGGCTCGTGAATCAGGTGACTTAAGACCTCACAGGGCACCTCACGATCAAATACAGGTCCGCACTGAAATACTTGTTGGGAGGATACTTTATAAAACAAGGTAAAAAATTTTTTATTTTTTTTTATTTTTACACACATATTTTGGTTTATCTTCCTTCTACAATCATTATCTGAAAATTAATGACTCAACTTCAAAGTCACCCTGTATATATATATATATATATATATATATATATATATATATATGCGAGCAGTAGTCATTGCCATTGCCAACGACCAGTTGGGCAAAAAAATATAATTAGTTGTTAATTGGGAAATTGGCAAAATTTTAGGCTTTAGTAAACTCTTTTAACGGTAATCTCGAGCTTTCGGCATTCTCAATGGAGCCATCTTCAGGAGCTGAAAACACAATTATGATGCTAGCAACCAATACGGGAAGGATTAAAATTGTCAGACAAGTTACTCGTTGTTGAGGTTGCAACGTTAGGTGTTAACACTATATATCAATACACCCGAACACATTAAAAATTATCGAAACGCAATTTTGGGGACAAAAACCGTGTGTGTTTCACGTGGAGAAAATGAGCGGACCGGAAGAATGGTGCGTCGACAGATGATAGGTGATTGTCGCGAAGGAATGTGGAAATGTAAACATCACTGCCATCCTTCAGGTATAGTGTACACGAGGGACGCTCGGTAAAACCTCCTAATCATTCCCAAAATGCTGGTTTAAATTTGTTCTGGAAAGAAGTGTTATTCATGTGAGTGTACGAGTGTAAGTTGGTGATACACACTTGAAAAGATCGGTTGTATGAAAATATATTAAAATTTATTGTTACCGTGATGGCAATGTTTCAATTAACAGGATACATAATTGGAATTGTGTTTTAATTTTGGGAGGACGTAAGATCAACTGCGATATGAAGACGTTCTAACTTTTCGCAATTCAACAAGTAAGAATACATGACAATAACCTGCCTTTTTACTCATGCAATGATCTGTCATGAAAATGTGGGACATTTCTAAAAATAGACGTTTTGTATATATATATATATATATATATATAACTTGAGACGTGGTCATTGTCGTCTAGACCAGTCAGGTGAAAAATTAAAGCTTCCGCCTTTTGTTGTGTACTTCGACAAAATTTAAGCAAAGAGGACTCTTTATACTTTTTTAATTCTCTCTAGCTTTCAATGGACTTTGCCATCATCATCAGGAGCTGCAATTACAATGATAACAGTAGCAACAATAGTGTAAAATCAATTTAAATTGACTCAACGTACAGTAGTATGTGAGGATGTTGCTAATTGTTGTTTACGTATAGGATGAGGGAAACGTCCAGTAACATGGTGAGAGCTGGATAGATGGTACAATGGTCAAAATTATATAAAATATGACAAGAACAAGTTAAAAACAGATTAAAAATTATTTAAAAACATTTAAGCATTACATCGTGAAGCCACTTGATGATTGCACAAAATGGTGGTCATGGAATAATGAGTGAGATGAACCCTTTGACAGAAGGCCGAAGGTTGTCAATGTCTGTGTAGAAAGATGGAACGAATTGTGGGCGTGTGCCAACGTTGCCAAATCACTTCAGAATGATGTGATTTTCAGAATGTTATGTAAGAAATTGTTAAACCGACCAGAGGCAGTTGAATAAACTATATTTTAATCAATGGGAAATTAAATTAACAATTATTATTAAATCGTGAGAAGAGAATTATTAGAATTTGTGTGGAATGAAATTTACTGGTGGAATCGACCAAGATACAGATTCTATTTATGGTTGTGAAGAGTCAACATTTGGGGAGATATGTATGTTCTCCAATTTTTCGCAGTTTAGCAAATATGAGTAAATGACACTCAGTTGTTTAACATCGGTCTTTTTGTTGATACAGTTGTTATTCATGAAAATGTGGGACATTTCCAGGAATAAACGTTTGGAAAGGTGTTTTTCTTTATCAAGAACTTTGATACTTGTGTAATTCATAGAATGCCCTGTTGTGTTAACATGAGATGCTAGAGCGCACAAAAGTGATTCTAGGCTTCATCCTGAAAGATGTTTTTAAATAATTTTTAATCTGTTTTTAACTTGTTCTTGTCATATTTTATATAATTTTGACCATTGTACCATCTATCCAGCTCTCACCATGTTACTGGACGTTTCCCTCATCCTACACGTAAACAACAATTAGCAACATCCTCCCATACTACTGTAAGTTGAGTCAATTTAAATTCATTTTACACTATTGTTGCTACTGTTATCATTGTAATTGCAGCTCCTGATGATGATGGCAGAGTCCATTGAAAGCTAGAGAGAATTAAAAAAGTATAAAGAGTCCTCTTTGCTTAAATTTTGTCGAAGTACCCAACAAAAGGCGGAAGCTTTAATTTTTCACCTATATATATATATATATATATATAGCTTCAGTCTTTAGTTGGGTACTTCGACAATATTAAAGCGAGGATGACTCTTTATATTTTATTAGTCTCTAGATGTCCTACACCATCTTGTGCAGCAACGAGTGGTTTGTTCACGATGTAATATGTTAAAAAATTTAAGTTCCATTCCAAATATTTTTAATCCGTTGTGATGTGTTCCTGTGTGTGCTTTTTACCATTTTTAACTAATATACCATGGATCCAGTTTTCACCAGGCTACTAAATGTTTCCTTCAACTTAACCGTTAATAACATTCAGCAATAATCTCATATACTATTCTCCTGAAAATGATGGCATAGCCCGTCGAAAGCTAGAGACTAATAAAGTACTATAAAGAGTCTTCATCGCTTTAATCTTGTCGAAGTACCCAAATAAAGGCTGAAGCCTTTTTTCTCACCCAACTGGTGGTTAGACGACTATGACCAGGTCTCAAGTTGTATATATAACTTATATTATATATATATATATATACATATATATATATAAAGAGAAAATTATCATGCAGAGAAAGGTATATAACAAAAATAGGAAAATAATGGGCAAAATCCGCAAAAAGTGGATTCGAGCAGAAAATAGGATAGGTAACCCGAGCGATACGTATTTCTGCTGGTTGGCTTCATCAGGCCCGAAATGAATGCACATATGCAACTACAAACGTAGATACACATGCCCACACATCCGGATACGGGTGTAACCTGAGGAAACGAAGATGGAGAGGAAACATATATATATATATATATACGTCTTTATCTTTCAGCCCTCTGTCACTTGCGCTGCTATTTTTTTTCGCACCATAGAACCTTCCCCAAGAGTCTTCGTTGACGAAAACATCTTACACACCCCAAGTCGCTTGAGTACGATTTTGAGATATTTTGTTCAATGATCAATAAACCGAAGGTCACGTCAAGTGAGTCGACTCTACAATTCCCACGCAACGCTGTCATCAGTTCGTAGAAGATCATGTTCGGCACCAGTTAGCTCCTTTTATAAAAAGGTTAATTACGAACATTCATAACAAAGGAATTAACTGGGTCAAGCTACTCAAATAAACCCACACAATTACCGACCATTCGACCACGTTGCGATCAGAGTTACCAGGTATAATTACCGATTCTGTAATGGCCAATTGGCGTGGGAAGGAAAACAATAATTTTACCTTGGGCAGAGGCTTAGGCTCTTTAAGATGCATTCCGCTGATAACGATAGTATTCGGCCCAATCGGTCTAACTTTAGTAATTGCTGGATTCAACGATTCAAATAAGAAACTCATATCTGCTTCTATTTCCTCCAAATTTCTAATATCTTCTCCCAAATGTTTTCTAGCCACAGCAGTTTGTTCAGGATATAACACAAAATCGCTGTACCACCACATGAAAACTGTATGAAACACACTGAGTAGACGCTCCATGAACGTAAGAGGTGGAAGCATGGGTAAACTGCCATCTGGAAAGATGATGGGATGGACCATGTTGCCCAGTCTTCGATGGCTGCGTTCTTGGTTGAAAGAGGCTACGCCTATGAAAGGCACCTTGAATCTGGAATAGAACGAAACATGAAATAACTATTGGGTCGTAGGTAACGTTCTAAGAATATATAGCTACAAGCTACAATCGGCAGTTATTTGCAGAATTCAAATAGCCTATAATAATAAAAATGCCATTTATTCGCAAAAAAGTCATTAAAGGCAATGTATTGCTTAACAACATACATAGATGTTTGGTTATTAGGTTTTTTCTTTTACACAAAATTTAATCAGGATGTGAAAGCAAACATTTCACAAACTAGTAATATACACCTAGGAGTAGCCCACTGGCACCCAACCATAGTCAGCTGTTTCGTGATTTTTAGCCACTTATCCGCATGATCTAGGCTTAGTCTCTGGGACCATGTGCTTACTTAGACAAATTGACTTATGTGTTGTTCTAATTTATCTTTACTTGAATTGTTCAAACATAATATTAATAAAACATAGTTTCCCACCTATCAACAAATCCCATATGCGTGGGATAAACAATCTCCGTGATGATCAAATCAAACTTCTCATCTGGATTCCTGACAATCTTTTGAACATCAGGATGTCCTAGTTGCCAATCTGCAGTCTTAGACAACGCTCCCAAATAGGTTTTGATAGCTTTCAACTTATCTGTTTGATTGGTTAAAGCCTCTGAAGCTCCGTATTTCTCCATGATTCCATACGATCCACTGAGGTCAATTTCTCTTATGTTGGACAGAGTTGGGTCCTTCATAGGATCGGTTGTTAAAAGGGTCACCTGATGACCTCTTTTGGACAGCTCTATCCATAGAGGTCGGAATGTAATCTAAAAACGAAGATTGTCTCAAAATAAGTTAGGCATTGTGCTTTAAATTGTGAGGTGGATAGGAAAAGTCTGGGTCCTTCATAGTACATGCTAACAACAGGCCACAACAAGAAGGTACAAAAAACAAAAAACTATAAGAAACAGCAATAAACGGCAAGAAACGACAAAAAAACGGAAAGAAACGACAATAAGCGATAAAAAACGACAATAAATGACAAAAAAAACGACAATACACGACACGAAACGACAAAAAATAACAACAAAAGACAAGAAACGACAAGAAAATACAAGAAACAATAAGAAATGTCAAGAAACAACGAGATATAACAAGATATTTGTTATTGTTACAAGAAACAGCGAGAAACGACCAGTTTATCATCACAGAGGCTTCATAGAAACAAATACTGTCAATCAAAGATGCCCGAAAATTGTAGTTGCTTGCTGTCGTGCATAGAGGTCCGTAGTACCGCGATTTTTGCAAGAAACCGCGGGAAAAATGAAGAAGCATCAAGAAACGTCAATAAACTTTAGTGAATAGAGCTAGAGTAATAGTTGTTTTTGTATCGCCACGTTTCTATTTCTATGTACTCAATGCAAACAGCTGCTACAATAGACGGAATTCCTTGGGAAAGCAGTCCCAAGTATACATGGGAATAAAGGTATCTAATAAACTGCCAAATACATAAGACAATCAAATCCCCACGAACTTACTACTCCGTAGTAAAGCTTATTAGTCAGTCAATGAGTACCTCTGTGATAATACAATTTAACTCCACCTTTTACATGATTTTATCTTATTATGTTATGTATTTTTTCTTTCAATTTTATTAATGATGTTCCTTTACTACGTACACATATTGTGCTGCTTATATTTCTAAGTATATTTATTTGTATTAGTATTTATCTAATCTTATGTGTATACTTAAACAGGGTGGCCCATATATAACTGACTGATTTAAATTGCGCGGCAACAATTTAACCTGCAAAACATGTGGTTCCAGCATGACGGGCCAACTTGTCACACAACTAGTGAAGCAATGAATCTTTTGCGAGCAATATTTCCAGATGGTTTAATTTCTCGATTTGGTGATGTCAACTGGCCACCAAGGTCACCGGATTTAACGGCTCCTGACTTTTTTTTATGGGAAGTTTGGAAAAATAGGGCTTAGGCGAACAAACCAAATACTGCACAGCAGATGAAGAACAATATTATGAAAGCGATTGAAAATATTCGTCCCGAAACCTACCAAAAAGTGATGGAAAATATAATTATCAGGGCTCAGGTTTGGTTTTAGATGCGGACATTTGTCAGATATTATTTTTATACTTAATTTCTAAGTTTCAATAAGGTATTAAGATGAAAAACATGGACGTATTTTATTTCATTACACAAGTATTCAAGTCAGTTACATATCGGCACCCTGTATTCTGATTTTTTCATGTGAGAATTGCTACAAGCAAGGATAATCACACGTTCTTTACTGCGTTTCTAGCCAGGAGCTTCAGATTCTTGTTTTGAAGCTAAACTTTTCGCCGGTAACATTTTATAGTTTAGGCCCGTTTCGTCGCAGTTGTAAATTTGTTCTGGACTTAAACGATACTGCTTCATTAATTCTTTAAAATGTTCTCATAATTTTAATGCAGCGGACTTATCGGCAGATAACTTTTCTCCGCAAACTTTTAATTCTCGTATACCTTGTCGTTTTTTGCGTCTATGCAGCAAACCATCACTGGGTGTAAAGTTATCAGGCGCCTCAATAACTGATAATTATGTTCCGTCATCGTCGAAGTAAATATTCAGAATACATATCGTAGTACCCTCGTAGTAGTACCCAATCCTACGATTTCAAAGCGCGCACGCAGCGAAGGAAAGCGGCAACGCGCCCCTTCTCCCTACCTTCCTCCCCTCTGGCCGCCTATATAAACCTTCATTCCTTGTTCTCGTGCCAAACTGTTAACACCGCGATCGGCGCGCATTTTTACGTTTTCAGCAGTGTCGTGGAATCGCTGAACATTTAGAATTAGAAAACAGGACAGAAGGTTGGCCGATAGATGTGCATTGTTGAACGAGATACTGACCGACGGTCGGCTGAAGGTTCCTTTCATCGCGGAGCAAAATTAGAAAGTGGCGTGCAGGCCTCTTTTTCTGAAGGGACGTCACCGACAGTTAACTGTCGACTAACCGATGAGTTTTAGGTGCAAGTTAAATGAATATTAGTATGGGTGGATAACATGACGTTTGGGATAACGTTCTGATACTGTTGCTTGGGATAGCACCCTAGACCTAGCTTGTGATAGCCAACTCCATACCTAGGACGAACAAAGACGTTTGGGATAACGCTGAACTCGGTTGCTTGGGATAGCAACGTGGACCTAGCTTGTGATAGCCAACTAAATACCAAGGAAGAACAAAGACGTTTGGGATAACGCTGAAACATTACACTCGGTTGCTTGGGCTAGCAACATGGACCTAGCTTGGGATAGTCAGCTCCCCACCAAGGAAGAACGAAGACGTTTGGGATAACGTGGAAGCATTAGACTCGGTTATTTGGGTTAGCAACGTGGACCTGGCTTGGGATAGTCAACTCCACACCAAGGATGAACGAAGACATTTGGGATAACGTTGTGTAATTGGACTAGGTTGCTTGGGATAGCAACATGGACCTAGCTAGTGATAGTCTACACCAAATACGAATGAATATGTTTGGGATAATGACTCAATACTGAACTTCGTTGCACAGATAACAACACTGAAAGCGTTTGGGACAGCGTAGCAACAATGTATGATCAAAAATCTCTTCTCAAATGCTTGTGATAGCAAATTTCATCTGGTTTGTGATAGCCATAGAACAGAACTGTAAGCTTGAACATGGCAGGTTAAGAAGTCGTTAAGATATATTTTTCCTTATTGCCAGATAGAGATTAGGTATCTTATGCGAGGTTAGCGTTGCATTTTGCTTGTGACGGCAAATTCCATCTGGTTTGTGATAACCTTGGAACAGCATAATAAGATTGTACAAGACAGTTTAAGAAACCGACGAAGTACCATGTTTCATTAATAACAAATAGGGATTAGGTTCATGTATGCGAGTCTATCATAACATTTTGTTTGAGATAGCAAATTCCGTCTGGTTTGTGATAACAATGTAGCAATATAGCATTTTTCATTTATAACAGATAAAAATTGGGTACATCTATGTGAGACTAGCGGTACATTTTGCTTGGCATAACAAATTTCATCTGGCTTGTGATAGCAATGTAGCAATATAGAATTTTTCATTTATAAAAGATAAAAATTGGGTACATCTATGTCAGACTAGCGGTACATTTTGCTTGGGATAGCAAATTCCATCTGGTTTGTGATAACTATGGAATAATATTGTAAGGATGCACATGAGAAGTTAGGAAGAAGCCGAAGTACCATTTTTCATTAATGAACGACAGAGATTAGGTACATGTATGCGAGACTAGCGTTTCATTTTCCTTGTGATAGCAAATTCCACGTGGTTTGTGATAACCATGGAACAGGTGTGTAATTATGAACATGTCAGGTTAGAAAACCGCCAATGTATATCTTTTCCTTATCACCAGATAAAGAATAAGCACCTTATGCGAGGTTAGCGTTACATTTTGCCTCTGATAGCAAATTTCATCTGGTTTATGATAACCTTGGAACATCTTTTTCAGAATGCATATGACACTTTAGGAAACCACTAAAGTACCATTTTTCGTTAATAACAGACAAAGATTAGGTTTTATCTAGGTGAGACCAGCGTTACATTTTGCTTGTGATAGCAAATTCCATATGGTTAGGAATAGCCATCGAACAGGTCAATAATAGGCACATGGCAGGTTACGAAACAGCTGAAGTACTATTTTTCATTAAAAACATATAGAAATTAGGTACATCTATGGTAGACTAGCGTTACATTTTGCTTGTGATAGCAAATTACACCTGTCTGGTGATAAATATGGAACAGGACTGTACGTATGAACATGACCGGTTAGGAAACCACCAAAGTTCTAATATTCAGTAATAACGGAAGTTAAATATCATTATTAACTTTACATTTTGCATAGGTGGCACTCGAACAGCAGGGCGCTCTGGATTGTGTTGTGTTAAAGGCCATGTAGTCTGTTTCAATAGATGACGCATCACCACGATGATCCGGCGACCTTTGTATAAATAATATCCATGCGTTGTTCCAAGGCTGACATTTCGAGGGCAGGTCTTGTTGATGACGATAGATGAACAAATTCTGTTCTATTCTAGCCACCTAAAGTGAACCAGGTGAGGTAGCGGAAGCAATAATAGAAATTGACGCACGCAGGGATGCGTGCTTGGTCTGTGTGTGTAGCAACATGTGAGCTGTTCATTAACTGCAAGTGGCAATACTCTATTCCCTAGGTTCAAAGAACACAGGAGTATTCTCACAGAGGCTTCCATTGATATCTTGTTCTTCGGTGTAGGTTTGACCAAGTAAGTCAATTCTAAATAGAAATCAGATAATTTGAGCAGCAACTGAAGGCCAAAAGGCCAGACAACATCAACTTGTTATTGCAGATGAGGTATGTAGATCATCATGGACATTGTCGCGTATTCATCATCAATGGCAGAGCTTTAGGAGTGGCGCTAAAGTCCTGAGTTGGAGTCAACTGATCACTTGCCATTCCGATGGCGACTGGTTCAGCACTTTACCATAGCTGAATCTCATTAGTCCATCTATGAACTACCGACCTTCGACAGTATCTCAATTGCTTCGCTGCGGTACTATCAATAAGAAAGTTAAGCTAACTGAAAATCAGCACCTATCCAACTTTTTCTTGCCCCCAAGTCTGATGGGTCAACACGTTTGATTCCTTACCTCAAGACACTTTGTCTGTTGATAGGGATAGAACACTTGAGTCTAGGCTATTCAACTGGGATCAGACTTCTACGTAGAGATACTTTCTGAACGAATCTGGAATTGGAATATGCAGAGATTTTGTACCCGTTAGAGAGAGTCATAGAGTATATTTCAGATTCATATTCAAGGGACAGCTCTTCCAATACAATAATGTACCGTTTAGGGTAAATTGTGCCCCTCATGTGTTCACAAAGTTAATAAAACTATTTCTGGAATACCTTAAGAAAAAATTGAGCACTCTCAGGCTCAGTATTAAATTGTGACAGAAAGAAAGTAACTTTACGTGAACGGACGATGCAGACATTACTAAACCTAGTAAGGGCAATAATGTACAGCAACCAAGACAGAGTCCAAAACTTTGCAGTGAACATCGGGATCTTGCTGTCAGCTTGTCTTTCATTTCGTTACAGCCGACTATACTCTAACGAGTGGAATGTCTTGCCTTGTAAAATTCTCAAACGAATTTTAATGCTACTATCACAATAACATAATATAACTTAAGGTCTACCTCGGCTGGGGCTCAAAGAATCTCGCAGATGCGGTCAGAGGTATTGAATTATCCAGTCGATAATCCATCATGCATTGTGGGCTTAGATTACGGTAGGACCTTTTGTCGGGAAGAAATACATGTCTGGTTTCCTACCTTGAAATTTCTTACCTTACAGGTGATAAGAGATCAAGATGTAATTGTTTGAGCTATCAGTCTTTTACTCAAAATGTTACTAACGATGCAGACATAAGATGGTTTTTGAAGGGCATTTACAGTCTGAGGCCATCTCAACTGAAGTATAGATACTGCGGTTATTCTCAACCAACCAAACGGGTTGCTGGTAAGCTCTGTAGACATTTGAATGAGGAAATCAGCAACACTGCTAGCTCTAACCTCAGGTCAGAGTGTGCAAACTAATTGAAACAGACAACATCCGGATTGGGTAGAATAATATTGAAATTGGGATTTCTCAGTTTTTGAAAGTCTCGGGGTCACTTGTAGTTTTACCGTATTTTACGCTGTCAAAGTATTTATTTGCCATTGTACAGTAACTTTATCATAGGCCTCTGCTCCCAGATGGATTAAGTCGGTTTTAGCAGATAGTGTCACAATTGACAGCCCACAGTACATGCGTCTAGCCCTCCACCTACTAAATTATAGTATTCTCAGGCTCGCGGCGGGCTGGAGTGCGTTTTCTGAGATACGTCACAAATCTCTTATGCCAAACAATAGCCTTGCTCAAGCGGCATTTAAGGTGGACCAAGTCCTCACACCTTAAACATTACTATGTTATTATGTTATTTGCTTATTACTATGTAATGGATGGTAATTTTTGAACCAGGTACGTCATATTACCTGTTACTAAAAGCCCTAACTTGAGTTGTTACAATGGAAATGTACATTTAGTTGACACATACATTGCGTACAATTTCTGTAGTTGTGTACAACCTATCGTTTACTAGTGCAGAGCGCTAGTAGTATGTTGTTGCAACTAGCTTTGAACATATACGATATGTATTCTAAATATTTACTTCGACGAGGACGGAACATAATTACATACATGATCAAACGAACTTTCCTGAAAGTGGGGAGGAAGGTAGGGAGAAGGGGCGCGGTGCCGCTTTCCTTCGCTGCGTGCGCGGTTTGAACTCGTGAGGGTCGGGTACTACTACGAGGGTACTACGATATGTATTCTAAATATTTACTTCGACGAGGACTTCACATAATTAAGATCGAACATCACTTATAGGTAAGTGCGTTTGATCATGTAATTCTCCACTTAAGTTGAGTGCCTTTCGCTTTAGAATTGGTCCGGAAATTGGTATTCCACGCTCTCGATTCTGTGTAAACCACTTTTTGATATTCCCCTTTTTCATAGTTTTCCGTGACGGCTGCGATGAAGTCAGAACATAGATCACTTTTCAATTTTCTCGCGTTGTTTTTGCCATTCTGAAATGGTACTCACGCCCACACCCAAATCGCTTGCCACGTTTTTAAGCAAATCACCCCTATCTAAACGTCTGATTGCCTCAAGTTTCTGTTCTATGGTAATAACAACGCGTTTACATTTATTTCTATGATGCTCCATCTTAGCGATTATGAAGCTGACTGAAACAAATATACACGCACACATACCAGTGAATTCCGCAAACGCGCTTGGTTAATCACCGGCAGAGAATCTAATGACGCAAACGCCGAAAGGGGAACTACCGGCGGCTATTTCGGATCATGCGCCGATTTCCCGAACAACTTCGGTTAAAACGGAGAAATTATTGTATGCGATCTGTTTAGGATAAAGCGGATTTCGAATAATCGCGATTCGGATAATCGGGGTTCTACTGTATGTTAAAAAAATCCGTAACTGTTAATTTATCTTCATACATTTTGTAGCTGAAAAGTTTGGTCAGTTCTCCAAAGCAATACGACAATCAAAATATCATACCTGATGACTGTAACTTGGTGTGAAGACGGTTGCCAGTATCTTAGCGGTATCATGTCCACTGACGGAACACAAAAAAATTAGCCAAAACTTCATTTTCTCACTACTCAATGCCTAACTATAGAAATCACGTGTTATTTAACAAAATGAAACCGTACAAAATAACAAGTTGATCTAGATATTGGATCGAAAAAATGTATCTCGCGATAAGATAATTTTAAGAGGGTAACGTACACTATAGTGATAATTGAAGCTTCAGTGTAAGTTCGGTTTTTGATCAATTAAATTACCTCTTCCAGTTGATTTTGAAACAACTTGTGTATTCAACAACACTCACAATACAAAAGCAGACATTGGAAACATATATAGGGAACGAAATATGCACATTATACATATTGACAAACATAAAAAGAAATGACTTCAGAAGTCATTTAGGGTGCTGAGTAATAAGCAACAGTGAAATACTAAAATGCCTTATTGATTCTTATTTCGCGGTCGAGAGTTATTTTATGGGAATCAACAACTTGAAGGCTGCTTAAGAGCTCAGCTGGAGATATTCAAAAGAGAATAAATGCAATTTCCAACAAGTTGCAGATATTTCTGCTTGTCTGGTACTTGTGCCTTAACATTTTGTACACCATCAGAGCCCTTCCTCGGTACATTTACTACTTTGATAACTGACACATTTTTTACGTACAAAAGTCCGGCGAACTCCTTCCAATACTCATTTCTTATCGAGTTCCATATGCAATCTCAGTATAGTTGTAAGTAAGTAATGAGTTTTTAACATGGAAATCATTGGATTGGTTGAGGAGGACCTCAGCATGACCTAAAGAGTATTCAAATTCCATTTTCTCCCCGTCAAAACAAACACTAACGCGCGATGTTCAAACTCGCGCGCTCTTATAGGCGGGTCATAAATGCCTGGGCAGGCGACGACAAGCGAATAAAAATGGCGTTCGAATTCACATGTTTGTGCTGGCGCAGAGTTTTAATAGGTTATAAGAAATAAGATCTGTGTCATCAATTTAGTGATGTATTACGATACGTCATTTCAATGATCATTTTTCAATACCCTGTGTACATCAAGTACTTGTGTTCAAGTAATTGGAAATTTGATATCGAACAATTTATTGACCCACTTAAAGCAACCAGTGGCGTACTTGCCAGGTTATCTTGTGATATGTTTGTCAATGTCATAAGTTGTATATTATCTACTTTATAAGAATAATTTTGTCGAAAAAACCCCTATGCTATAAACAAAATTGGGATTAAAACTCAAAATAATAATATAGAGCAGACCAAAGCTTTTGGACTTTCATTGTATTTAGGTATAAGGGATGTTGAATAAACCTCATTCCCTTGTCATAGACACACCACTGCATTATCAAGTGCACCGTGAAACTGCACAATCAGCTCCCTTGATTTGAAATCAGTTCACATCTAGTATTCTTCCAGTGATGTATCTCACAGGTATATTTCTAAGCCTGCTAGGTTTATGCCATGGCGCAAACATTTTGGCCATTATTCCTACACCTTCTTTCAGCCATCAGACAGCATTTTGGCCACTATGGAAACAACTATCACTCAAAGGTCATAACGTAAGTTTAAATAATCTTTTTACTCGATTTATACGAAATCATTTCTCCAATTTATAGAAATTGGTATCGGGATGGCTTTATGCAGAGTTGTCTTCTACATTATTTTTAGGACCTTACCTTAACAATTTTGTTTTTTTTTCAGGTTACCGTTGTTACAACGGACCCAATGAACGACCCAAAGCTCACGAACCTGACTGAAATAAACCTCCATAGTGCATATGAGCTGATGGATCCAGTTTACCAACGTATGGGCACGATGGATCCATTAACAACTTTAAAATTTTTCAACCAACAGATGCGTCTGGTTATGCTCCATATACTTGACCAAGAATCTGTCAAGGAACTAATGAAAAAGGATAAACGTTTCGATGTGGTACTTGTTGAATCCCTATTCCCGCTATTTTTGGCTTTTGGGGAGAAACATAGATGTACTACGATCTTGGTGAGCTCCTTGGATGCCCTTAATTATATTCACAGCTACATGGGGAACCTGGATCATCCAGTGGCAAGTCAGAATATGTTGTTGCCGTTCTACAAAGACCACACCTACAAGGAACGATTGATAAGTACCTTTTTCTATGTGTACGGATGGTACCACAAACATTTTGATTACTTTCCACAAATGAACAAAGATATTGCAAAGAGCTTTGGGGAAGGAATGATTACACTACAGGATATGTTGAATAAAGTTCAAATGCTGTTTTTGAACGTACATCCTGCTTTAAACAGTCCGAGACTTATGGGGCCCTCGACTATCATGTTTGGAGGAATGGTACACTTAAGAGAGCCAAAACCTCTTCCCCAGGTAATAATACACATTGCTTATTTAAAAGTGATTTTTCCCATCAGGTCATCATTTTCTGCACAACTAAAGAAATTGTGGCATTGACCTCAGGAGAATCTTTAAATTATTTCGATCATGGAACTCTTGAAACAGTTCCATACTTAACAATCATCGAGCCATCCGATTCTTAAAATTTAGTGCTATACTAAGTGGCATAGATAAAAGAACCAGTGCCGGATTAAGCCAGCGCGGGGCCTGAATCAAATTCTGTCAAGGGACCCTAGGTTTGCTTTATGTTTTCAATTTTAGGGTATTAAATAAAACAAAATTGTTATAAATAAACTTTTCTGGATTTAAGATGGGCAATATCGACTTATTTAAGCAAATCATATACTAAGTGACATATAAATCCGAACACCCAGTTTAAATCATTTATTTTAATAAAATTTTGTATAAGTACTTAATGAAGCATAATGAGTAAATGATAAAAATTTCAAAATGATTGCACTGCTTTAAAGCCCTTTGACCTTTAATAATGTGTGGATGCACCCTGATGTGCTACGCATTCTCCAACGCGTCTAGGCATGCTTCTGATCAGGTGGTCAATGTCCTCCTGTGGTATCTCATTCCAGGCAACCACCAACTCCTCTCGAAGTGCTTCTAGAGTCTGAGGAGGACGTTGCAAATTGAGCAATCTCCTACCCATCATATCCCACACGTGCTCAATTGGGGATAAGTCGGGAGATCTTGGTGGCCATGGTAACAATGTGATATCATTATGTTGAAAGAAGTCTATTGTGACTCTTGCAACATGTGGTCGGGCATTATCTTGTTGGAAAGTTGGATCTGCCAGGGTGTCAAGATAGGGTAAAAGATGGGGTTCTAGAACTTCGTGGATATAACGCTGCGCGTTCTTGTTACCTCTGATGAAGATTAAATGTGACCTGGAACCATAAGCTATAGTACCCCAAACCATAACTCCAACAGTGTGATGAACATGTCCTTCAACAAAAAAACTGTGGATTCCTCCTTCCACCACGTCGCCTTCTAACCCTGGCACGACCATCGTGCATGCCTAAACAAAATCGAGACTCGTCACTAAAGACAATACTGTTCCATTCCTGATCCCAGAGTGACCGTTGTCTGCACCACTCAAGGCGATTACGTCCGTGTTCTCGAGTTAAAGGGAGGACCCAGTGTGGCCGGTATGAAAACAAGCCAAAACTTCTCATTCGTCGGTAAACACTTCGCATGTCAATAGGTCTTCCGTGTTCTGCAAACCATTCATTTGCAATGGACCTGGTAGTGGAGAAACGGTCCCTTAAGGCCAATAGTCTTAGGCGGCGATCTTCACGGACTGTTGTTCTACGGCGGCGTCCAGTGCCCCTTGCTCTTTGCGAACGGCCTTCTGGAAGCAATGCCTGACAACACCTAACCACAGTGTCTACACTTCTTTGCACTCTATCTGCAATTGCTCGAAAAGAAAGTCCAGCTTCCCGAAGTCCCACTATACGGCCCCTATCAAACTCACTAAGTTGACGAAATCGTACAGGTCTTCGTACTCTAGGCATCGTAACCGATCGTAAAGGATGTCAAGAACCAAAATCCGCCAACGTTGATTCTTTACTGCGGCTGAAATATTCATTTTTAGAGCGTTAGTGAATTAAAAAAAAAGCAGTATAAAAACCGGAATGCCCAACTGATAAGGCTGAAAATTTTTTCACTTGTTATTTACAGTAAGATAAATACATTCACCAACTTTTATTAAAATAAAACCATTTAAACTGGGTGTTCGGATTTATATGTCACTTAGTATACATACAACAAAGTGAGATGATTAAGACGTTCTTGGCCCATCGTGTTCCTTAATTCATTTTTAATACGTTTTAGTGTTAAAAAAGGACGTTCGCCACTGCAGTTAGTGATCATGAAAGACAAGTAAATACGCAAGGCAATTTCTAAGTTTAGCTAACACGATTCTAAAGAATTATTTAATAAAAGTTTGTAAAATTGCTGTTCAAGGGGCTCCTGTTTTTTGCAGTCAATAACAGTAGCCACATCTGTTTTTAGCAGCTCTTCGAACTGCCCTAATTCGCCACCTAGGTTGTTCTCTATATCGTCTTCATAAGCACTGACCATTTCCAAGGATTTTTACAAAATCTCTTCTTTTTGTAAGAGATTTTAGCTGTCGAAAAACTTCAAAAACACTAGTAATCTTATGATATGCTTTGTAATGTAATCGTCATTATTCCCGTTTCTAACTTATTCATCGTTGAAATTAGTCCGTAATCTTCACATTACGGCACTCCGCTTTTTGATCCACGTTATTGAAAATGTCTTCCAACACTTGCTCAATAGTGATAAAGCTACATAAAACTGCCTTCGTAGCATCAGCTCGGGCTGACCACCTAGTGTCCAATAACCGTTTCAAAATGGGAATTTTTGAAGTAGAATCTTTGAGTGCGTTCATAGGACGACTCCATCGATAGGTAGAAGCGGAAAAAATGTATAGAGGTTTTCAATGAACTCGAAGAAAAATAATGCTTCTGTACAGCAGTCTGCAGCGCACTTAGCAACCAAATTTAATTAATGTGCAAGACAGGGAGAGTGTATTCGGCGTACTTATTTATTTCCTTAATTCGAGCTTGTAAGCCGACGTATTTCCCACTCATGATGCTGGCATTATCGTAGCTTTGTCCACGACAATCTTTGATATTAATGCCACTCTCACTTAAGAAATCTAGTAAACTTTGAGCGAGTTGTTCAACAGTATGACCTTCCATGTCCAAGAACTTAAAAAATCTTTCCACTGGTCCAGACCACAGAACATAGCGCACTATCAGAGTCAGTTGGTCTACATGCGATATATCTGGAGTTGAATGCAATGAAACTGAGTAGCATTTGCATCTCAAATTTCGCAAATAATTTGATCCAGTATGATTGATGCAATTAGATGAATAAATTCCACACAAGTTGTTTTTGATAAACATGACGTATGCCCCTTTCATTTATTAGCATGATTTTGTATATGTTGAGCCATAAAAGCGTAAAATTGGGCTATTCATTCTAACAAGCCCAAATAATTTCCATTGTGAGGTGAAGCAACAATTTCATCACCACCCCGAAACGCAAGACCTCGTTCTGATAAAAACTTTATTACTGCTATACTTTTGCTGTTTCAATTTGGGTCACAAGTTGAGAAAAATTGTGCGCATTCATCTAGTCCGTCTTTCGTAAACCGTGGTGAGGAACTATCCGATTTCGTAACTTTGCAAACAAAACAGAAAAGTCGTCGTTTAGTTTCCGAATAACACAACCAGTCTCTGACCTGAGTTTTATTCGTTGGTTTATGTTTATAGGTTAAAAATGACTTATGGCAGCTTATTTTCGTTTTCGTAAATTTCCTTTGAAGACAAAAAATCTCTATTCATATGTTGCAATTCGCTGCTTCCTTTTTCAATCAAATAATCTCTATCAAAGTTGCTCGGCCATTCACCAATATCGCTCGAGTATATTTTACTTTCGTTTCGTTTTTGACTTGAAACTGTAGTGACATTAGAATCAAGTAATAATATGCCATCGACTACTTTTTGGTTAGAACACGACGACTCTAGATCGAGAGGACTGGCTGTGATTTTAACTTCTCTTTGGCTAGATGATATAGCTAAATTAGGAGGAATTGCTGTCTCTTCAACTACAGCATTACTTATAGAAAATGTAGCTTCATCAGAAACGGTAGTAGTACCGCTATCATATGTACAATGAGATGCAACTTCTGTATTTTCTGATTTACCTCCTGTAGATTCAGCAACATGACTCTGAACATTAAAATACTCGATCAGCTTACGTGTTTTTGATAGAACAGCTTCGTTCTGTTTTCCTTTTCATCTTTTGCTTTACGCTTAGCACTTCCAGAAGTGTAGTGCCGACTCGTATCTCTGGATCTGCTGCTCATACCGTCAAACAAATATTAATTTAAATTTTAAATTTAAAAAAAAATCAACTTGACAAATGCGATTCATTTGTAATATGCAAAACATACATAGTAAAATATTTTAAGTGAAGTTATTCTCGTGGATATTGTTGCCTTTGTGCATTCAAAAACTCTTCTATTGTGTTTTAAAAAAGATTATTAAATGAGTTGCACACAGCGCTACGTCACGCACGAAAACAGTACTCAAAGCAATGTCAAAACAACCTTTCTTAAAAATGGCTCACATCTAAAGTGCTTTTAAAAGTTTTTTACATTATGCTATATGTAAATGTAGAGCAATTTCTTATTTGTTCGAGTTATGACTTGCTCGATAAATGACAATATCAGGGAATTCCCCTATTAGTTCTGCAGTGCTGCCAACTTGCGTGTACTGCAGTCCAAGTGTTGTGGGACCAGCGTTCAATTTTAGAAATGTGATACAATTTGAAATTATTGTTGTAGATTTTGATACCAACGTTTCTCGTGGTAGGTTTTATACCTATACCTATCTATAGTAATTTAAAAGAAGTTTAAAATCCAAAATATCGAAGCACTTATTTTATAGTAAAGATATTCAAGGAAATTAAATATCGACGAACACATAAAATGTGTAATTTTTAATTGAATAATTTTTTGTTTATAATTTCAATAGTTTATTTTCAAATTACTCTCCTTTTTACCGTCACTAGCTTTCCATAATCTCAAAACATGATCGATTTAATAATCGATTCAAAAAATGTCAGCTATGTTCACTCATAAAATTAATCTAGATGTTATAATAAATCAACCAACCACAGTAGATTGAATCGTGACTGAGTTAAAAAAATTTAAATAGTTCACCTGTTTTCTCGAAATACTTATAATCGATATTATATTAAAATCGATTAAAAAAAGTACAATCTGGGCTACGTAAACTCGCAAAATAATTGTATACCTATACAAAAAAATAAAAATATGGCCGCTTGAAGGGTAAATATATCGATTATAATTAAATATTCGAACATTAACGTTAAAAAGTTCGTTTAATTTCTACTTATTTTTACGACTTAACGTGACGAAATCGAATTTTAGATTTTCAAGTGGAAGCCGTTTAAGGCATGCAAGATATTTTATGCTGCTTTCTGCGCGGGGCCCCAAAATTCGCGGGGCCCGTAGCATTTGCTACTCTTGCTACGTGGCTAATCCGGCACTGAAAAGAATACCCAGTAATAATGAATTTATTAAAACGAATTATTGTATACGTATCTCTTAGAGTTAGGTAATTGTTCAAAATTTCAGAAAAATCCAACCGTTAAGAAATGTAAGAAATTAATAATTTGTTGGAGCTTGTAGGATGGGGTGAATGGAGTAATATCCTTCGCGTAATGTCCTAGACGTGTTTAATGGGTGATAGATCGGGAGTGCTAAAAGAGACAAGGGAACAGATCGACTTGATCGTCTTCAAAAAATGAACCAACGTAATTCAAGCTATGTGTGGTCGCCCATTATCTGTTATGCATGACCTATATTCCGGCATTAAACATTTTTTAACCTACTTAACTTGGTATACAAATTCTCTAAAGCAACCCTAATAAAAAAAATTAATGGATTGAGGTCCAAAGATCTCAATGAAATAAGGCCGTGCAACCTCATCCACCTTTACGAATTTTGCATTTTTGTAATTGAAGTGGTCTCGATCTGAGCGAGTGTGATGTGCCGTACTATTATTTAGTATTACTATGTTGCAGCAGACGTGTTTGCCTTATTTTACAGACGTGAGGATGGTGTTTGTTAGAAACTCTGATTTCAGAATAGTTTCTGTACGGGTTTCTCCCATTTCAAGTACAGCATGATGCTGTTAGGGAAAAAACACACAATTATGATAATACTCCGCCACATCTCTTCACCCAGAAACTTCTCGTCGACATCCATCCGAGGTCTGCCATTGTCACCTCTTCTACTGCCCATATAATGTTATAGATAAAGCTGTAAATAAAATCACTTCCGCATGACATAGTTCAGCAGCTTTGTAGCGATACACTGGCATTTTCCATAAATGAGATGCATATCTGCGTACTCGCTAACCGTATACTCGTATCTGGGCATAATGAAACAACTAACTTCTAAGGATAAAAAAACTAGAAAACTAATAAAAGCCCAACGCGAAAATAACTGAAAATACAACAAGAGGCACTGAACAACTACTGACTTTTAAAAATTATAAAACTTAGAACAAGGTATCAAATCTGTTTCTTCTAGTATTCATTTGTTTGACAATCAAAATATTCTGATCAAGTACAAAAATACAAGGTAGATCAGGCTGCGTGGCCTTATTTCATTGCCACCAAGATCCTTACACTTGAATCCACTAAATCTTTTATTAGTGTTGCTACTACTATTCGTCATTGTTCGTCAGAGCGGTCCGGTGGACCTTTGCTCTTAGTTAAAAGTCTCTTTGGTCTGTCAGGTTTGGCTAGCCAGATACCAAACATGTTTAAGGGGAAAAGGGAAAGAAGGAAAGAAAGGAAGGAAGAAATAGAGCAAAGAAAAGAAGTAAATCATTTGAAATAGCTTTGACTACTCGAATAATTTTGTAACTCCAAAAAATTTTGATCGGTTTTGTATACTGAAATAGTTTTGGCTGGTCAGAATTCACAATTTCATTTTGATCACAGTGCGAGGCGCGGCCTGGAATCTTTGCGAACTTGCTCGACTGTGTAGTCTACTGAATCACGCAATAGAGGGTTGCTGTGCGATTCGGCTTGATTATAACGCCGCTGTGCCTGTTGTTTTACATAATCCCTTAGATATGGGGTATCAAGATCTCTGTGAATGGTCTCATTTGACACGTACCAAGGGGCGTTAGCGATTGTGCGTAGGATTCTGTTTTGCAGGACTTGCACTCTCTGCATGTGCGTCTTGGCAAGAAAACACCAAGCCGCGCATGCCCAAGTGAGTGCGGGTCTTATGACCATTTTGTACAACCGAATCTTGTTGATCAAACTTGATTTTGAATTTCTGCACAACAAAGGATAAAGCTGTAGAAAGGTAATTTGGAATTTTGTTTTCAAAATATCAGTATGTTTCTGCCAGGTCAACCCCTTGTCAATGATGGCTCCAAGGTACCTGACAGATTGCATCCTTGGTATACGAGTTCCATTCACTGATATCTCTGAGGGGGCACCGCGACGTTTTTTAGTACAATAGATTGCCTGCGTTTTCGAAGTATTAATTTTGACCAACCACCGATCTGTCCACTCCAATACTTCCTCCACCGCACTCTGCAGCCTGTCGTGAACCAGGTTACCAGAACAAGACTGGGCTAGTAGTGCAGTATCGTCAGCATAGAGATAGACTTCACAGTTGCTGGGGAAAGGGATGTCATGTATATAAAGTGAATAAAGTATTGGCCCTAAGACCGAACCCTGAGGAACACAGGCTCTTACTGGCCGTGTTTTTGACAACACATTGTTAATTTTGATCCAAAACTTCCTTCCTTCTAGAAAAGATTTCAACAGTTTTAGTAGCCAAAGTGGAAAACCCTTTTGGATGAGCTTATACAAGAGGCCCATGTACCACACCTTGTCAATTGCCTTTGATACATCTAAAAGCAAGAAAGCAGTACTTTTGTTCAGGGTGAACCCCCTAGTTACATGCTCCACCAGTCTGTAGCTCCGTACTATGCTCAGACCGAAAGCCGAATTGCACGTCAGGAATCACATGGTGATCTGACGAGAAATTCTCAAGGTGACTATAAAAAACATTTTCAGCGAGCATAGAAGGAGCTGACAGCAAGCTAATGGGACGGTAATCCTGGGGGAATATCGAACCTGCCTTCTTTGGGATTATGATGACTTCAGCGATCTTCCACGCCTTAGAAAGTAATGAGTTCTGAGCATTGCATTGATTATTGCCACCAGATAAGTCAAAGCCTTGAGCGAAACCAACTTCAGTGATTTGTTGCTGATTTGATCCTCTCCAAGTACTTTACGCACCTTTAGGTCCTTAATGTAGCCTTGGAGCTCTGCTGGTGTGCAAAACGGAAACTCAGAGGATTCCGTTGATGTGCTATGCTGAGATTCATCTGAAGAATCTTCCGTAGAAGAATTTCCTGAAAAGGAGTCACCGATGTTAGCACTGATGTTGTTGTCGCCATTCGCTCTGAAATATCTCCTGACAGATCCTACAATTTGTCGTTCCTCGTCAAGGTCATTGTCCAGATCATAATTGGAAGAGAACTGCCTTTCAGCAAAAACCTCCACTTTATCCTCAGTCCTGAAAACTATGCCTCCAGGACCATGAATATGTAGTTGTTCTTGCCTTTCGTTTCTGAGCGATTTTGCCACTTTACAGAGAGGAATACTTGATTCAAGCATCCCCCAGAAAGTCGCTCCATCATCAGGATGACAAGACCTTTTTGCTTGCTTAATCGCAGTCTTCTTTTCAGAAATTTTCCGACGGATGTCAGCAGGGAGAACTAGTGTCGCTTTAGAGAATTTGTATTCTAAGCTGTGCTGGCCACAGTAACAGAATTGTCGGTTAAAAAAATGTTTTATGACAAAATGTAGGTCATGCATAACCAGTGCTCATTACATTGATATCTTACATGTAAATTATCATTACATCAATTCTGTCTGACGAAAGCTGTCCCTCCTCCATTATGGCTGCAATAAAATGAAAAAAAAAACAGCAGAGGACGAATATCAATAATGCTTTCAAAAATTGCCAATAGTTCGCCAACTTTTTCGACAAATTGTCACAGTGATAGTACTTGATCCTGTCACTCTAGAGGGTGTCAACGTTAGACATGAGAAGCGGTTTTAATAAAAATTCAGACTTTTGCATGACTTTCATGTGGGTTTTTCGCCACCTCGCCCCTGGACGAGATAAAATCCTTAGTTCTGACTGTTTTAAAATAAACCTGGTTCAAAAAAGTTGATATTTATAGAAATGGCTTGAGATTAACTGAATATAATCCAGTTAAAAGAAACGGAATGCTGAAAATCTCAAATAATATAAGAATTTTAACAAAACAAAATTTCGTCATCAAGTGGGCCATGATGTGACCTATCTTCAGTTGCAGGATTATCCTTCGATATTGGGACACCCTGTATATGTGGTTCCATTTGCCCAAAAAAACATGAGTTCCATTAATATGAAAAATACAGATGTTATATTTAGAATTATTTTGTAATTTGTTTTTTTTTTGTTAGGACCTGCAAACCTTCCTCGACAAAGGAAAGGAGGGTGTCATCTACCTCTCCTTTGGAACTAATATGAAAGCAGACAGAATACACCCAGAAAAAAAGCAAATCTTGTTCAAAGTTCTCAATTCGCTGCCATATAAAGTTCTTTGGAAGTACGAGGGTCAAGATTTTCAAGAACATCCAAACATTAAGTATATAAAATGGTCTCCGCAACAAGATGTTTTAAGTGAGTAACATGACATGGACTTAGTTTAGTTCAACATAGAAATAAGGTATTTAATTTCCTAAAAACAAGAATATTACACGGTATTTTCTCGACACTCATATCGAGTTTATAAAATCTCAACCTTATTTGACTTAATTTAAGCCAAAAAACTGGCAATTTTTTTGAACGGAATGCCATATTTTTTTGCACATTATGATAGATCGTCATCAAAGAAGAAGCTTAAAAATAACATAATATAGCGTATTGTTTCCCTCACGTAGTGGCGAGGAAGTATTGTAACAGCGAAAAAATGGGATATTATGTTTTTTGAGTGTTATATGTTATGTGCATCACGGAAAACCACTCTTTTCCGTCATTCTGTCTGTCCGCTGATCCTTGGCCTGTCTAGAACTTGAAAAGTACTAACGGATTTGTATGAAATCCTTATATATATATATATATATATATATATATAGTTCAGCACTGCAGGCCTAATAGGCCCATGGCTTGAGTGGTAACCTGTCGCCAGCTTTTCTTGTTTACTGCCTTCTTCTACCAATTTATTGTTAATTCTTCACTCTTGAATATCCATTTCCACTTCCTTTTACCATCTGGTTTTCGGTCTTCCTTGCCTCTTTTTTCCCCCAATATTGCTTCTAAGTAATCTTTTTTGTATTCTGGTCTCCGTCATCCTTTGGCGATGTCCCAACCATCTCAATCTTTGAGCTTTCACTGTTCCCACTATATCAGGTTCACCATAAAGAGATTGCAGTTATTTTTACTTCACTGCCATAGATGACAATAGGTCTTATAATAGTTTTATACAACCTTAGTGTAGCCTTTCTGGACACGATTTTACTCTTTAGTAGTCGATTCAGTGAGTAAACTCACCGATTACCCATCATCAGCCTATTCTGAATTTCTTAATATCTGGTCTTCTTTTAAAAACAGTTCCTAAATACGTGTACGTTTCTACCTCTTCAAATTGGTACGTTTTGCCACTGGCTGCTTTTACTGTTAACCTCTCATTTTTAAACTCTTCCTCCGTCAATTTCATATACTTAGTTTTTGTCTTTTGTCTTCCAGCCTCTTCGTCACTTTGCATAATTCCCCCTTACTTCTGGTTATGATCACTAAATCGTCAGCGAATGCTAAGCATTGGTGTTTCTTATGATAAAGTAATCCTTCTCTATTTATTTTCGCATCTCTTATAATCTTTTCCAGGCAGGCTGAACACGACTGATGAAAGTGGGTCTCCTTGTCTGACTCCTTCTCTAACTACAAAAGAATCCGATAATTCGTTGTTGATTTTGACTTTATTTTCTGTCTTCTTCATTAATATCGTTATCAGTCTAATAAGTTTTTCTTCGATTCCCATTAATCTTAAAGTTTCGATCATTTTCTTCCGATTTCCCTTATCGTATGCTTGTTTGAAGTCAACGAATAATGCAAATGTCGGCTTCAAGTGTTCGTAGCTTTCTGCATGTATTTCTCGTAGTACGAAGATTTGCTCTATTGTGCTTCTTCCGCGTCTAAATCCGGTCTGATATTCCCCTACGATGCTTTGCATATTCTCTCTCAGTAGATTCTTCATGTGCGATGTTAATATTTTATAGACAATATTCATTAGTAAATTCTTACACAATTTCTTTGGGCTTCGCCCAAAACGAACACCTTATTCACCGTTTCTTCTTTAGAAAAATTCATTTTCAAACACATTTTTATTATAATGCTCACAAAGCTAATTTTGACAGTTTGTAACTAATCAACAATTTATTTGTTTCCAAAGATGATGCGATATTTTAGGAAATTAGGCCGTTACATAAAAGACGTGCTAATAACCGAAAAAATTGCCGTAAAAACCCTTGTGTCTAGTAACAAAAAAAAGGTTATGAAAGATTGAATCCAAACTTGCACAAATATATAGGGTGACGCATTAAACATTTTTGAGAAAAACTACAGCTTGCGTTTTTGACCACCAAAAAGTAACAAATAAGGTAAAAGCTGAGGTGTGTAATTTTTTTTGATACAAAATTCAGCACTCCAAATTACCAAAACCCCATAGTATGTTGTATCAATTTTCTTCTTTTGGATTAGGTTATCCAAATATGCAAAAAAATATGAGGCATTCCATTTGAAAAATCACAACTTTGCTATGTAGCGAAAAATTGGGGCACCCTGTATAATGGCCAATATGTTAGAAATGTACACTCAATTATCATGTATAACATCCCTTAAATAAATTTTCCCAAAATGTATTTGTTTATGAGTAATATTCCGTCCACACATGGATGGGCCACCCTGTATACTAATTTTTGATGTCTGTAATTCTACCATCTATTAGTCATCTTTCACAAATCATAGATTTTCCCGTACATTGACTCGTACAACTTAGAATGATAGGTAAATACTTTCGATACTCGTCTCACCTGCTCTCTGGGTTCGCCAGCGGGCATGCCGGTCTTAATATAGCACTCATGCATTTTATAATCCCGAATATCAGCTCGCCAAAAACACGTATTCAAAGAATAATGTGGCGAGGGGCGTTTTCCAAAAGTACTTGTATAATAATGGAATCCTTTTCAACTTGAGTATACAACTTACTGTTATTTTTAGGGCATCCAAACGTAAAATTATTCATCACCCAAGGAGGCTTACAGTCACTGGAAGAAGCTATCTATAACGGCGTACCTGTAGTAGTATTGCCATTTTTCGGAGACCAAATGTCGAATGGCAGGAAAATTGAAGACAGGGGCATTGGTAAAACGGTTAACCACATGGAAAGTGGACTTGATGAAAACATTCTTAGGAGTACTATCTTAGAAGTGCTTCATAATGACAGGTAAAATAATATTTACTTGGGTAGGCCTGACATTGAAAAACTGAGATTTCACTATTTTGCACGAAAAACGTACCTCTTTGTAAAAACCTCAAGAACGGTTCTTTAGAAAAACAAACGAGAGTCATTTTTGTTTTCAGCGACCTCAAATTAAAAAAAAGATCTTTTTGTCGAGGTATATTTTTGGAAGCTAGTGGTTTCAGCTAAAAAATGATTTCACATTTTTAAATAATCCCTTTCCATTCCAATAAATTTCGTAAAATGCTTCAGTCTTGTAAGGATTTCTTCTTATAAGTGGAATTTTGAAAGGCGATCAAAATATTCATCTAGGACCCTCTCAACTTTTTCATCGGACTCAAAGCGCTCTCCTGAAAAAAATTCTTCAAGTCTGGGGGCCTGCTCCCTGTCTTTACTTCCTACGCTACTGGGTAAGGAAATGTGATCGCGATTTTGAGGGTACCGATCATTTCCAGAAATTTTTTTGTAGTGGTTAAATTGTGGGGGTTGTAGGGGGTGAGAGGAAGGTATATGCATTTTTTTATCTTAATATATTTATACGTTCCCAGCCCCGGTAATTCTAAGTGCATATTAGCCATATTTCAAACATCATATATTTACCCGTACATTTCGCTTTAAATCTTGAATGATAGAGAAATGTTTTCGATCTGCGTACTCCTGCATATCTGAGCGCTCCGCCTAGCGAACCAGTTTCGCTTATATATGTATCCGCAATGAAGCGCAAAAACCATACGGACCTTGCACGAAATGGAGGATAACTTGCTGCAGCAACGCCGCTCAGATGTGGAAACGGACAACGTTGCCACATGCTCGGTAACTACTAGTAGGTCGGGGAAAGGATGTCTAATTGTGTGGGCCTGTTTGACTGACTGAATACGTTTAATTTCCTTGTTCTACATGCCCGTAACTCTATTCTCTAAAATGACTGATGACGGCGTTGCAAATAAGGTGCAGAGTCAACCTACTTGTCGCCATTTTTTAGAATAACTGTTATTTTATTTTGTATAGCATTATCACACTTTTTATGACCACATGCACTAAATTTCAGTACAAACTAGGATCGCTGTCTCACTCATTCATATCTTTTCTATTATTTAGACCAAAATGTCCAACTCTGGGTTATTGTTGAAAAATTGAAAAATCCCCTTGATTGTGAGTGTGCCTGAAAGCTCTGTTCGATATTGCAAAAGAATAAGGTGAATTACCAGTAACCCTGTATTGCTTGTCGAAGTTACTTCATAGCTCTTTGCAACAATTTTTTGTTTCTTTCCAGCTATCGCCAAAACGCGGAAGCCTTGAGAGACATAATCCTGGACGAACCAATGCCAGGAGTAGATAAAGCAGTTTGGTGGACAGAATATGTGATAAGAAATAAGGGAGCACAGTACCTCAGAATGCATTCGAAAGATGTTCCTTGGTACCAGTATCTAATGTTGGATATATTCGCATTTTTAACTGCTGTTGCCGTTGCAGTAATGACCATACTATACCTCGCGTGGAGGTTGTTGAAACTACTGGTTCGATTAGCTTTCAGAAAGTCTAAAGTTGATTGAGGTATTGTAAGCATTGCAATCGGTATGACAACTAGTCATATTGAGGGAAGTGTCGCATATATTTTTATCTTCTCAACAAATGATACAACTTTAAAGCTCCACTATAAACAGGGTCTACATTTTTATAAAGAATACATTACAAAGTTCAAAAATTTAATCTTCCCGTGACCTCTACTACTTCTTTTTATAACAATTACTGCTTCTCCAACTGAAATGTACAATTTTGTTTTGTTATCGAATGGATATCTTAAATATTATATACTATTTATTGTAATTTAAAATGTTTTATATTGTTTTAAGAAATACATATTTTAAGATAAGTGTTATAACTTTCTTTACCATTTACCTTCCCATATGTGCAGATACGTAGTTTGGATCACGTAAGCATATTTTTTACAATTATTAACTCCCTTCACTTTGGCAGCAAAAGTATACATATCGCTTACCCCCTCTACTCCCTTGCTTACGTAAACATTTTGGTACACTTTTTTGAAGTCTGGTGATCCCTCTACGCTGGCATGAACAATTTCAAGCTATGTTCCCGGCATGGATAACTACCAAGGAATTATGTTCCTGTTATCGTAGTACGTCCTGAATCGATCAAAAACGAAACCTTATTCTACATCAGAGTTCCCCAAACTTTTTTGTGTCGTAGACCCCTTGTCATGTTTTTCCATGTTGGGTAGACCCCCTACTTACCTGATATTGATTTCCTCTAAATTTCTAACTGTAGTAAAGTTTAATGTTAAAAACTTAAAGTAAAAACACATGTTAATTTATACATTTATTAATTGAATTTAAATTAAAACTACTAAAAATAAAATTTTGTATGTGTTATGTAAAATATACGTAATATTAAATAAACAGGTGTCTGACCAATATGTGCCCGCATTGGGAATAACTACCCGCATTGAAAAAAAAAGAGGGATAAAATAAAAAAAAGTGAAAAATAATAAAAAAAAAGTTTTTTACTTAAAATAGTACAATAAGTTCGTTTATTAATTATAACATAAACGTATGTTCTGCAATAATTTCACTGTTAGTTTGATTAAATTCCGCTTCTTATACGTTTAAGTTATCTAAAAATAGGCAAAAAATTAACGAATTTTAGTGTGTACCTATCCTTGAATTTTCAGAATAATTTAAAAAAAAAATATTTTCTATAAAGGGGGGTTCTTTAAAAAAATCAATGCGGGCACTTATTCCCAATGCGGGCATTTATTGGTCAGACACCAATAAACATAAAATAAACTGTAAATAAAATAACATAAGCAATAAGTCAATATTTTTAGTGAGAAGGATGAACCTGATGCTTTAATAATTAATTATCAACATTTGCCGTCAATTTTGTAAGGGTTAATCTTAAATCTCCTCGGCTAATGATGTCCAGTCTGTTTCTTTTTTCGTTAGGAGATTTGTAACAGCGCTGAACCCCCTTTCTACTAGGTATGACGATGGAAAGGAAATTAAAAATTTCCTCGATATATTCCATAATACGGGATAAGTAACGGGTATGGTGTTTTGCAGCCAGAATTGCTGATATCCGTTTTTAAACTGAACCTTAAGTTCTTCGTTTGTACTTAGTTCAGTCAGTTCCTCTTGTATTATGACATTCGTTTCTTCTATGTCACCATATGGATTAATTAGCCACGGTGGTATTACCATAGTCAAAATATCCTCAAACCTAGATTCAAAATCTGAATAGAGGGCATTTAAATGTTGAACGTAAGTTGAAACGTCGTCTCCCTGGCAGCTTGTCTGCGACAAATTGGGGAACTGGGAAAATTCGCCCCGTCCAATATTTTGCTTCATTAGTTTAACTCTTTCAAGGAACGCTGATAAGATGGACTTTGTTTTAATCAAATTTAAACTGTGCCTTGTAATTGCAAATTAACCTTATTAAATTTTGTAAACAAATCTGTTAAATAGGCGATGTCTGTTTTCCTCTTCAATAAATTTTCTTTTAAAATTTTATCTTTAGTACCCAGAAATTCTAAAATAGTCTCAAAAAGTGCAAAAAATCTTGTCAAACATAAGCCTTTTGACAGCCAGCGTACTTCAGTGTGAAGGAGTAATTGATGAACCGCGTATTCAACGCGTTGCTTCGGATTCGGTTTACTGCATCAATGACTAAATGAAGTGATTCATGCAATCTAACACTCAAATTTTTAGCAACTAAATGTTGTCGATCGATGACGCAATGTATTGCTAACACCCCTGACACATTTTGTTTTAAATAGCTTATAAATCCACGATAAAGTCCAACCATGGCAGGTGCTCCATCTGTAGCTACTGATATTATATTTGATAAAGGAATTGCTTTTTCAATGAAGTAATCCTTCAAAACATGAAATATTGATTCACCTTTAGTGTCGGTTATCAAAGTTCTTGCGAAGAGCAGTTCTTCGTAGATTTCTTGATTCATAATAAAACGAACATATGCCAATAATAATGCTGCATTATCAGGTAAAGTTGACTCGTTCAGTTGTATAGAGAAATGGGTCGTTTGCAAATAATTACATAAGAAGCTTTCAATATCAGAACTCATTTCATCAATACGTCTTTAAACAGTATTGTTGCTTAAGGGAATTCTTTTAATGATATCAGATGCAGGTTTGTGTAAAACAGTTTTTGAAACCTCTTCAACGGGTGGCAAAATTAACTTCTCTCCGATAGTATGCGATTTTCCGGATTTTGCGTTAAGTAACGAGGTATTGTAAGGCGCCCGCAAACCATCATCATTTCTTTGTGACGTCGAAGCGAACATTCTGTCCAGTGTAGGTCTCTTCTGAAATTTATCTTTGAGTCTTTGAAAGTATTTCAAATCTTTCTCTGTTTTATCTTCTCAGATGATCTTGCAGTTTATATGGTTTTATAGCGTCATTGCCCAAAACTTTGTTGCATAAAAGGCACATAGGCGATTGTTTGTCCGGCAATGATGGAATGAAGCCAAATTTCAAATAATCAACACTGTACTGTCTACATTTCTTTTTAGATTCGGACATGGCATCAGTCATCTGTGGGCAAAATTAAATTATTTAAATAAGACAGAAAATCCAGCAGCTGTATATTAAAAATATTTTTTGATATTTCCGAAAATATTCCATAATTCGAACATCTTCTTGCAACAATTAGCTCGAATTACGGAGATTGCACTGTAATTATATTACCGATTGCTAAAACTTTCAAAAAGAAACTATTGAGGAGTACTCGTGTAATTTTGCATGATTGAATATTTAACTACTAATAACTAAAGTCATGATTGGCGTAATTTATCTATCTTTGCTAACTACGTGTACAAAACTAAAATTTAATAAAAAATTATGTACTTACTTTTCTCCAGCACTCTCAAACAAAATAACACTGACTCACTATAATTTGTGTGATATACTATCTGTTTATATTTTTTAAAATATTTTCTTAGCACTTTCCTTTTCAAGATTCAGGAAACGAATAAACGTATTTGTCCCACATTCGTATTTATAGAGTGACGAATTGAACAAGTCAGTGCAAGGTAGCGAAGCTCTGAGACTGCGACTATCAGGTTTTTACAAGTTCAAAATGTATTGCGACCACAAAGCGAATACCAACATCCTACAACTTACACAATTTTCTAAACATATATAATAAATTTTTTACTTCATAGGTACTTTTATAAATAATGTATATGTTTTGATATTATAAGATAGTATGATGTAAGTAAATAGGTACTATCAGTGTATGTGTTGAGATCCACTATCGTGGACCCCCATATTCATTTCATGGACCCCCAAATTTTTTTTTGCTGACGTAGACCCCTTGCAGGTTGTCACAGACTCCTAGGGGTCGATATAGACCACTTTGGGAATCAATGTTCTACATAGTCGTTGCAGAAACACCCTTTCCTGAATTCTTCGCATTTGGGGAACTGCACAACTGTCTTGTCATACTGGTACTATCTTTGGACGCAGTATCGCCTGTACACTACATAGTGGGAAACAGTTTACATATTGTTATCAACTCAGATGCCTTTTTTCCACATCATAAGGCATGCAGCTGCCGAGAGAGGTTGCAGGTTGCTCTACCTCTTTGTACAGGGTGCGTCATCTATTACTTTTTTTTTATTTGAAAAATCAACACGCTTTTTACGGGGTGAAATCGACTATTTTTATTGATAAATGAAGATTGGTTTATCCCATTTATGTATGAAAAATAACATCAGCCATGTGACCACCGCGGCTTGGTTTACAGGCCAACATCCGAACATCAAAATTTTCAATGACTTTTCTCAGAATAATCGGGTCTATGGCCGCAATTTCAGTCCGAATATTGCGCTTTAGGTCTTGAGTTGTCCGGGGACCATTCGCATACACTTTTCCTTTCAAAAATCCCCAAAGAAAATAGTCAAGAGGTGTCAAATCGCACGATATCGGGGGCCAACTGACATCTGAATTTCGTGAAATTATGCGGTTTTGAAATTTCGTGTGCAATAAGGTGATTGTTTGGCGAGCTGCGTGAGCCGTCGCTCCGTCTAGAAGAAACCAAAGATCCTCGGCACCAGTACGATCCAATTGTGGCCACAAAAAGTCTGTTAACATTCCGCAATAACGTTCCCCGTTGACGGCAATGGCCCTTTCTTCGGCATATTCAAAGAAGAATGGTCCAACGATGCCAACAGCCCATAATCCGCACTAAACAGTCACTTTTTCAGGATGGAGAGGTTGTTCATGATATTGGTGTGGATTTTCAGCCCCCCAGAATCTGCAATTTGTCCTATTTACGTACCCATTGAGGTGAAAATGAGCCTCATCAGAAAAAAGCACTTTGGTCAAAAATCCGTCTTCTCTTTCCAGCATCCAATTAACAAAAACACGCCGCAGTTGATGGTCTGCCGGTTTCAATTCTTGTGTTAGTTGAATTTTGTATGGATGAAGGTAAATCAATGTGTAAAATCCGGCGTACAGTGGTCTCACTAATTCCCAATTGTTGCGAACGGTGCCTAATCGAGGTGGTTGGATCTTCTCGCACACTTTCACTCACTGCGGCTATGTTTTCACGAGCACGCGCTGGACGAGCATGTTGGTATGGGCTACGACCTTCAGTTGAACCAGTTTACTCAAAACGATTAACAATCCAACGAATTCTAGGCTCTGTAGGGCGTCCATGTCGGCAAAAACTAATGCGAAGTTTGCGAAAAGTATTTTCTATATTTCGACCGTTTTCGTAATAAGTTTGGATAACCAAGATGCGTTGTTGTGTTGTAAACGAATCCATGACTACAAATGGCATACCTTTGACAGTTCGTTTATGCATACCACATGAATTTTGACTCACATGGTAACACATAAACTTATAGGTAAAAAAAGTAATAGATGGCGCACCCAGTATTTGATTCTTAAAAAGACGAGTTACTCAAGGGCTAGGACGAAGTTGACCAGGAAGTACTTTGGTCCTGTCCTAATGCGTCGGATGGTGTGGTCTTTACGTATCCATTAGCTTTGTTTAGCAGGCAACAACTTGAAACATAGGCGAGCTGTTAACCGGTGGAGTCAACCTTACCAATTAGTCTTCAGCACTAGTTGCCCACCAACTTTCATGATGGACTGTTAGAGCCAAATTCAATTCTACCCACGCCACTGTTCCTTTGTTCTTTCTAGCTGCTTGATGCCACATCAGGCGGCGTTCGCGGTTTTCGCTTGAAAAAATAAAAATCTTTTGTCTTCATAATTATAACAATATCTTTAATGAGAGCAGAGAAATCAATCTCATTTTTTTAAGACGAAAACCGTGTTCCGAACTAAGAAAATTCAACAGATAAAATCCGTTCATAAATTAATAGAGATTTCAATTTTTCTTATTTTAATAAAAGTCAGTGGCTTTCCAGATTACTTATCTTCATAGACTTCACCAGCCTCTACCTCTAAAGGTAATACGTCTGGGGCATACGCTTACTCGAAGTTTTCTTCTTAAAATGGACCCCCCTTAAATATTAACATTCAGTTAGGAAACACTCTGTATAAAAACCCAATATTCCAGATATCGAAGGAACATAAAGAAACTTGCTGATGAACCAGTCGCTGGACAGGACAATCTACTATGGTTGGCCAAGTATGTCATTCATCATAAAGGACCAAAGCATGCTATGTTCCGTTTTACCATCAGTAACAATTTATTTGTATTGGATTTGCAAGACGTAATATAAGTTTATTCACGTATAAACTATTACAATTTATTCAATATATATATATATATACTAAGTGACATATAAATCCGAACACCCATTTTAAATGGTTTTATTTTAATAAAATTTTGTATAAGTACTTAATGAAGCATAATAAGTAAAAGATAAAAATTTCAAAATGATTGCACTGCTTTAAAGCCCTTTGACCTTTAATAATGTGTGGATGCTCCCTGATGTGCTACGCATTCTACAACGCGCCTAGGCATGCTTCTGATCAGGTGGTCAATGTCCTCCTATGGTATCTCATTCCAGGCAACCATCAACTCCTCTCGAAGTGCTTCTAGAGTCTGAGGAGGACGTTACAAATTGAGCAATCTCCTACCCATCATATCCCACATGTGCTCAATTGGGGATAAGTCGCGAGATCTTGGTGGCCATGGTAATAATGTGACATCATTATGTTGAAAGAAGTCTATTGTGACTCTTGCAACATGTGGTCGGGCATTATCTTGTTGGAAAGTTCGATCTGCCAGGGTGTCAAGATAGGGTAAAAGATGGGGTTCTAGAACTCCGTGGATATAACGCTGCGCGTTCATGTTACCTCTGATGAAGATTAAAGGTAACCTGGAACCATAAGCTATAGCACCCCAAACCATACCTCCAACAGTGTGATGAACATGTCTTTCAACAAAAAACTGTGGATTCCTCCTTTCACCACGTCGCCTTCTAACCCTGGCACGACCATCGTGCATGCCTAAACAAAATCGAGACTCGTCACTAAAGACAATTCTGTTCCATTCCTGATCCCAGAGTGACCGTTGTCTGCACCACTCAAGGCGATTACGTCGGTGTTCTCGAGTTAAAGGGGGGACCCAGTGTGGCCGGTATGAAAACAAGCCAAAACTTCTCATTCGTCGGTAAACACTTCGCATGCCAATAGGTCTTCCGTGTTCTGCAAACCATTCATTTGCAATGGACCTGGTAGTGGAGAAACGGTCCCTTAAGGCCAATAATCTTAGGCGGCGATATTCACGGTCTGTTGTTCTACGGCGGCGTCCAGTGCTCTTTGCTCTTTGCGTACGGCCTTCTCGAAGCTATGCCTGACAACACCTAACCACAGTGTCAACATTTCTTTGCACTCTAACTGCAATTGCCCGAAAAGAAAGTCCCGCTTCCCGAAGTCCCACTATACGGCCCCTATCAAACTCACTAAGTTGACGAAATCGTACAGGTCTCCGTACTCTAGGCATCGTAACCGATCGTAAAGGATGTCAAGAACCAAAATCCGCCAACGTTGATTCTTTACTGCGACTGAAATATTCATTTTTTGAGCGTTAGTGAATTAAAAAAAAAACAGTATAAAAACTGGAATGTCCAACTGATAAGGCTGAAAATTTTTTCACTTGTTATTTACAGTAAGATAAATACATTCACCAACTTTTATTAAAATAAAACCATTTAAACTGGGTGTTCGGATTTATATGTCACTTAGTATATATATATATATACATACTTATAGAGAGATAATGATCATGCGGAGGAAGGTATATAACAAAAAATAGGAAAACAATGGGCAAAATCCGCGAAAAGAAGGAAAGTGTATTAGAGCAGAAAGTAGGATAGGTAACCCGAGCAATACGTATTTCCGCTTGCTGGCTTCTTCAGGCCCAAATTAATGAACATATGTATGCGACAACAAAAGTAGATACTCATGCCGATACATCTGGATACGGGTGTAACCTGAGGAAACGAAGATGGAGAGGGAAAAAATGGCACACGAAGTCCCCAACAAGATCCAACCTACACATTGTAATATAAAATGGCTAGAAGACCTCGAATTTTCATGGCGACATCTAACCACAACCGCGCGGCCGGTTATAGCCTACTTTTAGATTTGTTATAAATAGGGTTTTTATGGAATCAACTAGAAGTGTAACCAGGAATGGAGAGATGAATCTTCGTTCTTCAAAACGCAAATGCAAAGAACGTTATCATTGATGCTCAATTCTGGTGGTAGATGGCGCTTTGTGCTGTCTTACTTAGACATCTCTGGGATAGAGGATAACTGTGAAGCTTTCCCTCATTTTCCCAGAGACGAAAGACCATGCTGACGAGTAGCCAAGAAGCACGAAACAGCTGTCCATGGTGGTCGCCTTTTGGTCATGTTTAGTAAATAACGTTACATTGTCAATATTAGTGACTAAATAGCGCACTTTTTTAGTGTCCATATTTTACCGGGATATATGTATTTTGTTGCCCCTGTAGCTTGTTGTTGCAATACACATCGAGACACCGCAGAAAAAACCCAAGTCTAAACTTCCCCTTGTTTTGTCCACGTCCATGGTTCCACCGCAATCGGGGGGCGATGCCATGCTACAGGAATGTTTTAAGTTAGCCATCACGCAACGGGCACCACCAAGCACCGAATATCGGATTAACGCAGTTTAGAGGCATCCATCGCGTTCAAATATACTCAGTGACAAACAAAACAGGACACCCATTAAACATGATTTTATTTGAGATGTTGTTTCTCGGACTTCCATTGTCTATATGATTTTTTGATTCACGACGTTTCGATTAGTGTGATCTTTAATAGACATCAGGTGAACTGGCGAACATGCTCTTTTTTGACTATTGTTCGCCAGTTCACCTGATGACGATCGAATATCACCTCAATCGAAACGTCGCAGTCGTGAATCAAAAAATCGTATTCATCTATATTGTCATCAAACTTCAAACAACATGATTTTTTCGAATGAAATCTTGTATACGGTAAGACGTGGTCAAGAGGAAGTAGTTATTAAATTGAGAAAAAATTGCTGAGTCGCCGAATTTCTCTACACACATCTCAACACCGCATACATATCGTACACTATTGATGTACTTTCTACTTAATGAACTATACTAAGTGACATATAAATCCGAACACCCAGTTTAAATGGTTTTATTTTAATAAAATTTTGTATAAGTACTTAATGAAGCATAATAAGTAACCCCTGGTGCGCCTAGGAATGCTTCTGATCAGGTGGTCAATGTCCTCCTGTAGTATCTCATTCCAGGCAACCACCAACTCCTCTCGAAGTGCTTCTAAAGTCTGAGGAGGACGTTGCAAATTGAGCAATCTCCTACCCATCATATCCCACACGTGCTCAATTGGGGATAAGTCGGGAGATCTTGGTGGCCATGGTAACGATGTGACATCATTATGTTGAAAGAAGTCTATTGTGACTCTTGCAACTTGTGGTCGGGCATTATCTTGTTGGAAAGTTGGATCTGCCAGGGTGTCAAGATAGGGTAAAAGATGGGGTTCTAGAACTTCGTGGATATAACGCTGCGCGTTCATGTTACCTCTGATGAAGATTAAAGGTGACCTGGAACCAGAAGCTATAGCACCCCAAACCATAACTCCAACAGTGTGATGAACATGTCTTTCAACAAAAAACTGTGGATTCCTCCTTTCACCACGTCGCCTTCTAACCCTGGCACGACCATCGTGCATGCGTAAACAAAATCGAGACTCGTCACTAAAGACAATACTGTTCCATTCCTGATCCCAGAGTGACCGTTGTCTGCACCACTCAAGGCGATTACGTCGGTGTTCTCGAGTTAAAGGGAGGACCCAGTGTGGCCGGTATGAAAACAAGCCAAAACTTCTCATTCGTCGGTAAACACTTCGCATGCCAATAGGTCTTCCGTGTTCTGCAAACCATTCATTTGCAATGGACCTGGTAGTGGAGAAACGGTCCCTTAAGGCCAATAATCTTAGGCGGCGATCTTCACGGTCTGTTGTTCTACGGCGGCGTCCAGTGCCCCTTGCTCTTTGCGTACGGCATTCTCGAAGCCATGCCTGACAACACCTAACCACAGTGTCTACACTTCTTTGCACTCTAACTGCAATTGCCCGAAAAGAAAGTCCAGCTTCCCGAAGTACCACTATACGGCCCCTATCAAACTCACTAAGTTGACGAAATCGTACAGGTCTCCGTACTCTAGGCATCGTAACCGATCGTAAAGGATGTCAAGAACCAAAATCCGCCAACGTTGATTCTTTACTGCGGCTGAAATATTCATTTTTAGAGGGTTAGTGAATTAAAAAAAAGCAGTATAAAAACCGGAATGTCCAACTGATAAGGCTGAACATTTTTTCACTTGTTAAAAGATAAATAAGATAAATACATTCACCAACTTTTATTAAAATAAAACCATTTAAACTGGGTGTTCGGATTTATATGTCACTTAGTATAGTCCAATTGGCCACGTTTACTGAAACAAACTAGTTCTAGGCTCTGGAGTACCTCGAACGTCGTGGCTTGATTAACGATAGTCAGTGTCTTCTGCAAAAATATATTTCATAAGAGCTGTTGCAACAAAAAAGACTGACTGACCTATATTGAAAACCACGCGATGTTCTGTTCGATGCAAAAACTCCTTTGAAGAGTTGGAAGCATTTAAAAACGTTTCCTTAGAAATTTTACATGAGCTACAACAAGAAATTATAGAAAAAAATAATTTCGTGGGAACTCTGAAAAAACTAGCTGATGTTTTTGAAAATGACGTCATAGAGATAGAGAAGAATGACATTGAGCAAATTAAATTACACAAAACAATAAAATCTCTCAAAAAACAAATTCTGCAATATACAGCAGAGATTAAGAGGTTGAAAGAAACGTTAGAAGCTCTAGAAATTAATAAATCTCGTACGTCAGCATTTGTGGATATACCTCCAACTAACATAAGCAGATTAAAAAAATCAGTAAACCTTTACCGTCTACAGTCAGCGTCAATTCTATTCATGCAGAAAAAGACGTGGAACTAGAACCTGTCCAGATCCCTTAACGTGGATCATTGTCAACCAACTTCCATCCCTCCTGCTGTGTTTTCTTCAGTGAACGAAGTTACTGTGATTAAACAAAACATTTTAGGGTTTGGGGATGAATATGCTAAACATTTTAGAGAGTTTTTAGAATCATGTATCAATTTATTTATAAAAGTTCAACGGCTTTTATCCGCTCGCATGTTGATTTTGCAGAGGCGTCAAACAATCTATTCGAATCTATATACTCTTATGGAAAGGATGACTATGTAATAGCGATGTTCAATACCTGTAATATCAACATCTCTAAAAATAGAGGTTTAAGTAAAATCATATCACCTGGCCCTATGCGTTTTTCGGTTTGGTAGCACCGCATGTCCGTTAGTGCATTATAGAAAAAACCTTTTCGCGCGCATCTTTAGCGCTGTGAGCATGTTTGATAAAAATACTTTTTGACGGACAAAAACAGAGAAAAGTGGTTTCATTTGATTGAAAGAAGATAGCATCTGCTCAATTGCCCAAAGAGTATTTTCGGAGTATACCGACAGCAGAGAGGTCATTTTCTACGGTCAGGAGGCTCAAGACAGAAGATCGCCTGACTGGACTGCCACTTTTACATATCTATAAAAATGTACATGACGATACAGAAGAAGTTATAAATCGATGTGCTAGAACACAAAAAAGAATAACCAAATATTGTTATTTAACAATAAAAACTTAGATTTTTATCGTTTAAATAACATTTAGGGTACGCCGTATACACGTGTAGGGTCACTGCCCTGCTCTTCAATTTTTAGTCCTACGTGATATCAATATAATAAAAATATGTAAAGTGTAACGTATATTTTTTACATAAAAGTGATGGTCATGTAACACGTGTGTTTAGCGGGTAATAAAGCTAGTATTTGGATCTGGCCGGACATTAAATTGTAGCCAAATATCCGTTGCAACCCTAGTTAATTCTATGTGTATGGATATCATTAATAGAGACTCAAAAGTCCTAGGTGCTTCCTGGCAATCGTCTCTCTCTATTCGTAGCCTGAAACCACCTTTTATTACAACTTCCTTTACTTTTTGATTTACGGCTGTCATAAATCATCGCTTGTTTCCCCGAAGTTACCGAGAAACCATATCCATTGAGGAGGCTTTCGCCTCATCTTGAACCGTCTCCAAGTAAATAATGAATATCGACCCTTTCAAAAGTTATAAAGGGAAGAGAGACTGCGGCTTGTCTCCAGTCACGCGAGATGTTCGGTAGCAAGAAGCACCCCCGATCGGCCCCGGGGTACCTGGTACGCCCCCGTTTAGGGGCCGTGCGAAACCTCTACTCTACCAGGCCGCTGGCCGCGGCTTATGGGATATTGGGAGACAAGAGAAAGAAGAACAAGTAAGAACAATTTCATGTCAAGGAAAAATGTGTATAAGTCAGTCTGTAGGAGTGCCTGTGTGTAGCGTAATCCAGTTTGGATGGATTGGTCGTGGAATAATTAAAAAATGGGAAAACTCACCAAAACTACGATTTTTTCAGTTTTTCCTGAATATTTCACACTTCTTAAAAAATCAAGGGAGTAAGAAAAGAATCAAAATATTTTTCGGGGTATTTTGGTGAAAAATGGTCATATCTGGACTCTCAACAAATGCATCTTGAAGCTTCAAGATTCTAGTTTTCACGTTTATCAACCGAAAAATTTTAGGAGCAAAACTAATCGGTATTGGAATCATCGGAATCATAATCCAAGCCGCCAGAATCGAAATTGTCGGAATCGAAACCACCAGAGTTGCTTTTGGAATCATCGGAATCAGGATCGAAACCACCAGAATCGGAATTATCGGGATCAAAACCACCAGAATCGGAATCGAAGTAATCGAGATCAAAAATAACCGGAATCGGTTTTGGAATCATCGGAATCAGAATCCAAGCTGCCAGAATCGAAATTGTCGGTATCTAAACCACCAGAGTCGCTTTTGGAATCATCAGCAGATTTCGGAATCATCGGAATCAGAATCGAAACCACCATAATCGAAATTGTTGGGATCGAAACCACCAGAATCGGGATCAAAACCAACCCGAATCGGTTTTGGAATAATTGGAATTGGAATCCAAACCGCTAGAATCGAAATTGTCGGTATCGAAACCACCTGAGTCGAAATTGAAGTAATCGGAATCAGAATCGAACCCGCTAGAGTCGAAATGATCGGGATCAAGACCAACCGGAATCGGTTTTGGAATTATCGAAATCAGAATCGAAACCGCTAAAATTGAAATTGTCGAAATCAAAACCACCAGAGTTGCTTTTGGAATCATCGGTATCAGAATCCAAGCCGCCAGAATCGAATTTGTCGGAATCGAAACCACAAGGGACGGTTTTGGAATCATCGCAATCCGAACCGAAACCATCAGAATCGGAAACATCTGGATCAAAGCCACCAGAATCGGAATCAAAACCAACCGGAATCGGTTTTGGAATAATCGGAATTGGAATCCAAACCGCCAGAATCGAAATTGTCGGTATCGAATCCACCAGTGTCGGAATCGAAATCATCGGAATCAGAATCGAAACCCCCAGAATCGAAATTGTCGGTATCGAAACCGCTCGAGTCGGAATTGAAATCATCAGAATCCGACTCGAAACCACCAGAATCGGAATCAAAACCACCAGAATCGGAATCAAAACCGGCCAGAATCAGTTTTGGATTCATTGGAATCAGAATCCAAGCCGCCAGAATCGAAATTGTCGGTATCGAAACGACCAGAGTCGCAATTGAAATCATCAGAATCAGGACCGAAACCGCCAGAATCGGAATTATCGGGATCAAAACCACCAGAATCGGAATCGATGTAATCGGAATCAAAACCAACCGGAATCGGTTTTGGCATCATCGGAATCAAAATCCAAGCCGCCAGAATCGAAATTGTCGGTATCTAAATCACCAGAGTAGATTTCGGAATCATCGGAATCAGAATCGAAACCAACATAATCGAAATTATTGGGATCGAAACCACCAGAACCGGGATCAAAACCAACCGGAATCGGTTTTGGAATAATCGGAATTGGAATCCAAACCGCCAGAATCGAAATTTTAGGTATCGAAACCACCAGTGTCGGAATCGAAATAAACGGAATCAGAATCGAACCCGCCAGAATCGAAATGATCGGTATCAAGACCAACCGGAATCGGTTTTGGAATTATCGAAATCAGAATCGAAACCGCTAGAATCGAAATTATCGGAATCGAAACCACCAGAGTCGCTTTTGGTATCATCGGAATCAGAATCCAAGCCGCCAGAATCGAAATTGTCGGAATCGAAACCACAAGGGGCGGTTTTGGAATCATCGCAATCCGAATCGAAAACATCAGAACCGGAAACATCTGGATCAAAACCATCAGAATCGGAATCAAAACCAACCGGAGTCGGTTTTGGAATAATCGGAATTGGAATCCAAACCGCCAGAATCGAAATTGTCGGTATCGAAACCACCAGTGTCGGTTTGGGAATTATCGAAATCAGAATCGAAACCGCTAGAATCGAAATTGTCGGAATCGAAACCTACAAGAGTCGCTTTTGGAATCATCCGAATCAGAATCGAACCCTCCAGAATCGAAATTGTCGGTATCGAAACCACCAGAGTCGGGATTGAAATAACCGGAATCAGGATCTGAAACTCCAGAATCGGAATCATCGGGAACAAAACCACCAGAATCCGAATCAAAGTCATCGGGATCAAAACCAACCAGAATCAGTTATTGGATCATCAGAATCAGAATCCAAACCGCCAGAATCGAAATTGTCGGTATCGAAACCACCAGTGTCGGAATCGAAATCAGAATCGAACCCGCCAGAATTGAAATGATCGGTATCAAGACTAACCGGAATCGGTTTTGGAATTATCGAAATCAGAATCGAAACCGCTAGAATCGAAATTGTCGGAATCAAAACCACCAGAGTCGCTTTTGGAATCATCGGAATCAGAATCCAAGCCGCCAGAATCGAAATTGTCGGAATCGAAACCACAAGGGGCGGTTTTGGAATAATCGCAATCCGAATCGAAACCATCAGAATCGGAAACATCTGGATCAAAACCACCAGAATCGGAATCAAAATCGGTTTTAGAATAATCGGAATTGGAATCCAAACCGCCAGAATCGAAATTATCGGTATCGAAACCACCAGTGTCGGAATCGAAATCATCGGAATCAGAATCGAAACGGCCAGAATCGAAATGATCGGTATCAAAACCAACCGGAATCGGTTTTGGAATTATCGAAATCGGAATCGAAACCGCTAGAATCGAAATTTTCGGAATCGAAACCTACAAGAGTCGCTTTTGGAATCATCGGAATCAGAATCGAAACCTCCAGAATCGAAATTGTCGGTGTCGAAACCACCAGAATCGGAATCGAAATCATCGGAATCTCCCGAATGTGCATCATTTTCAAACTTCTATCAATCGGCCCGGGGAAACTGTACAATGCATCGATCTGCCGTCGTGCAGGGTCATTAGGGATACTTTGAGGTATAAAAAACATTAGCCTTCTCATCAGTAGTTTCAAAAATGCGGTCCATTTTATAAAACAAGGCAAATAGTACATTTTTATTCTTTTAAGATCAACACTAAGGAAACAAAAAAAACTTCCTCAAAGGTTGCCATCAAATCCTATGAGAGACTTATTCCAGTTTTTGAAAATCCCCTTATATTCTCTGTGTGACTACTGGTTACCGAGATAGTGGTCGAAGTTAAAAGGATCCTTTTCTATTCGAACTGAGATATCTCCGCGAAAAATGATCGTATCGAGATTTTAAAAACTATTGAAGCTGAATAAAAGGGCTATGGAGGTCTAAGATAAAATCATGCTTCAAGCCTGCGGATGAAGATGAAAATGTTATAAAAATATTTTCTTGTGCTATGTTAGAATTGCACGAGAACCGTTGCTCCTAAAATTTTTCGGTTAAGAAATCTGAAAACTAGAATCTTAATTCAAAATGCTTGTGAAAAATCACAGAAAATTTTTAATTTTTTTCTTGCTAACGCGATTTTTTTTTAATTATAGAATCTAATGAAAAATATTCAATAAGGCTTAGCTTTTCGGATATTTGAGATGAATAAACGATGTCAGGCATTCTATTAAAAAATGTATATGTATGTATCTAAGGCGTTGAGTGTGCATTCTGAGTCCGCGGCGTAAATTAAGCTCTAACACATCAAGAGACCTAAACGCTTATAACGTCCGGGATGCATACAAAACTTTAATGCCACTAGAGTAAATATTTATTGTGAACATAAAAACAACAAGATTCACCTATATTACCTGCTGTTGAAGCCATTTAGCACTTGCTGACAAAGAAATAAATATAGAAATTTAGTTTATCCCCCTAGGGAATATAAAATCTGTGTTGTTCTGAAAACCTTTTACTAAAATAAACATTACGGCCCACTTGTAGATAAAGCACAATTTTATTATATTATATATTCGGATGGACACAAATAATATCATTATCAATGTACTTCTCTATCTACCCCGTAGATTCAGTTTGTTACTATGGTAACGAATTTATTTACGAATGATGGCGGATGCGACTCATAACTCGTAGTATATCGGGGTAATTACACAATACATAATAAAAAAAACTTGCATTAAGAAATCATATTTAGATTTATTAAGAAAATTATTCAAAAGTCGTATTTTTATTGATCAGTGCGTGGTGTCCAAGACGCTTTAAATACAAACAAAAGACTGCGTATCGCAAAGTGTATCATGCGGTTGCTAATGTCCATCGCGGTGTTCACCTGTGAGGGTGTGAAACAAGTGCGTCAGGTAATTGATAGCCATGGCCCATCCTCTACTATAGTCTACAATTTAGAATTCAAACTATACGCTTTACTCTTGTCACATGAATAGATGGAGAAATTTAATACTAATTAATAATACTACTGTTTTAGCAGATAACACCACCGAAAAATACTTTCAATTTTTCAGAATGAGGGAAACATATTTATACCTGAAACTAATTTTTTTCTTGTGATTTCGAGCCCTTCCGACTACTCCGAAACCTTACCTTTTGATTTCATTCGATTTCTATATCGTCGAATACACAGACATGGGTAACCGCAGGGCTTGCCAGGAAGGGAGGCGTGACGCACCTAAGAGTTCGGTCGGACCCTAACACTGGCATATTTAGCATGACTTTTTATACAATTTTAAGGATGTTTAGCATTATTCTCCTCCTGACAAAAAATTAGCTACCACTCGCGCTTAAAAAAGTTTTTGAAAGATACACATTCACAAAAACTTGTCTTGCCGCTTGTTGGCATTTTGTGTTAAGGTAGAATCATTTCTAATCAATAGTACGTTAGGGTATAGTTAACTCGTGTACAAAGAGGACATCATTTTTCATGTCTATAATGTATGACAAAACATTCATCGCGTTTCCCTCGAAATAAGATTTTTCAAAACTGCTCGCAGCATAACTCGAACAATTGTTATTCTTCCCTTTGAATGTTTTACAAAATATTTAAAAAACCATTTTGAAGAGAAATACTCAGGATTTTCGATAAGTTAATTTCTTAACAAAATCCCCTACGTACTTTTTTAGCAAAAGACGTGTACAATAAGTATTGTTCGCTCCTCAAATTCTATATGCCTTGCGAAAGAGGCTGTGGAGTCCCCATTTTCGAATAGTTTATTTATATTTTCTTGTCAAATGGGTATACCTTATTATACAAAATATTGGATTATTTAAAAAAATAATTTCATTGTGAACAAAAACCATCCCTAGAAAAAAATCCAGGTGTAATATAGATGGCAAAACGTTGTACATGCCTCTATGTAAATGCCTGATTTAGTCACCAGCCTATATGAATGTGTTAATTATCGTATATTTGTAGTGATGTTTTTATATTAATTTTGTTTTTACTATATTGTGTTACATTTATGATAGACATACTTTTATTAGTCAAGTTTGACTACTTTTTAAATGTGTGCATCTCAGTTTGTGAATGTACAATTTCTTTGTGTCTTAATAGTTTTAATCTTCTTTTTTGTTTTCACTTTTTTATTCTTTACGGATAGCTATAGCTTCAATCCATTTTTTAACTTTAATTTTGTACAAACAAATAACCAGTGCCATTTCATGACTCATAAGTTGTTTCGCCAGTGACCATGATGGCAAATGTGACAAAAATTGGATTATTGCCACACACAAGGTTTCTCGTTTGTGGCAGTGCTTTAATTTGTCATTGTTGCTGACAACTGACAACAAATTATAGCAATCTGTATTTTTGGCAAACATAAATTTCTCCAAATTTTAATAAAACAATGATTATATTCTTATTTCTTCTGCAAAAGAATTGCAAAAAACACTTTTCTTAGTCCGTTACAGTGGTGTTACCCATCATTTAGGAATTAAAAAATCAGCAGAGACAGATGGTCTTCAAACAGCTAAACAGATTTTTACTTAAATAAAGCTAAATTGAAATGTTCAGCTTGGAAGCTATGAATCTATATGTCTACACAGACAGATACTACTAATCATAGAATGTATCTACTTCCTCTCTATTCTACCTGGCTTACTTTCTCTTTCCTATTCCAGGAAACCTTCTTCTCCAAAAATGGATTGGCGCGTAAGGCATCCCACCTACGTAGACATCGCTTATCGTGAGTCCGTGGAACGCCTTAGGTAAGAAAATAATTTTCTTCTTGATCGTTTGTCGGTCTTATCTCGACTTTCGACGCGATTATTAAAAATTTCTGACTTTGTCTCCTTTGTGATTTACCGACATAGGCAGCATACGAGGTCTGTAAATTAAGTGATGAGACTGATTTTTTAATTTTTTTTAATCAAATATAATTACTATTTTCCCAAAATGAGTTCCCTTGAGGTGATTTTTAACTTCGTGAAGAGAAAAAAGCCACAAGGACTCAAGTCAGGCGAATAAGGAGACTGCGGAGCCACAAGAATGTTTTTAGTTGCAAAAACCTCGTTTATTGACTTTGCTGGCTACAAGAAACATTATCGTGATGCCACACCCAGTTTTTCTTGATATGAGAACGCTGGTATGAGTCAAATTTAACTGTTCCCCAATTATTCTGACTGTTAACCGACGATCTGAACTACACGATCCCAGATTATGTCGTTATTTCAATATCGATCTTGAAGATGAAGGCCTTCCGCTTCGTGATTCATCTTGAATCGACCCTCTCCCTGAAAATGCCTCAAACCACTGAAAAGCCTGAGCTCTTGACAAAACAGTATTTCCGTAGGCCTGAAGTTAAGCAAGAATTTCCGTTGCACTATGCCCAAGTCTAAAGCAAAACCTGATAGCTCACCATTGATTGAAATTGATGTCATTCATCTTTAGGACACGATAAAAAAGTTTCACCAAAAAGATCGCTGAGGTCAACTCAATGACTCGAGCGAGTTCAAACTTGTACTAAAGGCGGATCACATGTTCCCTGTCTCCTGACGCCGCTATGTTGCCAGTCTCATCACTTAATTTACATACATGCTATAATGTTTCTTCTCTATTACTGTTAGACGACTCGCGTTTTTCATCTTCTTTCGCGGCATACCTTTGAATCGCCAAAGGTCGGTGCTCGGTGCATCCAAATCTAGACTATATTTTTTGCACTGTAAGCTGTAGACATGTGATTCTTAGACGATATGCTTCAACAGTTAGGCTTCTACTCATTATTTCCATTATCGGATCTTGAAACAGTCAGAACTTTTCTTTCTCTCTTTTGGATGAGGCATTTGATCAATACCTATAAAACTTCAAGTATGTATCATCATCATTTTCAGAGTGATGTTAGCCGAAAGTTACACGCCATCGCGGAGATCAATGCGCGACTTGGACAGCGCTGGAGAAGAAACGGACAACCAATCGCAACTGAGTTGCGGAAGTCGTGGTAGCAGATTTGGTAGAGGGTACTACAATTATCTTTATAATCCTATTACGCCTAGAAAGTACTACTTCCCGTCCAGAAGCTATACTGTTGGAGGAGCAACTACAGAAAAAACTATGCAGTACGTATCGTGTGCGTTGTATATGTATATTCTTAAAACGTCTGCTCCAAATAAGCACGTTTATTAATGCAGTTCAATTAATTAACTTCCTTATTATTCAGAGACCAGCCAAAAACAGAGGCATCTTCAGCTCCACCGGAGCTCATGTCCTTCATAGAACGACAGGAAGAATACATAGAACAGCTGGAAAAGGAATCCAAATTTTGTAGAGTAGGTATTTATATAAAGCAAATATTTTCCTTATCATCAATATAAACTTTATAGGAAGAACTAGCTACTCTCTTGAATAAAGTCAAAGACGTGATAAGCGAAAATGAAAATCTGCATGAAAGGCAAAAATCTAAATTGATCAAATCAGTCTTCGACCACTTGGAGACTGAAACTGAAACGGAGACTGAAACCGAACCTAGAAAGGTATGCCACTCTTTTGTTATGATCAAATTAACTAACAGAAAAATGACATCTAGAGAGAAACAATAGCTTTTTCGGTATTTTTGTTGATAGACCCCTTTTTTGATTAAAGGTTTTGAAATCGCCGAAGAAATCCAAAAGGTCTACTCTACTGGAAGGTCCTCCAATTGTATTCGAATCAAGGATATCAGAGCTAGAAGCACAACTAACTCAAGCTAAAATTGATCTTAAGAAAGCTCAGGATGAAAACGAAACCTTGAAAAGAAAGATAAACGATGGAACTATACTAGAAGGTGTTGGGTATGAGTCGTATAGGAAACAAATTGATTCTTTACAAAAGTAAGTGACACAAGTGTAAAAAAATAGGTAACACTAATTACTATACAGGGTGTTAATTAATTAAGTCTAGTGGCGTATCGAGCAGGATCTGTACGAATATTTCTAACAAAAAATGTACGCCACTGAATTTTTGCAATTTTAATTATATTCTTTGGGAAAAGTATTTTTTTATAATTATTTATTACTAATTATGTTAATATTATTTCGTAATTGCTGTTGTTGTTACATAATTGTTAATAAAGAATAATAAAAAAATAATTTCCAACAGAAACTATTCCCCATATTTCTTGTGTGGTCAAGGATATGCAAATAAATGGACTTTTTTCCGAAGATTCGGAAAAAATTCATTAGACAAAAAAGTTGTATTTCTATTTGCTTAATCTAAAAAATATAATGAAATTGCACAAAAGTCAGAGGCGTACATTTTTTTGTCACAATCATTCGTTCAGATCCCGCTCGAGATGCCACTTGACGAATTTTTTGAAATTTTAACACCATGTATCTTGAGAACGAAGAATTTGCGGACCTATATTTATATCAACTTTTTGTCTGTTATGGTACATACTTAATTAGCACCCTGTATATTCACAATCAGTATCCAAAGTTTTAGGTGTGGATGAACAAAGGTTCCATAATATTAGATTATATATATATATATATATATATATATATATATATATATATATATATATATATATATATATATATATATATATATAAAGAGAATATGGTGGTGGTTAGACGTCTCCTTGAAAATTCGAGGTCGTATAGCCATTTTATACTACAATGTGTAGGTTGGCTCTTGTTGTGGACTTCGTGTGTCGATTTTTTCCCTCCAAATTCGTTTCCTCAGGTCACACCCGTATCCGGATGTGTGGGCATGTGTATCTACTTTTGTAGTTTCATATGTGCATTCATTTCGGGCCTGATGAAGCCAACCAGCAGAAATACGTATCGCTCGGGTTACCTATCCTACTTTCTGCTCGAATCCACTTTCCTCCTTTTTGCGGATTTAGCCCATTATTTTCCTACTTGTTATATATATATATATATATATATATATATATATATACCGGTATACAGGGTGTCCCGAAACAAGTGTGCAATATTCTACCAGCGGTTTCTAGAGCTTAAAATAGGAAGAAAGGCTTATATAAACATAGGTCGACAAACGTCCCCTAAGGGCGCTACGCTCTTTTAAAGGGGCTCCCCTGAAGATGGTCTTTCCTTAATATTTCCGAAACGTGTTGAGACAAAGACATAAAATGTGGTATTCTAGCCTAGTTTTTTATGCTGGATTTAAAAATATTAACAATTTTAGACAGTTCTGTTTGGAAGCGTATGTAACTGAGACGGGCTCAGGTTATTTTAGCCCCAAAATTTTTGTGTGATTCTATTTTTGAAATTCAATCTTAGAATTTTTAAATTTAGTGTTTTCTACATCTTATTGAATATCGATAAATTGTCCCATTTTTGAATAAAATCAAACTAAAAAGATTGTCACATGATAGGAAATGTACTGCGAATTTAAATAAATTGTTGATTATACATAATTAGCCATGACTGCAAACAAAAGTTGTTTTGATTTGTTATGACTTATTTTGACGTTAAGCTGACATTGTTAGCAGTGTAAAATTACTATATTAAAATCAAAATTTTTATTAAATCGATTTAAAATGCCAAGATTTTCAGACAGAGAACTGACTGACATGCATCCTAGAATATTATGGTCGAATGAGTCAATATTTACTAGGAATGGTGCTTTTAATTTCCATAACATGCATCACTGGCGACATGAAAATCCTAAAGTTGTTCGCCGTACAAATTTCCAACATAGATTTTCATTGAACTTATGGGCAGGAGTAATTGTGGATCAAGTAATTGGGCCTATTGTACTTCCCCATCGTCTTAATTCAGAGGTGTATCTGAACTTTATTCAGAATGAGGTCATGGATACCATTGGATGTGCGCCAGCAGTTTCAAGAAAATATGTTTTTTTAACATGATGGCGTCCCTGCACATTTTGGACGCAATGTTCGAAATCAGTTGAATGTCAATTTTTCAGACAGGTGGTTAGGCCAATGAGGTTCTATAGCGTGGTCGCCACGTTCACCAGACCGAAATCTATTGGATTTCTATTTTTGAGGGTCATTAAAAGACCTAGTTTACTCGACTGAAGTAAATACTCAAGAATATTTACTTCAAAGAATTCATTAGGCTGCAAATGAAATAAGAAGAAAAAGGTTTTCCACTTTTCGGGCTACGCAATCATTAGTTCGTCGTGCGAGACTCTGTATCCAACAAAATGGGAATTTATTTGAACACTTATTGTAAAGCTAGTTTTAAGTATATCCAACTGTATGTCTTCTTTTTTAGACAAATTTAAATTTCGTTCGTAGAAAAAATTTATTTCTTTTGGCTAAATGTTAGCTATGTTGCAATAGAAATATGTATTTATGTAATATTTACCAATTATTATTTATCGATATTCAATAAGAGTACCTTTTTTATGTAGAAAACCCTAAATTTTCAAATTTTAAAATTGAATTTCAAAAACAGAATCACACAAAAATTTTGGGGCTGTTACATACGCTTCCAAACAAAAATGTCTAAAATTGTTAATATTTTTAAATCCAGCATAAAAAAGTAGGCTAGAATACCAAATTTTATGTCTTTATCTCAACACGTTTCGGAAATATTAAGGAAAAACCATATACAGTGAAAGCTCTCCTTGCGGACAGCTCCTATAAGCGGACATCTCTTTTAACCGGACAAAGTTCCTGGAACCAAATTTCAGCCATCAATTTTCAATGTTAAATGCATTCCGATAAACGGACGCTCTTATAAACGGACGCGGACACTAGATTTTCCTGTATGTGATCAAAAAATCTCCCATAAGCGGACGCGAAACTCTAATACCCGGACGATTTTTTAGTTCCGCTTATTGCAATGCACATATCTACATACATAAAATTCGGTAATTCCCCGATTTATATTAGGTGATTCCCCATTTACGCATTTCGTTGGGTAGCCTGCATGTAATCTTGTGGCTTGTCTTCAGTTCAGGCAAATTCGTAGTTGATTGAGTTACGTATTTTATTATTGTAACTGTAAAATGGCACCAAAAAAAAGGATGCTCTCGTTAAAGGAAAAGATGGAAGTTGTTAACGTATTAGACAGAGAAAGTGTTTCAGTTCGTCATTTGGCAAAGAGGTTTAATATTGAGAAAACGCAAGCAGCTGAAATTGCCAAAAATAAGGAAGATATCAGGAGTAAATGGCAATCAGGAACTAATATAAATCAAAAGAAGGATTTTTTAAAAAAGGAAGGTTTTGCTATAGACAAAACATGTTTTGAGTGGTTTGTGAAAGCTAGAAGTCAGAACATTCCAATCTCAGGGCCGTTAGTGAAAATGAAAGCTAAAGAAATCGCTACTACTTTGGGCTATAATAATTTCAGTGCGTCCGACGGGGGGCTGCAAAAGTGGCGCAAGAGACATAGTGTGAGTTTCAAATGCATATCTGGCGAAGCTGCTGCAGTAGATCAAGTTGATGTGTCACAATTTTTGGAGAAACTTCCGTCCATGTTGCTTGGCTACAAACCAGAAGATGTGTACAACGCAGATGAGAGTGGATTTTTTTTTCGCGCATTGCCCGACAAAACTCTGTCCTTTAAAGGAGAAACATGTGTGGGTGGAAAGTTGTCTAAAGATAGACTAACCATTTTATTCTGTGCAAATATGGCCAGTGAAAAATGCGATTTGATTGTGATCGGGAAAGCGGCTCGTCCCCGTGCTTTAAAAAACGTTGCTATTAAGGATCTACCAGCGACTTGGAAATCCAACAAAAAGGCATGGATGACCCGAGAAATCATGTCTGAGTGGTTAGTCGAATTCGACCGGAAAATGAGAATCCAAAAAAGGCAAGTTCTTTTATTTTTAGACAATGCATGCTCTCATCCTCGTGATATGAAAATGAAAAATGTGAAAATTATATTTTTACCGCCAAACACAACTTCTGTTTGTCAGCCCATGGATCAAGGTGTCATACAGAACTTTAAATTTTATTATCGGCACTTGATTTTAAAACATATTTTAACAATAATTGACGATGGTCAAAGCTTATCTGAGCTTACAAAGTCTATCAATGTGTTAGAAGCTTTGTATTTTATAAAAACAGCATGGAATAAAGTAAATTCCTCTACAATTAAAAACTGTTTTGGCAAAGCTGGAATCAGAAAAAGTGAATGTAGCTCAGAATTTGCTGAGCAAAATTATTGCGATGCTGAAGACGATCTACCCTTAGCGACACTTGCTCATTTACTGCGACGTGCCAAACATTTAGGAGTAACAGATCCCCAGAAAGTAGATGATTTCCTGGCCATAGACAATAACATAACAACAGAAGAAAATGCCATTGGCAACTTTTCGAATTTGGATGTAGAAAGCCCAGGCCAACTTGAATATGGTAGTCCAAACGACTCAGAAGAAGAAGTGGAACTGGTGGACTCACTAAGCGGTTCAAAAACGATAAATTCATATGGGGAAGCTCTAAATCATATTTCTATATTGAAAAAATTTGCTAAAGATGATTTCACTGCATTTCAACATTTGAAAAATTTAGAAAGTTATTACGAAAATTGTCTCCTTCAGCAAAAGATGGTGAAATTTCGTCAGACAAACATTTTAAACTTTTTTCAACAAGCTAAAGAATAATGTTTTTTTTAAATTCTCGTACCATGTATTGAAGCATTTATGTTTTTGTATGCGTATATGTACATATATTATATAGATATATAGCATAAATACATACTTTAAAAATGTGGCGAGTTTCTGTTTCATTTCTCATGATTATAATACCTCATTTCCTCATGATTATATACCCCGTTATTTATACTCTATACTTACATACTCTCTTTTAAACGGACACCTCCCATAAGCGGACAAAAGTTACGGAACCGTGAGTGTCCGCTTATGGGAGCTTTCACTGTATATATATATATATATATATATATATATATATATATATATATATATATATATATATATATACATATATTATATATATATAATGATCTTGCTGATTAATTTTAGAGAAAAGGACGCCTTACAGGATTCGGTCCGGCAATTACAAAATACGTTATCTTTATTCAAAGACAAAGAAAACGATACAGTAGATAAGGTGAAGAGGAGCCTAGACATAGCAGAACAAGCACAATATGAGAAGAATGCTGCTGAGGCAGAAATACGTAGATTGAAAGACGAATTGGAACGTCAACATTTGAAGCTAAGAGATGCCATTTCAGATCAGGTACAACACATATGACTAAAAGTTTACTCTCCGTTCACTCTATTTCATTAAAGGACATACGAGGTTTGTTCAAAGAGTATCGCGAATTTCATGTTATTTCAAGAATTATTTATTTATTCATGAAAATCTATTGTGATAACGTATTTTCCAATCCTCGAAGAATTTTGAAAAATCATTTTTGAAATAGACAAAAATCGGAGACAAGCTAAAACACGTCCACGCACAATAGCTGTCAAAAACTGATTGCACATTCAAAATGGCCGATGTTGTCAACATTAGTGAGGGTCATGAGTACCAATAAAAAGATCAAAAATCGAACCTACGTAGCCCGCGGAAATTCAAAATTTTGGGATACTTTTTGAATAAACCTCTTATAACGAGCTTTTCTCAAAATCTATTTAAACTAGGTTTCAACAACCACATAGAATTTGTTGATTTTAAGATTGCTCAATCGAGAGTCTACTTGACTATTGTAAAAGAAAATCTGATCAGTGGTTTGAAGATATTAACACAGTATTGGACATGATTCTAACGGTTTCTCAAAAAGCTCGTAATAATGAGCTTTTTAAAAATCGACGTAAACTGACAATCGCCAATTATTATTCGACAAACGCGATATCTTGATTTAGTTGATGCATAAGCACCAGATATTATATAGCCATTGACCTAACTACAACAAAACGCATTAAAGGATGCTGTTTATCAACCGTGCTAAAATGACCAGGAGCCTTCAAAGTTCATTAATCTCACACTATGTAAGTGACGCTTATATATTTTATTGTAACAAGGTTTTTGAATGGATCTATTATATTTCAATCTAAAAGTACATAACATCCATATATGAAATTACTGGCTCTCGGTTTAGGTCCATAGTTCAACACGTACACGTACTCGTATATCACAAAGTTGTCTCGGGATAATGTTTTTCAGGGTACATGATGTCTTTTTACATGTCTTCATGCAATAATGTGTTTATTCGTTGTTTTAAAAAGCGATTTTTTTTAGAGCAGGAGAATAGCAGACGAAAGATCTGCAGCTGAAAGAAGGTATACTCAGCAAATAGAGCAGCTGACAGCAGAGCTTGGGGTGCAGTGGGAATCAACAAATAAGCTGCAGCTGGAACTGGACAAGCAAAGAAGAGACAATTCTGATTTGCGCAGGGAGGTGGCTCAGAAACAGGCACTGATCGATGACTTGAAGAAGGACATGCAAAGCAAAATAAGTGAGTTTTATTCTAAAGCAGATCTAGAAAATATTTGCGGGGGGAGAATTTTTGCATAGTGATTTTTTGAAACTGTAGGGCATAATGTAGAAGAAAATATACAAAAATTAGCATTTTCAATATTGAACAATAGTTTCATATTATAATATTTAGCACTGCGTCAGGCAGATAAATATGTTAAGCAACTGCTGATGAACTATACTATGATGTGGTATACTACGAGTTTTTATTTTCAGTTAATCTCCAGTCAGACATAGGAGCTACTGGTGCAGAAAAGAGTGCTCTGGAGCAACAGATAGCGACACTCCAAATGGCGAATGAAAGGACAGAGAGGCAATACAAGCAGGAAATTACTCGACTAGAAACCGAAGTGCAATCTTTCAGGCAAAGATTAGATAGAGCTGACGCTGATTTGATACACAGTCGTAGGGAAAATCTCAGATTGAATGAACAGATTGCTTCGCTTCAAAAAGAGGTAGATCGACATGTTAAAAAACGCCAATATCAGATGAAAAATAATAATAAATAATAAAGAGACGCGAGACCAAAGTTATTGACTTCAAATTGAATATGATCGGTAGTTATAAAATATATGTGAGTGGCTTTGCCATGTGGATGGTTCACACATAGTACTTTTCGTGGTTACAAACAAATAGCATGTGATCTAATGTACTATTTGCATCAATACTAAAAGCTGAAGGCTATAAAATAATTCATTATATTCATTCTGCTTTTTAATAGATAGCACTGAGCGCTGCAATCTCGGATGAAAAAAGTAGAACTCCAAGAAGCTCTGAAACTATAGCTTTGCCTCCACCAAAAAGTGAAAGTCATGACAGAGAAAAAGAACTCACGTCAATGATACGAAATATGGAAAGCAAGCATGGTAAGGTAATATTACGAAAGTTGTTATGGTACTTGAAAGCAAAATTTACAGTATATCTTTCATGAAGATGTTTATTACAATTTTAGTGTGTTTGTCGTCACGTACTTGAGGAAACATAGACATAGCTATTTTAACTAACTTTGGGGTCAAGTAAAGCTTTTCATGATCATGACAGTTAGTCTGAAAAAATGATTACCTGAATCTACCTCGATAAGTACTAGTACCAACATTATAAAATCCATAAATAAAAAAGTTCCGGAAATCACAGATTCTTATACATTTGGATGTTTCCTCTGATAAATGACAATTACCAATCTTATAATAAACCATTTGACTATGAGTTGATGCGGGAGAACAACTTCTTAGTAATATAAAATGATGTATGTTGTAGCATCAACGGTCGCAGAGCTAGAACAAATGATCTACTCCCAAAATCAACTCATGGACAAACTGTCTAACGAATGTCAAGCGCTCACCCACAAACTGGAAGAGGCCAGCGTAAGACATAAGTAAGATTATTCGCATTTTTATCATCTTCCACACTTAATCCACACTCAAGTTATAGTAAACAGAATTCCACTAAGACATATGTCTATAATATAATAGTTTACTGGATGCCAGCAAGCTTCTTCAAAGCTTTCCAACGAAAATTTCACCTAAAACTTAATTATAATATTTCTGGATCACACGATCAAGTTTTAAAAAGCACCGGCAAAAAAGCATGCCTATTTTCCGGTAGAATATCTCATTTTTCAGATTTTGGCTAGTAATACTAAAGAATAATAATCTACTCTGAAAAACATATTTCTACTGTTGATTTTATGGAAAAAAGTTCAATATGAACATACAGAGTGAGTTTTCAGCGTGGCTCGGAAGATAACTCCGCTATTACGCATACCTCTAAAAGTTGAATACAAAAATTAAAGCCAACAATATGTTCTTAATTTGAAAAATATTTTCATCTCTACACAGTAATCCGTAACTACGTGGTAACCCAAACATATATTTTTTCAAATGGAAAGTCCAACATTTTATTACAGATTTGGATAGGCCCATTCGAACGAATCAATCTGATATATCATACTCATTCTCTTATTGCTGAGATATTATACAACTCATCAAAAAAAAAAAAAAACACGCAACTCTACATCTTTGCAACTGTTCTAGCTAGGGTACCCATTTTTTCGTCAGGAGAATTTCATGATCGCATATTTTCTCTCTGTCGACTTCATTTTTCAGTTTTTTGATAGTCCCTATTTGTTTTTTGACATTTTTTTGATTCGGCTTATAACGAGGCTTTTTCCGATACAATTGCTAAGCAGGTTTGTGTGACTGGTTTTGAGTTAATAAAAATACTGAGACATCTTCTTGACTTTTCTACTATATTGCATTAGTTCATAATAAAAATACATCGATTCTAAACATTTGCCTTTACCACCTAAATGCTATTTTTTTGGAAATGAAATGTAATATTTTTTTATCTTCATATCTGATTTATAAACAACTCAAAAACTAGTCGTACAAACCCCCATAAGCCTGACATTAAAAAAAGCTTGTGAAAAAGAGTTTCAAAAGATATATTTGAAAATATTGAGAAATTGTTCATTTTGCGTTCTTAACAACCCTGCACAAACTATTGAAATAACTGAATAAGTAAGTAGATAAGGAGAAAATATGGGATCAGATAGTTTTTCTACCCAAAAATTTAGTACTCTAGCTATAACAGTTGAGGAGATGCAAGTCATCAAAGTTAAGCGTTTTTTCAATAAATTCCCAATACCTCAACAGTTTGAGAATAAAAACGTATAGTGTGTTATATTACATTGCTTCATTTGAAAGGACCTATCCTAATATGCAATAAATCGTGGCTCTTTTTGCTTAAAAAAAAGGTATGTTTAGGTCACAACGTATTTATGAATCAATCTGTAGAAATGAACAAATTTTTCAACTGAGTAATTTTTTAGATATCATACGTAATAACGGAGCTTTCAACCAAGCCCCCACAGAATAAAAAAAAACGCTCACACTGAAAACTCACCCTGTATGTCTAAAAAGGTCCCTTTTCAATCATTTTTTAGTTTTACCCGTAGATTTTTGAGAAACTTTTGAAAAGTTGATGTCCTTATATACCTACATTTTGACATGCTCTTTCAAAATTTCTAATTTGCTACCTGATAGCTTTTCCTCTCATGCCCCCAATATGAAAAAAGTGGCTCCAAAAAAAGGAAGCTTTGTCAATATACAGCAGTAGTCATAAGAATATATTTAATTGAAAACCTTGTGTTTGGTAGGGATGGAGCTGGAAAAAACGAAAAACGAGTGCGATTCGCTGACAGTCCAACCAACCAAACGCAAGGAACCGATAAAAGTTGATATCAGTGTCAAAGTGATACCAAAACCACGAAAGGTCAGTTTGTGATCATTGAATTGCTGCTTTGAGATTTTTTCTTTTGAAAAATCTTCAGGATTTCCTTCTCTAGTACTGTGCATGACTGAGAAATGTATTTACATTTAGCTAGAATATGAACATGAAATAAAAAAATTCACAAACGATCATCCGCAAAATAGAATTTTGAATTCTTATTTGCGAAATTGAACTGATGAATTTTACCAAAAAGCATTTATACAGAGATGATAAAAATAACTTTTATCGAGGAAATCCTCAAGATTTGGTTAGTCATGTCAAAAATTGATACAATGAAAACATGTAATTGTTAGAGTTGACAGGACAAAATTGCGAGCAAAAAATCTCGAACTTATGATGAAATTGGAAGCAGTATGGGAGTTTTTGAAGAAATCTCAGAGCGTCACGGAGGATGTAGTTGAAATCCAACAGGTAAGGTAAAGTAACTATTCTAACTATTTCTTTCTATACTTATAGGGAGGAAATTCAGCAACTACAAACTAATTTAGAATATTTAAACGATAAGATTATCCAGGCACAATTTTCTTCGAGCAGTATACAAGGTACTTACATAAAAGTGAAGAATACTTCATTTTGACATTCTACACATAGTAGTAGTTTTTTTACTTCAAAGAATCTGGATATGGCGATTCTTCACCAAAAAGTTTTATTTCACAAATATTTGCATAGATACATCATATTACATTGTGAATGTAGAAAACCGGACACGTTTTTCATAGCTAAAAGCTAAAAATTGATTATATTTGAATTTAGCGTCACAAAGTATATAATTTTAATAAGTTTCGTTCGCGTGTAACCGCCGATAACAAAAATGGATTCATAGTTCAAAATAAATAGCATTAATTGTGTAAGATTGGTCAACAGATGCCTGATGAGTGTTTAACACCTTTTTGAACGTCAAAAACGGTTTTTCAAGTCTTAAAAGCCAAACACTTTCTGATTCTAGAACTATGAAATCACCTGTCTCTTGTAGGCCAATGAGGAAAGAATAATACTATGCCGAGTCAGAAGTTTTGTAGGTTCTACAGTGCCTACTTAAACTAGCCTCAAATTTTGTTACATTGTTTTGAAAGAGAATTATGAACAATGAAACATCAAGAATATATGCACCTTCAACTGATTCAAAATAGTTTTCTAACGATAGAAACTTACTCAACATGACATTTGTTTATATCTGTCATACTGCAGTTTTATAAATGCTTTACCTGTCTTAGGCTACTGTGAAATTCATAGTCTACAAGCGCGGATCAGGGGGCGATATTTATTACTTTCGAATCCTTTTGATTAATTCAATGAAATAAAGGCTTTTTGTAAATATGGATTGAGTACAAACGGGTAAGAAGTCACAAGATTTGATGAAAAATTACCACACTAGGCAACCCCGAATTTGTTAGGGTATCTAAGAGGGTTGCGTAAGTCTGGTTGCCTATACGTTAGGCTTGACGCAAATATAAATAAAACAGTGATTCTACATTTTTAGGCTTAGTAGAACTGCATATCGGTTAGTGCATTGTTGGAAGTTGCGCCTTATGTTCTGTGATTAAGGGAGTGAATTAAAAATTGAGACATTCGTACAGGAATGTAAGAAAAAACCTTTTCGCGCACGCCTTTGATGCTGTGAGCAAATTTGCTAAAAATACTTTTTGGCGGACAATCAGAAAAAAGCGATTTCATTTGATTGAAATGAGATGATGAATAGTAACCATCATAGTTATCTAACCGTAAGAATGTTCAAATTTCGCTTTCATCTATCAGCTCATATACATATATACTTCATATTTTTGACACTTTTTATTCGTAACTTAGCATGATGTATGGTCTTAGTTTAGTTATGTACAGGGTTTTGCCCAAACATGGGGTAAGAATTCAATGGGTGGCTCTTGGGACTATTCTGAGATTGTTGTATTTGATCTTCTTGATTCACATATCGTTAAGTTTTAACATCGCGTAACTAAAAAAATGGCGCCATCAAGATATGCGTGTAATTCATTACGGAATCCAAAGATCCAGCGTTTTTTTCAGTTTTTTTTTTTAAATGTGACAGTTTTGAGTTACGCTGTGTTAGAACTTGAACGACGATATAATCCAACGAAATCTATCAACTCATTTAGTTCACCAGAGACGAACTAGCCCTTAACTCAATACGAGTATATTGCTAATTTTTTACACCTCTGACTAATAACTTAAAAATAATACTTTTGGACATTGGAACGTGTCTCGATAGACTTGATTGTTCCATCTACATCAAGGTTTATTCATGATGTTTGATTTCAATAATACCATCAACCGTTTTTAAGAAAAAATAGCCGTGCTTTTTCAGGTCGCTGATCTGTTATGAGAATTACCATATTTTCAAAACGGGGGAACCAGTATTAAGTTACAGTTTCATATTTTGGAAAACTGTACAACAACAATAAAGCTATTTTACCCCAAAACCCCAGAACGGTTGATTAAATCAGAATACCCCCGCCCTCCCACTGAGATGAACCTCCTCCTGAACACGAATCCTGTGACCTCCCCTGACACAACTGCTGGATCCGCCCTTGTGATAAGATGTATTCAAACTTTCAGATAAGGGACACCCTTCGAATGGCGATAGAGGCAACACAAGAAGAACTCCACCAGTCGCATCCAAACCCGAACAACCCGTCAGGCTGTCTCCCCGAAATGAAGAACAAGCCGTGAACAAAAAACGATCATCTACTACTCCTAATCAAGGCCTATCAAGACAAAATAGCCGCGACAAAACCAACTTGCCTCCTTCGCCCTTACCAGATCATAGTCAAACATCTCCACCTGAACAGCAACACTCAAAAGACAACAGAGAGTCTCCACAACTATACGCACAAAGCCCAAATGGGAGAAATGAACCAGTAGAAGCGGCGTACAACCGCGATCAACAAAGTACTCATGAATATAGTCCGACCCAAAGTCAGTACGACACTAAGCAGCCAATACAGGAGCAGTATGACGAAAATCAGTACAATCAAGCTACTGCTCAGTATGTATCACCTCAGTACGATGGTTCTCAACCAGTACAAAGCGAATATGACGAAAGTCAGTACGCTCAAAGTCAAGAGCATTTTGATTCAAATCAGACCCAGTTCGATCCCAATCAGCAATACGTACAAAGTGCTGAACAATATGACCCAAACCAGTATGAAGGGTACGATCCAAATCAGTACGAACCAAACCAGACGTATGACCCCAATCAGTATGACCCTACCCAATACGAGTCTGGACAGCAGTATCAGCAATATGAAGGGGAGCAGAAATATCAGGAAGGACAGTATGCTAAAGAGGAAAGTTATCAGAACCAAAGTGATGGTACTGCTGTTCCAGACGGAAATAAGGGCGGAGAACAGTGAATTTGTAAGTTGCAGGTGGAGATACCTGAATGAGTGCAATGGATTATGTGCAATATTGGCATTGTTGCAAAGGTTAGGAACCTTTAACGGAAATAGGCGAAACTCCAAGGAATACAAATATTATACTAAGTGACATAAAAATCCGAACACCCAGTTTAAATGGTTTTATTTTAATAAAAGTTGGTGAATGTATTTGTCTTACTGTAAATAACAAGTGAAAAAATTTTCAGCCTTATCAGTTGGACATTCCGGTTTTTATACTGCTTTTTTTTAATTCACTAACGCTCTAAAAATGAATATTTCAGCCGCAGTAAAGAATCAACGTTGGCGGATTTCGGTTCTTGACATCCTTTACGATCGGTTACGATGCCTAGAGTACCGAGACCTGTACGATTTCGTGAACTTACTGAGTATGATAGGGTCCGTATAGTGGGACTTCGGGAAGCTGGACTTTCTTTTCGGGCAATTGCAGTTAGAGTGCAAAGAAGTGTAGACACTGTGGTTAGGTGTTGTCAGGCATGGCTTCGAGAAGGCCGTACGCAAAGAGCAAGGGGCACTGGACGCCGCCGTAGAACAACAGACCGTGAAGATCGCCGCCTAAGATTATTGGCCTTGATACCGGCCACACTGGGTCCTCCCTTTAACTCGAGAACACCGACGTAATCGCCTTGAGTGGTTCAGACAACGGTCACTCTGGAATCAGGAATGGAACAGTATTGTCTTTGGTGACGAGTCTCGATTTTGTTTAGGCATGTACGATTGTCGTGCTAGGGTTAGAAGGCGACGTGGTGAAAGGAGGAATCCACATTTTTTTGTTGAAAGACATGTTCATCACACTGTTGGAGTTATGGTTTGGGGTGCTATAGCTTATGGTTCCAGGTCACGTTTAATCTTCATCAGAGGTAACATGAACGCGCAGCGTTATATCCACGAAGTTCTAGAACCCCATCTTTTACCCTATCTTGACACCCTGGCAGATCCAACTTTCCAACAAGATAATGCCCGACCACATGTTGCAAAAGTCACAATAGACTTCTTTCAACATAATGATGTCACATTGTTACCATGGCGACCAAGATCTCCCGACTTATCCCCAATTGAGCACGTGTGGGATATGATGGGTAGGAGATTGCTCAATTTGCAACGTCCTCCTCAGACTCTAGAAGCACTTCAAGAGAAGTTGGTGGTTGCCTGGAATGAGATACCACAGGAGGACATTGACCACCTGATAAGAAGCATGCCTAGGCGCGTTGGAGAATGCGTAGCACATCAGAGTGCATCCACACATTATTAAAGGTCAAAGGGCTTTAAAGCAATGCAATCATTTTGAAATTTTTATCATTTACTTATTATGCTTGATTAAGTACTTATACAAAATTTTATTAAAATAAAACCATTTAAACTGGGTGTTCGGATTTATATGTCACTTAGTATATTTTGTAGACTATTCGGAAATATGTCATTTTTGCCTTCCTCATTTACTTTAGCAATTTTTCAAGAGACCTGCCAACGCATTTTTGTGGAGTTACCCTTTTCTATGGGCATGTTTAGCATACGACTTTTTAACCAGTGCGAAGGGTGCTTTCCCCTATCTCTGTTTCATTTTATCATTGAGTATGATTTGTAAAATGACCAACAAAAACGTTTCTCTATGTCAAGCTTCTTTGTCAGGGGACATTTGCTAGATAAGTAATTGAATTTTGTTTACTTTTTACGGAGCTCTGTGAACTTTTTGCAGTTCAAAATGACGTTCTCGAATCTGTATCGTATCTGTCATCATTTTTATAGAATTTGGTGAAAAATGAAACCAGACTAATTATTTTCCGAATTCTATTTCTTAGAGCATCATAAGTACTCATATAGTACCTATTCTTACTCATTCAACTACTTATATTGTAAGCTCAAACATTTTCCACTAGACATATAAATCGAATATCAATCGTATCAAGTTCTGAATTATTAGAAAGTGGATTATGAATAGGTAATCCATTTTTCACTTATTTCATGTGGTCTGTTTAACTGTAGTGTTTTATAATAAATTCGGTCTTTTTGCAGTTATGTTGTTTTATTCACACCTAAATAACTTTTAGATGCGCGATACTTTCAATTTGTAAGTGTATAATGGTCAGTGAGATAAAGAAAAGAAAAGAATGACAAAGGATAAAATGCTTCAACAATTTTTAGTTGGGCTATCTTACAAAATATCTGTACTCTGTGTATTTCATGAGTAAGACAACATTTAGACCAGGACTTATCATAGCCTGTTGAGAAAGGTCGATGAATTCTACTAATCTATCCAAACCTCATGTACTTGTCAGTTTTGGTGGATGTACATCTCTTTAGAAGTCCACATTGTACATCCACCAAAAAGACAAAACTATTGTCAATCTTCCCCCAATTTTGACTTTAGATTCATGTTCAAAGGATACCAGCACACATCACTTTTCATTTTTTTGTGGACCTGTGGACCGTTTTTATGCGTTTTCTCTTAAATTTGTCCACAAACACCCAATTTTGACTTCAGATTCGTGTTCAGCATACAAAAATAGAAGGGAAAAACATAGTCGTGCCCTGAACGTACAACACTTTTTTTATTTTATGGGCCTATGTAATATTGCGGGAAAAGTAGCACTACTCGCCCCTATCACTTATGAATGCCGACTTGCTCCACTCACCCAGAATATGAGTAATAATGCTACAGCACTACCAATGGAAACTGATCCTTTCACAAAAGTCCCTAGATTCAATACGATTACGTCCACAGGAAAAACTAGCTTGTAGTGCTATTTTATTTTACTCAGTTGGTGCTAATAATGTTTATTAGATTAACAGAAGCAAGTGTTTCCTAGCTGTTTTTCAGTTTATTAAAAAGTATTTAGCAAACAATGAACATTACCACTGAGGCCGAACTAATTCATCCCTCTGTAGACTACGCCCTAACCCCTCAAAGCCATCTAGACAGCGCTGAAGTATCAAGACGTAGAAGGTAAAAAAATCAAAACATAACCTCACTCCGTACAAATCTTTTTGTTTTTTTCAGCTCGAATAGGTCTATCAAACGGAAAAAGTTCGATGATGAACTTGTGGAGTATAGTCTAGGTATGCCCGGTGTCTCCAATATCAAGGTAAGTGCACTGACGAAAAAAAAAATGATAAGGTAAAGTCATAATGTTCTAGGCTCCAAGAGGTAGAATACAGTCTGCACACAGCGAATATACAGTACCATCACCTGCTACGCCTCCAGTTGTTCCCCCAGCACCAGTTGTACAACCCCACCTGGATCCAAGAAGGAAACACATTTCGAAGAGCTTGCCTGGCTCTTCGAAACGTAACAAAAAAGGCAGGCAAGCAAGTCAATTCACCACCAAAGACCTGGGAAGATGGAAACCTATAGATGATTTGGCTTTGATCATTGGTGTCCAACAAACAAATGATCTACGCACAGTTCACTTAGGTACAAAGTTCTCATGCAAGTTCACAGTACAAGAGTTGCAACAGAGATGGTATGCATTGCTGTATGACCAGGCAGTTTCAAGAGTTGCTGTTACTGCCATCAGGAATCTACATCCTGACATGATAGCTGCAGTGCAAGATAAGGCATTGTGGAGTCTGCAGGAAGAGGAGATTTTAGGGACAATAAAATCAGTAAGGGTTCTTTATTTTACCTTTTTTCTCATCATTTTATACGAGGCTTAATATTTTTTTAATACCATTCTGTTTGAACATTATCAAGTTAAAAACAATATGTATTGATGCCATGTGAAATAAGGATATGTGATAATGTTACCTTGCAAAGTAATCTGAAACAAAGCTCCTACTCACTCTGACAAACATGAAGTGGGTTGATTTTTGCATTCACTTTCTGCAAATACTCTAATAAGTTTAGTATAAATGATCACACTCAAATGTAGATTGCATGTGCAGGTTAGGTGGGATATACTGGTGTTTCAATGTGACCTGTCAAAACTGCATTAAAAAAATATATATAAGAACATATAAAAGCTTAGCTTAGCCAAATAAAATTTTCAAGACACACATAATAGATGTGGTTTCTTGTGATGTGTGTGTCTTAAACAACTCAAAAGGCACCCCCTATAATCTGCAAAGTAAGTAAAGAGTGTGTAACCATACTACCATGTGCTAACGCTGCGGGCACACACACGCTTAAGATGATGGTCATTGGGCAATCTAATAAATCACGGGCATTCAGAAACATCGATTTACCTGTACACCTGTATAGTGGTTTGATGGATGCTTCGTACCTGAAGTTAGAAAATGGTTAAAAGATCATAATTTTCCTCAAAAAGCGTTGTTGCTTCTTGATAACGCTCCCGGTCATCCGTCTGACGAAGAACTAACAACTGAGGATGAATGCATCACTGCGATGTTTCTTCCGCCAAATTGCCCTGCACTGATTCAACCAATGGACCAGAATATCATTCAGTTTGTCAAGCAACACTATAAGAAAAACCTGCTTCTGAGAGCCGTATCAAAAGACCAACCAATAGAAAAAACTTTAAAAGAATTTAATATGAAAGACTTGGTTTTTGCTCTTCGTCAGTCGTGGAATGCATTACTGTCATCAACTATTAAATCGTCTTGGAAAAAGTTATGCCAGATATAGTCACCACTCCTAGCAACGTTCCACAAATCAGTGTTACTTCGGAAGTTATAGAACAAGTCGCTACTGAAACACAGATAAGTCCGGAAGATTTTTGGAAATCTGGTGCCATGGAATGGATCAAGAGAAAAATGTTTTTCATGAAATGACTGAGGAAGAGATTATAAAAGAGGTTCTAATTATACAACAAACAATCAGGAAAATAACGACGTGATTGCAACTGCTCCATAAGTCACAGCACAAGACGCAATGAAAGCTTTTGAGCTAGGTTTACAATGGGCTGAAGAGTACATCCTACAACGAACTTTTACTTTTGAGAAGACTGAGGGACAAAGCTCTGATCTCGCGTTATAACAACCTTAATCAAAAAAAATTGATGAATATTTCCAAGCTTTATAATTTGATAAATTCATTAATGATTTTGATTAATAATTCTTGATTACTTTGGTACATATGTATGTGCATTTATGCTTAATTTTATAATAAAACGTAAGCTCTCTATTGTTATTTAATTTACTAAATTCAACATATATAAACTATGTATGATTTGTACTTCAAAGTACATACATATACATAACATATATAATCTTACCATTGGATATTGTAAAAAATTCCGGACTATAGGGGGTCTTGGGCAGTGCTCTATAATTCGACTAATTCGATAGTCCGACAATGCCCTGCATAATGTTTGTCGTATTACCGGAGGTCCACTGTATTCCAAATTGTACAATAATGTTACAGAAATTGTAGAGCCACTACAAAATAAAATGTGTCAATAATACCTTAATATAGCAGCTCACCTCTGACCTTTTTTTTCTTGTATAATGGGTATGTATCTTAAAACAGCTACAACATGTAATTATTACAGCTCACATAGAACTCATCTATGCTATAAGGCTCTGAATGTATTAGAAATTGCTTTATGGTTTTTTTGGATTTATGTTTTTAATCCCATTTGGTAGATTATTAAAACATTTTAAACACATGCTTTTTTCTGAAATAGATTATGTATTCGGTAATTAACATTGACTGTTCGAATATCATAAGCAGGTTACACCTCTTGCTCAAATAAATTTGTATTTTTGAAAGAAATTATGACACTGATATACACATATGGCATATGTAGTCATGATTTCTGCAGTTTTAAATACTGCCGTGCAGGTTTCATTGAAATTTAGTTGCTTTACCAGATGGACAGCTCTTTTTTGAACAACAAAATTTTTTTTGAATAAACCCATTGTGCCCTCAAAATATAATCCCATACTTTAAAATGCTTTTAAAATTAGCATAATACAATATTTTTATATTTCAGTTGGCCCACTTCAAGATTTGTACCAAAATATGCCTTTATAAACTAAAAATGACGGAACTATTTACTTCTAAAATAATTTATTTTGTCAAAAACATTTTAGATACACTCTGGTCGAAAAAATACATATTTGAAATCACTTAGACCTATAACTAATAGAACATCTGAACAAATAAACAATGTGCGAATAAATGCGCGAAGTTAACAAAGCACCAATTGAAAGATTACCATTGGGTAACATCGCCTTTATTTTTTATTATGGCTGAAATTCTTTCTTAACCAACTTTTGGCAAAAATTTGGTGTCCCACATTTTTGAAGCTTTTGTCTCAGTTCGGTGATTGTACGAGCAGGATGTTGTCGTAGAACCTTTTTCATCTCGTGCCACAAAGTTCCAATAGGTGACAGATCTGGACTGCTAGAAGCCCATTTCAAAAGTGGTACATTATTTTCTTCCATCCATTTTATAGCCTTTTTTGAGGTATGGCACCCTGCACCATCTTGCTGAAACACAAAATCTTGGCGGGATGTCAAACATTCTTCCATCACTGGTAAAAGCGATTCTTCTAAAATTGCCAAATATTTGTTTGCATACACATTTCCATCAATAAAATGAAGTTTTCCTACTCCTTTTGATGACATACTGCCCCAGACCATAATGGATGCTGGAAATTTTCTCTTCAGACAGTCAACATGGAATGCTTCATTTTTTTGCGAATAACTCTGCGACTGTCACCAACACAAACTTCGAATCTGGCCTCATCACTCCATTGTATTGCACACCATTGTTGACGTGTCCATTGTCTATGTTCTTTAGCCCATCTAAGCCGATTTTTCTTTTGCAGTGGAGTTAATAGTGGCTTTTCTTTGGCCTATAAACAAGTTGTGCAACTTTAGGGTTTTTGCTTCACTTTTTTTATAAGAAAACTTACCTTGCAAGTGCTAAATCCCAGTTTGTGGGCCTCTCTATGAGTTGTGGACCTCGAAACTCTCCTTCCAACAGCGTCACTCCACAGAGCACTTAATTGTAAATCATTGGCACGCCTGTTTTTCACGATTATTCTTCTTAATGCTCTTCGGTCGGCATTTGTGATATTACTTTTTTTCACATATCGTGGCTTAATATTAACTGAACCAGTTACGTTATATCTTCTAACAATATTTCTCACACTGTACCGCGATAAGTCTAACAAAGTTGCAATTTCTGAGTTTGATTTCCCAGAATTGAAAAATGTAATTATCAGTGACCGAATTTTCTCACTAATAACCTTGCCTCTACCCATTTTGAAAACCTTAACTACCCAAAACTATTTTAAACGTATTCTGACAGCTGTGATTAATAAAAATAATTGTCATGGCTTCTATTTTTCACAGCCACATATGCGTTATAGACTTATTTTGCATTGAAATGAAAATAGGTTGATATGCTGTAATTGCAACATGTGTTATTTTTATGCTGCAAATTTGATTAGGGAGTGATAAAGTTTGTGTTTTCTACTGTATATTATCAAAATATTCATTGTTAATATTTTAAACCTAAAACACGCTGCTACATTTTTATTATTTTTGTTTGATAAGAAAAAAACTAAGATTTCAATAGTTGGGCCAATTGAAGTGGGAAGGGGCTCGTAGATGCCTAAGAACTTTACACTTAGGCATCGAAGAGAAAAACTACAATTTAGGATAATCTATGTCGATACATTGTGATTTTGCACCTTCACTCTGTTTAGATCTAAATAATGTTTTGGATTTATTCAACAACAGTTTGTTCTCAGAATTAGTAGTTAGGTCCTCTACACCTGACCAGAGCAGATAATTTTATGGTTGCTCTCATTACCACAAGTAACAAAAAGAGATCGTTTAAAAAAACGAAATTCCTTCGCATACGGGGATCAAAGTAAAAACATGAGGCTTGAAACTTGAAAGTATATATCGCCAAGGTCAACCTGCAATATTTACTTTTTTTTATTTTTATCTCTAGAATGCAAATCCAGCTCCAACTTTGGAATCTTTCGCCGAGTTGCTGTCTCAGCACGCTGACGTCTTCTACACAGGTCGTACTGCCGCTTCGTTGATGCGCCACTGGCAGACTCTCAGACAGTACCACTTGTTGTCAGATCAAGCACCACCAGCTTCGACAGTAGCAGCGGGTCTTGGTAAGGCCGTTTTGACCTTCAATGATGCTGAAGAAACTGTGCATGATTCTGAGTTGAGTGAACCACCCGATGAACAGTTGGAAAGGGAGTTGAAGGTAAGCTGTAGTTAAATCAATAATTGGCAATTGTAAAAATCATGTTTTTGGTCCTTTTAAAAATGTCGCAATATTTATTAACCCCGAAAGCAGAAACTGTAAACGTATAGTGTTTTTTTCAGTATAAAAGTTATGACAAATCTTCGTTAAAATGTTACCTCTTAGTTTTTGTGTAGAAAGCAGCTTCTGAGAGCTGAGTAGTACAGAAATGTTTAGTTATTGCCGTTACATTTACTAGTGTTAACCGTCCACGGTTAGCGCTTCGTCTGACTGCGGACCACTGTCGTCAACGTTTGAACTGGAGCAAATAACAGCAACATTGGGAAGCAGAATGGCATTATGTCATCTTCAGCGACGAATCGCGATTCTGTTTAGGAACGCACGATGGTCGTAGAAGGGTAAGACGCCGCCGTGGAGAACGGCGTGATATTTTTCAGCAAGACAATGCACGTCTTCATATTGCTCGTCGTACTACGGACTTTATTCAAGAAGCAAGCGTTAATATTTTGTTCACCGGATTAAATCCCATCGAATATGTCGCCCAACACATTAATTGATTTTTTTTCTTATTACTTGTCAACAAAATTCCGTGAGAATGTTATCGTTTCATTCTTGATGTAAGACTACCTCATTGCCAAAAAAACAAGTTGAAGAATTTTTTTTTTGGGTGTAACACTTCTAATGTTACTGAGTATATATGCAATGTGGTTTGTTCTAGATCACTATTTGTTGAATAGTTTGAATGCAGAGGACTTATTATAATGGGTTGTCCAATAGGGACGCAGAAAGGTAAACGTCAATTTGACATAGACGCCATCTTTGTTTTCTGTCACCGACATGTCATTTTGTTAGTTGAATGTTTACCATTGATCGCTATGGAGTCGTATTCGATTGAAGACCGCATTAAAGTTATTCAAGAGCACTACAAAAATGGTGCAAAAATAAAAAACACGTTTCGCGCGCTTCGTGAACATTTTGGTCGCAACAACCGCCCAAACGAAACAACCATCGGTCGTCTGGTGCGTAAATTCGAGGCAACAGGTTCTGTGGCAAATCTGCCAGGCTCTGGCCGGCCAAGGAGCGTTCGCACACCGGAAAATATTGCTGTTGTGAAGGAGAGTGTGAGAGACGATCCGAAACAATCAACAACGCGTCGATCCCAAGAATTGGGCATTTCGAGAACCAGTTTGCTCCGCATTCTCCACAAGGATTTAAATGTACACGCCTACAAGATCCAATTGACGCAAGAGCTGCGTCGGGCCGACCATTTTTCGCGCCGAACGTTCTCAGATTGGCTCCTTGAACACCGCCAAATTGATGCCAGTTTTTCATCAAAAATCATGTTCAGCGACGAAGCGCATTTCACTTTGAATGGGACGGTAAACAAGCAAAACTGCCGCATCTGGGCGAACGAAAATCCCCGTGAGTATTAAGAGCAGCCGATGCATCCTCAACAAGTGACTGTGTGGTGTGCATTGTGGTCAAAAGGCATCATCGGATCTTACTTTTTCGAAAATGCGGCCGGGGACGCCGTTACCGTCAATTCTGAGCGATATCACGTGATGATAGAGGACTATTTTTTTGCCGCAACTTGAAGGAATGGATATGGACGAAGTTTATTTCCAACAAGACGGTGCAACATGCCACACAACCAACGTCAATATCCATCGATTGCAGTCCTTCTTCGGTGATCGCATGATTTCGCGAAGAGGAAATGTGCCATGGCCACCAAGATCGTGCGATTTGACTCCCTTGGACTTCTTTTTATGGGGATATTTGAAAAGCAAAGTCTACGTCAACAAACCAGCCACCCTCCAAGAACTCAAAAACAACATCATTGCCGAGATAAATGCCATAGAACCGACCATGTTGCAACATGTCATTGAAAATTTCGACCATCGCGTGGACGTCTGTAAATCCAGTCGTGGTGAACATTTGAGCGATATTATTTTTCATACATAAATGGTATAAATGAACCTTCAAAATAAAGTACCCAACTTGATTTGAATATCAATCTTTCTTGTTTTAATATGCGTTTACTTTCCTGCGTCCGTTTTGGACAACCCCATATTAACACGGGTATTATGGTCTTTAGTGTTGAGTTTGAGTCCACTCAGCTGTTGTACCTTTTCAACCAATTCAAGAGACGATTCTTTCGTTGAGGTCAAAACAAAAGTTTTTCCTACAAAGCATTGTTGTGTATAATTTCAATGATTATAGCCATTTCGATTCTTTTCTTTTGAATTCTAGCTCCAACAGCGCCGCAACATCAAAGAAATCCGCCAACTGGAGAACGAAGTGGGTCGTTGGAACGTGCTGGTCGACAGTGTGACGGGCGTTTGTCCTGGAGAGCTGGACGGACAAACGTTGGCCGTGCTCAGGGGCAGAATGGTGCGGTACCTGATGCGAAGCAGGGAGATCTCCATCGGCAGGCAAGGCAAGGGGCACCAGGTGGATATCGATTTGAGTCTCGAAGGGCCCGCGCATAAGGTGTCTCGCCGACAAGGAACACTCAGGTAAGGTTTTATAATTCAATAATAGTTGATGTTTAGTTTGTTTGATGTTTTGGGATTCAATACACGATTTAGTTCACAAGTTTTGTATTTTTCACAGAGCTCGTACATCGGCGGCGACGGTTAAATATGAAAATGTATCTGATGTATCACAATGTTGCCAAGTAAAAAATTTACAAAGTAAAACAAGTCGTCCACAATAGTTATGTTCTGTAATAAAATACTGCCAGCCTTTTAATAACTGTTACGGGGTTGTTTACTTATATAAGCTTTTATTCTAGCAGAGGCATCTCTAGAGCTTAGTACAAATTGAAATTTCGCACGAATGTCGTTTTTAGTTGTTTCGCAACCAATAATTTTTCAACACTGAAGGAAAGGGGGATGGAGGCAAACTCCAGCCATATTTTCCCTTTTTTTCTAGATTTATTATTTATTTTAGAAGCTAATTACCTAGTTTTTAATCTTTATGATGTCTTTTCATTTTTTTTACACCAATGCAGCCGCGCAGGCAGAAGCCTAAATGCCAGGCACCGCGGCTTGTATGAGGATCCTAACGAAACTTTGTTCATCCGATTTTTGAACTGCCTAAGGTTAGTAGAACTGGGAAAAGCCTCCTTTTGTAGATTGTTCTGCAATCTCGACATCCTAGGGACAAAGGGGCTGTCGTATCGGCCAGTTCTGGATGTACGAAGTTTGACACGGCTGGGATAGGAGGCGGAAGTCTGAGTAAAGCATGTTGCTGTAGCGGTCCCACGACTGTATATTAGAGAAGAGTCATCAATCAGTCGAACACGCCTTCTCTGGACAGCATCGAGCATGGATAATGTAGTCGGGGCGGCAGCACCCCAAACGTGTCAGCAATACTCGAAGCTGGGTCTTATGTGAGCCTATAAGTGAGGTCATGCGGAGAAAAGTACTTAGTCCTAGCCTAGCTTTTTCCCAGCAGATGCCGCTATTAACGATATATGTTCGTGCCAGATCAAGTCCTCAGTGATCTGGACTCCGACCAGTCGAAATAGACGGCTCATTAAAGGCCGTCTTACAGGATACAAGATTTTGTTCATAATTTGGTACGAAATCATGCGCAGTCGGTAGAATGAAAAATTATAACGATGAACTTATACATATACGTATATTATATGCGACTGCGGGACCAGCGATCTGCTTTAGATGCTCACCCCATGAAAAAACGAAGTAAAGGAAATTTTGCGTTTCGGTTTTTATAGTCCATGCTTTTTACAACATATAAGCAATCATATTTCTCATACTCGTTTAGTAGTATGTCACATTGCTATTTTGACCATGATATCAGTTGAGTTTTTCAATCTACAAGTAGAACAGCATACAGCATAAGCAGGGGAGTTTCACGAAACTGATGAACACATCTGAACCCAACAACTGATGAAACTGCTCACTTGCCACGTGTTTATAACGTATCTATATCCCATTTTCGCTCCGTCAAAACAGTGCCGCTTATATTCGGTTGTCGCTGCCACGCCCAGGCATTTATCGCCCGCTGTCCTATAGGAGCGCAAATTTTGACGTCGCGCTTTTGTGTTTGTTCGGGATTTTAGAACATTATAGTAAATACCACGTTTTGCGACCACTAATAAATGCTCACTCATTCCTGTTAGGTCTCTCGACCCCACAAAGAATTTGAACATTGGCATATTTTGCACTTTTTCGAATATTGTACTGCTTGTATCTTGAAAACTATCAATTTTTGAGAAAAGTTTGTTTAAAACGTGTTAAATGTCTAAAAAACACTTTGACCAAAACGAAAAAGCAACCTGCAGATTCTTTAGAAGGGTCCTTTTTTGTATAAGATTGTACGAAAAATCCGAATCAGTATTATGTCATCATATTCGAAAATACTACCTGTGTAGTTGTGATAATAGATCTAAGAACTTTCTGGGCTCAGTAGTAGCGACGAAAAACTTCTGTTCCACAATGACGCCCCCATAAGAACAAAACATAAATTACTATAACACATTCAAAAACTAGCAAGTTTAAAAAGCATTTATATACGCATACAATTTTCAACAGAATACAGAACTTTATCAACAAAATACCCTTTCAAATTCACCATAAAGACACTTAACCTTTTAGTCCTTTTAAGATTATCCAATAATCTATTAACGACCCACGATTCGAGGAGACTGGCAGCAAAGTCTGTATTTTATAAAAGGTACATGTACAGTAGCGCATAAAAGTTTGGAAACAAATATTAACATTATTATGAATTATTTCATATACTTAAAGTTGTGAAGGAACAGATAACATAATTATTGAAGTCTACCTTTGCCCCCCCCCCCCTACTAATAAAGGTATGTCTTATCAATATTCAAATTCTCTAAAAATAAAAACACGCGTTCTTTTTTTTAAATACCACAGTTTGTGTAACGACGAAAGTATTGAAACATTTCAATTTTGCCGTATTTATTCGCTTAAAAATGAACAAAGGGATGATTTCGCAAATTATTAGCAAATATCAAGAATACGGATCAACGTTTTTGGATCACTACATTAAACGTTTGCCCCATGAAGATCCTCGAATGCCAGCCACACAGATTTTCAAAAGAATCGTAGAAGAGGGTGCCGAAAACATTTCTGCCAGAACAGTGCAGAGACGCTTGGTGGATTTTAGGCTTTTTGGTAGGGGTCCAGTGCAAAAGCCTCTCTTAAAAAAATCGTATTGCTCGGCTTGAATTTGCTGAAACTCATCTAACTTGGACAGAACAACAATGTAATACAGTTGTATGGAGCGATAAAAGCAAATTTAACTTGTGTGGATCTGACGGCATATGTGAGACGTCCAATACGAAAAAGATTCGACAAAACGTATCAGTTACCAACAGTTAAGCACGCTGGAGGCAACATCATGGTTTGGGGCTGTTTTCCTATTTCTGGAATGGGTCCAATTGTTGGGAAAATGGATCAACAACTTCACAGAGATGACCTTAGTGAGCACATGCTCAATTTTGCTGAAGAAGAAATGCCTTTACGATGGACATTCCAGCGAGGTAATGACCCCAAGCATACCTCAAAAATTCGTAATGGACTGGTTAAGACTAAAACATGTTAATATTCTTACATGGCCTTCACAATCCGCTGACCTTAACCATATAGAACATATCTGGTAGCATGTTAAAAGACAACTGACAAGAAAAACTTTTAAAAATAGGAACGATTTATTTGATTATGTAAAAAATATTTGGCAATATCCCAACAGACAGTCTTCCATGAGCAGCAGATGTCAGGCAGTGTTGAATGCTAAAGGCTATGCTACCAAATATTAGCTAACAGTATGTTTTAAATCTGTAGAGTTATTGTATTTAATTTTGTAATAAAAAATATGTTTCCATACTTTTGTCATCTCATTTTTGGTCATAAAATAACATAAAGGTATTTTAATGCTAGTCTGTATTACCACAGCAAACACAAATTGTCATTTTTATCATCAAGACTCTAAGCAAACTATATGAGAAAAAAATAGTATTTAATAATAAAAACTTATAAAAATTACTAAGAATGGTTCCAAACTTTTGTCCGCTACTGTGTTAAGTTGCTGTCGTATTGATACCATGTAGTCTTTATTTAGATTACATACTTCTTTTTTGAGAAAAGAGCAGATTGCCATTTTGTAAAGAACAGTCCTTTTCTCTCATTTAGCCGCGCCGAAAAAATCCAGTTAATTATATTCCCGATATTGGAATATATACAAGCCCACTATTGGTTCACTTTTATGGATTTTATGTCGTTTTCAGATTGAGGAATACTGGCGAGTTCTACTTGTCATCAGAAGGAAAACGTCCCATTTTCGTGGATGGGCGCCCCATCGCTGCTGGCAATAAAGTGCGCCTGTACGATAATGCAGTGGTTGAAATTGCTTGCCTCCGATTCATTTTCATTATAAACCACGACCTTATAAGGGCTATTCATAATGAGTCAGTAAGGTATAATTTGCCACCATAAGGTTGAATGATTCGTGTTTATATTTGCAGAACAGTTGTGATTGTATGTTCATTTAACTTTTACTGTGAGAAAATGATTTCCTATTTTTTTAGTTCAACACAATATATGTTTCAGTGCGCTGTATTGTCATTAATAAATTATTTAACAAAACCATGTGTATTAAGTCTGTTTTGCCAGTGATTTTGCTGAGACAAGTACAATGTTGGGAATATAAACCTATTCAGATTTTGGCTACTTAGCCAGTGTTTGATTTGATAATGCATGGGAGGGGGAAGATTTTTACCACCAAGTGAGCAACATTAAGAGACTGTTGCGATTGATGCTTAACCTGTATTTTCAGTACTTGGTAATGTAGCTACTTTATGGAAAAAAAAAACATAATTCCAAAATATATATTCAACAATTTCATATATGAGTATAAATAAATCAACATATTACGAAATTAAGCTAGGGTTTAACAAACCCAGCTTCTACAAGTACTTGTCTTGCAGCATTGTTTATGTGTCTAAATCTGTCGGGTCCTAGATGTATACCTCCATACCTACAAAAGATCTATTTTGTGGATATTTCCATAACTTTAAATCAAGATATATATACCATCTACTGACTACAACCATAACATTTTCAAGTTTCATATTTTGTAGCATCTCCAGTAGTCTGCCTGAGGCTTTCGTCTCACCATCATCATTGCAATCCTACAATCATTAGAAATGTGCAATGTCCCTATATTTGGTAAATTCAAATTGGTTGAATTTTCATCAGTTGACTGAGTATGCCTTCACAACCCTCTGACTTTTTTATTTCTGTGCTATATAAGTTCTCTTGGAGTTGTTACATTTGGATGGCTAAATCATAATTAAAAATATTCTCAGGGTTGTCTTGCCTAGACTTATCAAGCCAGGTCCCTTGGCATATATTGCTTGTTACCTTAGGGCATACATAGATAATTTGTCTGCGTTATAAAATACTATCATTTTCCATTTAAAATGTTGATCCCTTTAGGATGTTTTAAAAAACGTCTGTAGGTTAAAACTAAAGGCTCTCCTCAACCTGAATTACCTGTATCATCCCATTTGGTATAGATATCCTGAAGGCAGTAATATTATGTGTAGCATTTGCAATTTTTTTGTTCTCTAATAGTGTATTCATAAATAACCTGCAATACCACATTATTGAAAAAAAGTATTCCAAGCAAGATCAACATCTATTACCTAACATCTTCTTTACTTTTAACAACACATGTATGCCCTTGAAAAACACTTTTTCTATCTGTAATTATTGGTCCATGTGTTATCATCAAATGATTTACAGATAGTGAGAAAACTTCAGATTTCTTTTCAACAGGTTCAATGCCTTCAGATTTATTTTTTGAGTTATGTTTTGCATCTTCTTTATTCCTAACTGCCTCTTCTACTATCATTATCATCTGGTATATGAGTGGCTCTCCACCATGGGATCTACAACAAAACTGAATATTATTTATTGAAACCAAAATAGTTTATATTTCTTACTCAAATAAATTTTGAAACTCATCTTCAATATGCTGTCTTTCATCTGCAATTAATTCAGGAGCCAATAATTCATAGTTGGGAAGCGAATTTGAAGGATATTCAGGCACTAATGTTATGTACAGTTTTACTTGTTTCGTTATGTCAATACTGCATAAACCAGTTGTACTATCAACTTGCCACCTATCTTCAAATATAGATTTCAGTGCTTCCATTTCTTCTGCTTGTTGGGCTATATTGTCTGTCATGACTTTAGTTTTATATAATGTTTTCCCCCTAAAAAACTAATGAAAAATCCTGATATGTCTGATATTCCGCGTTGTACTGATGTCCTGTCTAACCAGTACGTGGTTGTGCATGGTTTAAATAGATAAAAACTATGAAATTTGTTCTCAACCAATTATCAAGTACGTATATTTCTTATGGAAAATTTTGATTATTCAAAATAACTCATAAAACGTATACACTGACACATAACCTCTATCTTTTTAACACTGACAGGCGATTATCTAGTAATATCTCAAAATCCCCCATATGGGCACAGGACACACAATTCTGACGAATCCGTCATCGCCAGGTAGTCAGAACCGTGTTTTGTTTTGTTTGTTTGTAGGCTACAGATTGATTTTGTACTTGCTAAGCGCCCTTTTATTTAGTAAAGTTCATTTGCATACAAAAAGCAAAACGCCACAAACAAGTTTTAGTAGATTTATACCCGATTAATTATTGCCAACGTTTCAGAATTAACACAAATAGGGAATTTTGAAATAACACTAGATAATTAGCTGTCATTTTACCGTAATTGTGATACTTGTGAAAAAGACCGTACATCGAATCTCAAAAAATGTCTGTGTACATCCACATATTTTCATCGAATTCTGCACAGTTCCACTGATCTGTAGAACTGCCCATCACCAACCATTTTGACAGATGCAATTGATGTCACCAACCGTTAACGTCAATGCGCCGGGTAATGTGTTTATGTATATGTATTTTTATTTTCATTTTGTGATCAAAAAGGGGGTCAAAAACTGAACAATTTATTGATCTGTTTACCTAGATACAACAAATTGCTGATTATACTAATATTAAAATGGTGTTTAAATGTCAGCAGGATTCATTCATGAAAGAGGTAATACTTCACGTATATTAAATAGTTTACCATATTATCCTAGGTCATTGCAGTTTCAGTCAAAGGTTTTGGTTTGTAAGAAAGTATCTGACCCTGAAGATATAAAAAATGAATCTGGTGACAAATATGAGGTTATATTAGAAGATACAATTCTGTTTCCAGAAGGTGGAGGACAGGTAATCTTCATATAGCTGCAAATGGGACACCATACAAGCATCTCATCTCCATTTTTTCAGCCATGTGATTTTGGATTTCTTAATGATATCCCTGTAAAACAAGTCGTGCGTAGAGCAGACAAAGCTGTGCATTATGTTGACAAACCATTAAATGTTGGAGACACTGTTAAACAATCTATAAATTGGGATAGAAGATTCGACCACATGCAACAACACTCTGGTCAGCATTTGATAACTGCTATTATTGACAGGGAATTTAAAATTCAAACAGTATCATGGTATCTGGGTGAAGAGGTCTCTTATATTGAAATAGAAACACCTTCATTCACTAGAGAGCAGATTCAGAAAGTTGAGGATATTTGTAATGAATTGATAAGGTCAAGGAAAAGTGTATCTGTTAGTGTCTATTCCAGTGAGTCTGAAAAAGACCTTGAAAAGGTATACAATTATCAAAATACTATATACAGGGTGACTTTGAAGTTGAGTCATTAATTTTCAGATAATGATTGTAGAAGGAAGATAAACCAAAATATGTGTGTAAAAATACCTTGTTTTATAAAGTATCCTCCCGACAAGTATTTCAGTGCGGACCTGTATTTGATCGTGAGGTCTTGGAGCACCTGCATGCAGTCCCCTGTGAGGTCTTAAGTCACCTGATTCACGAGCCCGTTGTACTACATTAACAGAGGCACGAGGGGTTGGTTGCACTCGATTGGGAAACTGATCCGCATAAATATGTGCCATTTTTTATTTCGTTTGAGCCACGCAGGAAACACCACTATTCACTCACGCGTTACCGACTGACACAGACTGAATTAAAAACATCGTGATCAGCGTTTCAAATTCTTTCGCTTTTTTGTTTCCGATGCGATGAACCGATAAGGCGGAGTATATCTGTTGTCGCCAAACACGAGCACATAATATTATTATTGAGACAGGGCGGTACTCAAACTTCTAAAGGGCTATAACTTTGTTACTTTAATTTTACCACAAAAATGTTAAAGGAAAAAACATTTCTTTTGATCAGATCTACTCACTGTTAAAATAAATGACTCAACTTCGAAGTCACCCTGTATATAGCTTAATAGCTGTTAAATTGAATACTGAAGTTACAACAACCTTATTTAGGTTCCAAAAGGAACTATCCCAGGGCCACTTGGATTCCACTCGACTGGGTTTTTATGATTTCAAGCAGCTGATAATATAGGGCATCATTCCCTCCAAAAACCTGAATGATGCTTTGTTGTTTTATTTTACAATAATGACTGTATAATATTGCTAGTTGCTATGCCATTTTAGGCAAGAAGTGCTCGTGGCTTACCTGAAGACCATGTTGGTGATATCAGAGTAATAAACATTGAAGATGTTGACAGTAATATGTGCTGTGGAACACATGTATCTAATCTAAGTCAATTGCAAGTGATAAAATTACTTCATACTGAAAAAAGTAAAAGAAAGGGCAATACATTACTGTACTTCTTAGTAGGAAATAGAGTTCTAAAGAGGTTAACAACTTGTATTAAGAATGAACAGCTGTTAACATCTTTGGTCAAGTGAGTATTTCCTGAAATGGCATGTCTTTAAACAAGTACCACTGTGAATCTCTGTAGGTGCAATCCATCGGAGCATGCTGAGATGGTTGAGAAGCTTCAGAAAAATGCAAAAAATCTTAATAAAAGTCTTCAGACTGTACTTAAAGAGTTAGCAGCATGTGAAGCAGATAAGTTGAAAAAAATTGTACCCCTACCAAAATACTATTTTTTGCATAAGAAGGAAGCAGATCCAGATTTTATGAATACATTTATAAGGGAACTGGGCTTAAATGATATACTTGTGTTTCTTTCTGTTGGAGATGAAAAAACTACTGGAAATATTGTTTTGTATGGGCCAGAACAAGCTGTTGGAGATCTTGGTGATAAGTAAGTCAGAAGTTTTTTTTGTAAATGACATTAAAACCATCATAGTTGTTTATCAAACTTAAAAATTATTTTCAGAATTGCTGATATACTAGAAGGAAAAGGTTCTGGGAAAGGGAATAAATACCAAGCCAAGGTTAATAAAATGGTAAATCACAAAAAAGCTGAACAGCTTATTGTAAACTATTTCAAATAGATTCTAGGTATGTTTTGAATTGAAGGTTTAAAACTGTGACCAATAAAAACTGCCATAGCATTTAACATTGTCTTATTCTATTTCTCATTATCTGTCAGAGCAGTCCATAGGACCTTGTTTCTTGGTTATCTTGAGTCAGTAGGTCTGGTCTGGCCCAGATACAAAAGTCAGGGAGAAACAAGGGAAGAAGAGAAAATGGAAGCAAGGAGGAGAGCAAAGAGGAGGAAGTGCGGCAGTTTGAGGGGGGCCTTGGCATTGTTAAGTAGTATTCAGGAATTTTATAGTGATCCTAGAGAAAAATTGTAATTTTGGTTGGACCGCGACAAAGGGTTGCTATGAGATTCTGCTTGACTATAACATAGTTGCGCTTGTTTGATATAGATTTAATAATGTATGAGTCTGAAATTTAATTTGGGTAAAATATTGAACAATTACCATGATCTTTATAAAACATAGAGAAAAATCTAGGATGTAAAATTTGCTAAATTATCCTATTTATAAAGTAGATGGATATATGGTTGATTTGAACATTCAGTATATAAGCTACTGACTTGTCATAATCCTTCATGTAGTTTTATGTAAAAATGGCAGCTTATAATTTGGGTTTTAAAGCACTGATGGTACTACTGATTGTGTAATGTTATATATTATTCTCAATCAACATATAGTAATGTTGAATTTTTAGGATGAGTACTGTAATACTGATCTTCTGCATTGTGATGTACACTGTTACTGTGATATATGTTGAAAAATGAAAACAAGTTTATTGTAATGCATATATTAAGAAAATAAACATTTAGAAAATTTCTATTGGAGGTGGACTACCAAAAACATATTCCCAAGAACTAGGAAAAGATATACTTGATAAATCTGCCTCTTTCCCAATAATATTGAACAGCTTCTTCCACATGGCACAAGCATCAGGTCTGTTATCACCTTCAGAAACAAACTTTGCTAATAATGTTACATTGAATCCCTCACTCAGAATTTCATACAACTTTACAGAAATGCCACCACCATTTACAGAGTACCTTTTATTAATTACATTTTGTTCTAGTTGCTTAACATTATTCCTTGCCATGACTTCAGTTGTGTGCTCGTTGCTCAGACAGAAGAACTTTTCACTCTGAATGTTGCGTAGTTCATAGTCAAACCCACTTGAAAGTATGTAGATATTCTTCAGATTGAATTGCTGTATAGCTTCATTTAGATCCCTTATGAATTTCATTGCGAGTTTGAACTCTACTGATGAGCGAAGTTGTACTACCGCTAAATTTAAGTTTTCGTTGGTGTAAAGTTCACAGGCAGTACAAACTTCTCCATTTAAAGCGGTGTACGGGTCACTTCCAACTGAAGCAATTAGTGCAGGATGCCAGATAGTTGCAGTTTTTTTGAAATTGTATGTTTTAATAAGTAGATCGACAGTTAGCTGGGGTACGTTTCCAACTGATACGCAAGGAAATATCAGAGTATAGTCTTTTAAGTTCTTAGGCTCTTTGAAATTGAACATTTCGCACATTTTGATTTATTGCAATGTCATCTACAGCTTTTAAATTCAAAATATACAAAACATAACCTAGCTAAATATTGAAACATTTGACATTTCGCAAGTTTTGACACAGAACGGCAAATTCTCCTTTATTGTTGACACTTGGGTTCCAACTGGCATATTTGAATAGCAAATATCGAATAGACAGAACCGTAACGATTTTTTTATTGTAAGGATAATTTGCAAGTTCTCAAAAAGTGGACGTCGAAGTTTAAATTATATACGAAATTGTTCAAAGGTAGGACGCAGAGGATTCAGTATTTATTTGATAAATAATAATTTCGAAAAAGGTCATGAAAACAAAAGTTGGACGTAAATATACCTATATTTAAATGCAGTAGAAGTCCATTTAGTAATATCTAAATAACATAACGGTCAAAGATTTTGTAAAAAGTAATCAATATATTTGCAAATATAAAATCAACTAACAAAAGTATGTAATTTTTTCTATAGTAACAATCACAATTTTAAAATCAAAGTTGAGATATTTCATCTCATATTATGTACAATATGAAAATCACTTTAAATGTATATAGGAATTAAACCCTGTTGACAGCAGGATTAACTGGCACCTGTTGGTGAGCCTGATTTGGGTGTTGACCTTGAGGAGGATTCAAGTTCGGCTGTTGATTTGCTTGTTGTTGTTGCGCCTGCGCTGCCTGATTGGGATAAACTGCTTGCTGTGCATTTATCTCATTGGGATTCACGTTGTGCTGAAATGAGAAAAAATTGTATACTACATAAGAAGTATAATTTTTCATTTTTCAGAAAGCCAGTACCAAAACTTTGTCCCAAGAAAGTATTTTTACTTTTTTCTATGGAGGAGAAGTGTCAAATCTTTCCCCTCCAAAGTACCAAATCAAAATTTGGGTAATCATTTCATCCTTTAAAAAAAGAATCAAACTTGTATAGGTGAAAATTACCCATTATTCTCAAGCTGCTGTAGGTGTAGCACTGGAGCAGTGTTGCCATTTACTCCTTATGGTGTTTATTTTGATAAAGAACAAGGTACTTACAATTTGAGAATTTTGTTGCTGCTGCTGTGGTATCTGGTTTTGGGTTTGTGGTGGCATCTGTGGTTGGCCTTGAGGTGGTACCTGCTGATTTCCTTGAGGAGGAGCCTGATGATATCCCTGTTGAGGAACCTGTTGGTACCCTTGTGGAGGAACCTGCTGATATCCTTGTGGAGGAACCTGCTGATATCCTTGAGGTGGTACCTGTTGGTAGCCCTGCAGTGGTGCTTGTTGGTGATATCCTTGTGGAACTTGCTGATATCCTGCTGGAGGTACTTGCTGGAATCCTCCTCCAGCTTGAGGATGAGGTGCTGCACCATGTGGTACTCCATTACCAGGTAGTACTGGGAAACCATCAACTGATGGAAGAACTTGCTGATATCCAGGATGTTGTGGGTAACTAGGTCAAAAAATGATTTGTTTCATTTAGGTAACTTTATAATCTAAGATAAGGTATCTTTTTAAATAGTCTTAGAGCAAAGGATTTTGACTAACTTTTTTGGGTACTAGGACATGTAGAATATATGGAAACAAAATTATAAGTTGCAAAAAGCAGGGAGCCTGAACAGTGGCGGATCCAAGATTTCAAAAAGGGGGTTCCAGAAAATTTTGTTGTCCGCACTTTCTAGGTGCATTTGGCACAGTGCTATTCGTAAATTATAATATCTTGAGATTTAGGTCAAAATCATGAGATACAGCAACATTGCATGTTGATCGCCTTCAGCGCATTCAGTTTCTAAACGTAATACAAGCTATACCCTATTTCACGAGTATCCTTCACGCTTTGACGTCTACTGAGGTGGACAGCTGATCAGCAGGTGACATTTTTGTGTTAGTCTGCGATGTTGGCAATAACATGTCCGGTCTTTTTCAGGAGTATCCATTACGGTAAATGACAGCTAAAAAAAAAACATTTTTTCTGTCCGCTGTAATCAAGCGGGCGCGTACGATTCACACATATTTTTCAAATCCAGTTTTCTATGTTTTAGGTTCATACAAAATCTTATTGTGGCAATATAAGAATAAATTAACCAGATTTTTCCTGTTTCAATTATGTTCAATTCCACATATGAATGAGTATCAAAATGCATTACAAAAATATGGAAGTTTGGATTGCCTGATCCCAAAGGGGTGAGGGGGTCCAGAACTGAAACCCCCCCCGTGGATTCGTCACTGAGCCAGAAATTTGAAACAGACACAGATTAAACAGATTTTATATAAACCAAATCTGAGCGGATAACCAAAATTTCTGTGTTATGTGCCGCGGTTATATAGTCAACATCACGAAAGATGACTGTTACGTCATACCATAAATTGTACTGAAGTAATCAATGGACGTAAGTCGGTGATCACGAGTCAGAAACATAATGACAACAAATTTATATTATGATTTTGCGAAGTTAGGTTATTTCACTGATTATTATTTTTATTTTCATTTTATTTCATGGTTTTGAGTGATACCTTAATAATTTTAGTGGGGAGTATTTGTTTTGAAAAAAACAGTTATGAGTTGAATACCTTAAGACAGGAACACCAAAGACCAAAGTATTACTCGAAAACAACATAACCTGCTTTAACATAACCTAACTATTCATCTTTCAAATATGATCGATCATGCAACATGAAAACATCGTCTATCTTTGTCGGATATATGCAAATTAGGAATACAGTGTGTTTAGACAATAAAATTCTGTTTGTCTCTGTCTAACATATCAGAAACTTTATTAAATATATTCACAATCGCTGTCGTATGTCTTTACTACAGACTAAAATGATGACGTAATCGTCATCTTTCGTGATTTCGACTATACTATGGTTTAAGATGACACACGGGTTGATGACGTCAGTTACTCGAATCGCTTGAACGCGTTGGTTTTAACCGCGGTTTTGTTGCAAGTTGTTTATTTTAGAAAAGCGCGTATATAATTTCTGATTATTTTTATTATCACTCAATAATCGGTTCTTTTTCGTCTACAACAGTGTATGGAATGTTTAAAAAAGCAACCTTTCATAATAAAATAATTTTTAATGATGGAACCATGGCTTTGTACCTAAATCTAATCTTTTCTGCATACCAAAGAAAATATTTATTAATTTAGCAGAAATGATAGGAAAAAGCGATGAAAAAAGATATTAGCAAAACCGTATACAGGTGGACATTATACACTGAGTTTATATGGCCTTATTTTGATATTCTTGTGGTATATAGCTATGCAGGATCTTTGTTAAGCATAGGAACTAGATCTAAAGTGTCTCCAACAACATTAATGAGTATAACTAATAAGGTGCTCTACTTTATGCTGCAACTGAAGTCAGCCTGTATCAAGTTTCCCAAAAATGATGCTGAAGTACGACAAAAATATCCAATACCTGGCAAAATTCTAACATGTCAAATTTCAAATAATAACCAGAAATATAAAACTACTCCTGAGCTGGGTAAATACCACAATTTTGCGGTGATAACTATGACTTATAACAGCTGATTCATGACATCATGGATCTTATAAATACCATTTTCATTTGGTTATTCGATTGAATTTGATTATAGTGTTGCTTACTTGTTATTAGCTTGATGTTGCTTAATATACTCAGCCAGCTCTTCATCAGTATATGGTTTCTGTTCATCAAGAGCCTGCCATCCATGGTCTTGATTGAACTCATTTGTTTTTGTTTGATAAATGAATTCATCAAAATCTATAAAACCATCCCTGTTTCTATCCATATCCTTGTAGACACTTTCTCTCATTCGCTCCATCTCTTCATACCTATATAAAATGAGGATATACAGGATGAGCTAACAGTGTGTTTATGGAGAATAAGGGTATTTTCCAAAATCAAATGCCAATATCCAGACTCTAAAAACTACATTCTGAGTGTTTTTTAAGTTTTTTTCTGCCAATGAGATCAACTCTTTTTTAAGTATGTGACGCTACTTCCGCTATGAAAGTATCATGGATATGAGGAAAATGACCTCCATTTTTTGACATTAGAAATAGAATTTATGGTCACATTCTATAGATTTCCACAATCAAAATTAAATTTTGATGACTGATTCCTTTAGCAAATAATACAGTGGTTATAAATTACCTTTGTCAATGTTCATTTCAAATACATTTTTTGCATGGTACCAACCTATTTCAGTTACAAAAATACAATGTTATCCTTGCTTAATATTCAGGTTAAGATTTTTCAAAAGAAGATTGACATAACATGAATGCAGAATGTGGTTTTAGTTTGAAAAAGCTTCAGGAATGATATAAATGTTACTAACCTTTCCCTCATGTCATCTTCTGGGGCTCCTTCCTGATACATCTTATCTAACTCTTTGATAAACAGTGCTTTAACTTCTTCTTGATCCCATAATCCATTACCATCAATATCATGGAGCAGGAAGAAAGTCTTTGGATCAAAATCTTGCTGCATTTGGTCCTGTGATTCCCAAACTTCCTCGAGCTGAGCCTTGTGTCCAGGCTCATGCAGTCTTTCATGTTTCTTATGTTTCTCTTCCATTTCTTTCATCTGTTTTTCTAATTTCTCCCTTTCCTCACCATTAGTGTGATTTAGTTTTTCCATTTTCTTATATTCCTTTTCTAACTCGTAGTGCTTGAATTCTTCTTTACGCAGTTTATCAGCTTCTGCTAAGTCTTCTGTTGTTTTGGCTATGAGTTTCTTCAAATCTTCAATTTCAAATGTGTGAGGATTGGAGTGATCCAAGTGGTTATGCAGAGGATCTTCATCAACTGAGTTATTAGGATCTTCAAGTTTCTTTTTCTGCTCCACGAGTTGCTTCAACCTTTCCATCTCAACACGTTTTATTTCATCTAAACGTGTCCTTACATGATGAGACACAAATTCAAGTTCCTCTGCTATCTTACCAGATTTAATTTCATGTTCATCTGCTTTTTCCAGTTTTTTCCTGAAGTCTGGATCCGATTCCAAGGCATTTACCACCTCTTTCAAATACCTATGGTATTCCATGTAATCTTCCAGACCTGTAATGTCTGCCTCATCTTCTTTTTTTTGTGTCACAGGTGGTGCAACACAAATTTGTATGATTATTAGGAGTAAAATTGAAGAAAGCAAACCCATCTTGTACATCTTTTTATGGCTTGTCTTTTGTTCAGTCTTCCATTAGCAAAAAAATGTCGCTATTTCGTTTTGTTATCGTTTCTAGAACGCTTATTTTACTTGCTTCTTCGCGGTGAAAGTACAATCTGGAGGTGAACTGATGCGTTCTTGTTTCTATAAAATATGTTGTTTTAGACGGGGGATTCCTTGATAGGACGATGGTATTGGAGAATTTCCTTGTTTTTAGCCAATGGTAAGCTGACAGGTACCCCCGCAATTGTAAACAAAAAAGATTGACATATCCTGAATCTTCACAACACTCGAAAAAGTGACAGTTGGCTACGAGCGCCATCTACCACTACATTCTCGATTAACTGTTTACCGGCTGAGCAATTTACAACTTATCCATTCTTGAAATGATTATCCTAAAATGAACCACGTGTGCTTACGTGTTCTTCCGGTAGATGTCAGAGCATTCTCAATTTTTTATTGTGAAGTTGAATTTCAATATTTGAAGGTTTAGATGTTTGTCACAACTGGTAAGTTTTTGCAAATATAATTTTTAAGTGCTCGTTCAATAATTGCTTAGTTCTCGGTGTAAGTACATATATATTTAAGCCTGTGGGTTTTTCGGTCAGGTACTTTCAATGGAGTTGACTTGTTCGAAGCTCTAGGTCTAGGATATCTCCGAAGCTGTGAATTAATAAAGACATAACTATAAATAATGGACAAAAGCTGTTTCATATTTGATCAAAAAATTCCATGATTTTGAGACACCACTTACAAAAAAATCATGCATAAAATCCTCCATATTTCAAGGTGCTCGGTCATTACCCTAACTGCACGCTAAACCCGTGTCCAGGACCCCGGCTCGATGGGAGACCTAAATGTCCTAAAATCAAATGAACTTCCAAAAGAAGATCTGAGGAGTATCACCCCCTTCTGCTCCATTATTTTCATCAGCGGCAAAGCAGGGCTCCCGATTTCACTATAGCCTGGGGCCCATTTAGCTGCAGGCCTAGAGCTTCCTGTCTGCAGAGGGCCCCTACAAAGCTTAAGATAGCCCTGGGGGCATACGGCATAACAAAAAGGCAATATTGAAGCACGTATACCCAGCTCAAAATGGAAGGGAGGCACCTTCAACAAATTTTTTGATGGAAGTTCCACAAATAATATCTACGTATTTATGCATTTCATTTGTATAGACGTTTGACAATTCTTATGGATATGAAAAACTACTATGATTACTTTTACTAATAGCGTCGTAGTACTTATAGTAATCCTTTAGTCGTTACTGCAAATTTTATATATATATTTTTTTGGGCGTACAGATGCCTCAAAATTAAAACAGGATGCTCATTTCTTCATTCAAATTAATATAGCAGGGAGGTTCTGTAATCGCAAAAAAAACTTCAAATGGAAGCATAACTTCCAGATATAACATAGTAGGTACATTTTTTGTGACGTTCTTCAGGTATTATTATTGATATTACAGACAGAAAAATATTTAACTTTAAAGTAAAATAAAATCTGACAACGCCCTAATGCGAGACGCAAATTACGACGGAACGCAGTGTAAATAAAGATGGAGTTTGGTATTTTTGGCTCTTAGGTATTATTTCATTCTTTGATAATGTACCTACTCGTAAAATGCAAACAATTAAAAAAACGGACTTACCACTAACTGTCTCACCGCTTCTACCTGGTGTGTGAAAGTTTATTGAACGTATTGAAAAATCAACTTATAAATAGGGTACACAATTTTGGTACATACATTGTTTTTCTTTTTAAAACCCACACTACACTTTTTTTGTATTCAAAGAACTTGTTCAAAATGTCGTCCTCCACTTTCCACACAAGCTTCATTACGACGAACCCAGTTTCATCTTACTCTAGGTCCTCGAAGTCGTGCATTTATTATTTCAGCCGTATTAAAAATTTCTTGGCGAAGTGGTGCTTCAGTTGTTATTAGACCAGCCCCATAAACCATCCTTTTAAGTTCTCTCTAATACCAGAAATCCATCGGACTGAGGTCAGGAGATTTTGCTGGCCATTTTCGAGGATCAGGAGCATTTCGACCGATCCAGCGATTTGGATAATGCTCATTCAAATACTGAATGACGCCTCTAAAAATGTGTGCTGGTGCCCCGTCATGAAGAAACCACAAATTCTGTCTCTGTTGTAATGGCATGTTGTCTAAGGTCTGTTCCAAAAGTTCTGGTAGGTTGTTGGCTAGAAAGCTAAGGTACCTTCCTTCCTTCATTTTACCTAGCGGATTATAGTAGCATGAGCTATTTTTCAGAATCAACCAGGGCTAAAAAGAATACAAGTACATACATGCAAATACAAAAAAAATACAAAGAGAATATTCGAATTTTTTGGTTCTATCCGACTACTAAATAAGCGACACTCAAATGACAACAGTTTTTTGTTATGCTACATAAACGATCCTCTGTTGGGACATCCCCACCATCGAATTAGCTTGCAAATCACAACTCGCTCCCAAGGGACGCGGAGGGATGATACTTGGGGGCACTGAAAGTGTCTTTTTCGCAGCGCTGCGGACCAGATGTTGCTCGTTATTAGTTGGAAATCGACTCTAATGCCCCGGGAAATGACTGGTGCGCCACTATCTGTTGTTTGACTATTTACGATGAGGACAATTGGCGAGGGGACGCGAGATTTATGCCACATCAAAGCGGGCGGATGGGCAAAAAAGAAGTAATCGTAGTTGAGTCAATATACATTTTTATTGTGGCTTGCTTGAGTAAGGGTCAAAGAAGTACGTTAATGCAATACTGAGTGATACAAGGAGATGGGTTACATTTATTGCTTTGTTGGTGGTGGATGGATTTTATGAAAATTTGGAATAAACTAGTAAAGAGCAATTTTGTCATAACTGTAGGCAAAGTTTAAGGTGCGGTCAAAACTAGGAGTGACTTATCATTCAGTTGAGGGACCGATTTGGTCACGGGCACGGGTATTACGTATCTTGCAAAGTGACATCTTGTCGTTTTTTTTTACATTTTATAGGTTTCTTGTGACATAACGGAGGTTTTTCTACAAGATGTCAACTTAGCACTAGCTGTTATACCCTTGTTGTGAACTCGTTTTGTAGCTGTACTGAACTGAAGAACAACTTCGCGAAAAAAAATTTAGTACGGTTGAAATAATAAATGGACAACTTCGAGGACCTAGAGTAAGGAGAAACTGGGTTCGTCGTAATGAAGCTTGTGTGGAAAGTGGAGGACGACATTTTGAAAAAAAGTGCAGTGGGGTTTTAAAAAGAATATGTATCAAAATTGTGTTCCCTATTTATAACTGGATTTTTTTAATACGTTCAATAAACTTTCACACACCGATCTTGCTGGTCAACTAACTTGATATAGATATAAGATAAACACTACTTGGCTATGTGCAACCAACAATGCATGCTTAAGCGTGTCGTGTCATTGAGTCATTCCTCCATAGATGGACGCTTTTGATGATCCTCATAGCGATTATAGAGCGCAAACGTGGAATGAACTATTCGCACACTAAGAACTACCTAGTCTGCAAGGTGACATTTTGTCGTTTTTTTTTGACGTTTTTTAGGATTTTTTACATAGTAAACCTGCGGGACTCCCATCCATTTCTGCGAGCAGCTGACTTCAGACTCGTCATTCACGCATATCACCAAAAACTACAAAAATTCTGGGTCTTTAAACTTTGTTTCAAGTTATGAATTCTTGGGATCCTGTCAACATAAAACGTTTATTAAAAATACGACATTCCGGCGCGCTTAAACGCCTCTTCAGGTACATATAAGTTTCTAGAACTAAACAAAAGCGTCAGAAATTACAACACAAAACACGTTAAACAAGAAAAAAAAATTAAAAAATGTAGAATTAATAGACAGAAAGACTTAGTAGTTGGTAAAAATAATGACATTTCTGGCAGATAGATTTTAGTATTTTCAAGATTTTTCCTTAAAAAATGTCAGATCAAGGTGTAGTTTATAGTAAAGTAGAAACGGATTGCAATAGATTTATTTAAAGATGGTTTTTATTATAAAAGTTTGAATATAGACCTGAGAGTTTTTTAGTTTTTTCAAAGATATTTATAGCTGTAAAATATGCTTGTGATATTTGCCTTAGATAGGTAATTTAAAAAAAAAACAACAAGTTTTCAGAAGTTTGATGAGGAATGAGATTGGCGATAATCTGAAATTTTTGGTACAAAACAGGAAAAAATGCTTCATTATGAACACAGAGTATTCAAAATTAAATTATTCTGTTGCTAAAAATATACTGTGCTAAATCCGCGGCTCCGCTCATGTGGAAATAGTTTAGTTTGAAGATTATTCAAAAAATGCAAAATTCAATTTTTCGCCTACGAAACTGGTTTATACAGGGAGATATTTTTTATTTTCAAAAGTTTCTAAAGAACATGGGTCCGGAAATGCAGAGTTTTGAAGATACAGGGTGATACATTTTTTCATCAATATCTTAAAAAAAATATCTACTCGATTTTGTTGAAATTTGGCAATGTTATTTGTTGTATTAGGAGGCTAACTTAGCCCTAAATAGATTAAAATTATTAGGTACAGTGGAGTCCCTGAGGGCACCTTGACAAATATTATTTTGTAACTTGTTCTAAGTTCTGAAGATCGAATCCCCTTGTGACAACTGAATTCCGTTCAAACTATCAGCTTTAAAAAAAAGTTGGTAAAATCTACACCCCTTTTAGCTCCCATTACTACAAATTTCAATTTTTTCTTCGACGGAGTGACGGACAGCGTCATTCTACGTAGTGACAGTCAGAGAATACCTTGATGCGGAATATGCTGGTACCACTTCGTGGCCAGCCCGTTCCCCTGATTTAAATCCACTCGATTTTTTTTACCGGGGAGCGGTGAAAGAAAAAGTTTACTCAAAGCTAAACGAAAATTTAGCTGCGCTACAGGACAAAATAACGGAAGCACCTGAATTTGTTAACAACGGAAGATTCGTCCGTCTGATAACGGGATAATTTTCAAGATGTCAATGTTGCTTTGCATTTTGAACATTTATTGTGAATTTAATAAATACATTCACGAATTAATAAATGTGGGCTTACTATCTGTTGTTTAAATTTGTTGTCGATGGTAACTAAAAGATCATCACAGAGTGTGGATATTTCCGATGTTTTTCTTAAAGCCTATAATTTGAAAAGTACACGGCACTTTCTTATATTTTTCTGATCACTATATATGATATAAATTTTCGTAGTAAACCAACCCTTCCGGCAAGTTTTAATGACCCTACCAAAATTAATGATTATTTTATGCCTGTTTATAGCTATAAACCTGTTGATTCACTAGTTTGCGAAAA